CAACATTTTCGGCCTAGCAACAAGCTTACCAGTGTTGCAAGCTACTACGCGTATATTTAAAAGCAGCTCGCCACGCACCGGGCTGTCAGTCATCAGTTATGGCTCAGGGTACTATCATCTATTGCTCACTCATTTGTTATCGCGCACCGTATTTTCTCAATAAATGAAGTTATAACTCGCAATTACGAAGCTCAGCCGCATGCCTAGCAAGCAGCCTACAATACACAAGAATTTAATTCTACTATTATCTACAGTAAAGAGTTAGTCATTCTACAGTGAAGCCATAATATTTATAACAACTAAGTACGCCAAGCCAAGCAGTCACCAGTACGTAGTGTTGGTAATTTATAAGGTATTACCAATTAATTATTCGTCCAAGCTAATCACCCATGCTCAAAACACGTTCATAAAGAGTCTGCCACGAAAGGCACAAATTCTTTCGCGCTCCCCTTGGAGCCCAGTTACGCCCTTTCGTACTCCGCCTGGGAGCGCAGTTACATCCCTTCAAACTCCCCTTGGAGTAAGGTCAACTTTATGGCAGACTCCTGTTTTTAAAATAGTCGACTATAGGCTCTTAATACTTCGTCCTTCCACGCTCGCCTTGGAGTTCAATTACATTCTCTGAGTACCTTCACTGTAGAGAACCGTCGTCCATTTCCCTAAAGCAAGGACAGGTAGTGCAGTACGCTCACCCAGCGCATTCACTGCAGATATCCCTCATTCTCTTCTCTAGTCCGCATTAGCTACAATACTCCCATGCTCCCCTTAGAGCATCGTCGATCCTACGGTATACTGTCGTACGCAAATAGTCGACTATAACCTCATAATATCAAATCCTTCCGTACTCGAAAGTATATTATTTACTGTTCTTGCGTATGACTAACTTTCTAACACTCCGATACTCCCCTTGGAGTATGGTCGAATTTACATGATAACTACCACAGAGACATTGATATGCCCCCCACCCTTTTTTGAGCATGATTAATTTTGATTGATTAGCATGGTCGACTGCTCATGCTGATCCCTACAACGCCAGTATAAGCACAAATCAACATTCATTGCAATTTCTATAACATCAACGACATCGCCACTATCACCAGGGTGCAACCGCGTCATTATAATAGAATAATTCCCCCTCTGCCATAAGAAGTGAATACAGAACTACAATAATGTAATTGTCAATAAAACAAAATAAACGATGTCCTAACCTAAGTTACACACTGTACATATTTACAGCCCTTCCACATGTGTCATTTCCTTCGCTAAGGCAAGAAACTAATCCACTGAATTATTGAATTGGCAGTTCGAGCCACAAAACAAACCCTCATTTAATGAGCAAATATAAATTCTTCATTTTCTTTAACATTGACAGGATTTTTTTTAAAAATTCGTTTTTGACCACAGATCTTTAATGCGTTAAATTATAGTTATTCTTCTTTTACAGTAAACAACTACTTGCAAAAAAGGACGGTTAATATTATTATAGATTAATTTAGTTAAATTATTGTTTATTTGCTTCATTATAAAGTATTAAGTAATCTTATTAGAACTCATTTATTTTATTTAATACTAAATTAAGGCAATGCATAAGTATGAGTTGTATATATATATAAATTTTTTTTTATATGATTGCTTTTTAGTCTGTTTTAATTTTAAATACTTTTATCTGTTCCTGTTCAGATTAATCATTAAATTGAAATTGCTTATTATTATTATTATTGCGTTACACTAATGTTTTTGAATACTTTATGTGATTGAATATTTTTATAGACATTCCTAATTATACAACATGATATACAAAAAGTTTCGTTTTCTTACAAAGCTATCTTGTTGTCTTTATACAAAATGTTTTTTATTTTAATAAGAATACAACATAATTTAAAAAGCTTTGTTAATGCGAATATTGAAAAATTTGAAACAGAGAAAATTGCTGGCAATACATAAAAATATTATCACAACAATTATTATTAAAACATTTGGTAAATCAAATATTTAAATAAAACCATTTTCTATACAATGCTTTATATCATTTTGATATAAAATATAAATGTTTTCCATATAAAAAATAAAATTTAACTAATATAAAATAATAGTATATTTAACACTATAAGAATATTGAATATTTTACAAATTAAATAATTATTAATCATACGTGATTCAATATACTTTCTTATGTTAATTAAAACAATTACTTTACAAATCCGAATAACAAGGGCTGACGAACTCTTCAAGGCTAGATTCTAGTGACGTCACTTTAACAATCAGCATGACAAGAGTGATCCAGAATTCACCGAAAACGCAAGCCTGTACTAGGATATTTAAGGTGACGCGCTTGACGCTCTCTCTCTCTTACTAGTTCAATCAAGCATTCATCAAGATCGAATCACCGTCCTACAGATCGAACCCAGCTCAGCATAAGCCAAGCTAGTCTCGGCCACCCAACACTGCACAACATGACTCCAGCTCAACGGAAGCCAACTCACTAGGCTCACCAACGCTACAGAAATCGACTACAGTCAACGGAAGCCAAGCTCACGGCCTACCAACGCTACCACACGGATCGACCTCAACACACGTAAGCCACGCTATTACACACGTTCTTACGTACCATCAATGCAACTGAGATCGACTCCACACACGTAAGCTACGCTATTACACACGTTCTTACGGATCACTAATACACGGCCCCCATCAACTAAGTAAGCAGCAATACTAATAAGTGGTATACGATACGAGGAATACTCCCACCCGTCAAGCAGTGACGTGACACGGATATCACCCCTCCACTAGATCGCTACAGCGTACATCTCGCATGCGGCAATGGCATCATCACTGCCCCGCATCAGTGACGTCACACAGGCGCCCCCCACTCAGGCCGCTACAGCTCTTTTCGGCAGCGACAAAGGCGGCACCATCGCTGCCCCATATCAGCGCGAATCTCCCACTACCACTGTGAGTTCATAACTACGAGTAGGAGAATCAAGCACCAAGCCATCAAGAATACACTTACAGGATTCTTGTCGCTCATATTAATTGAAGAAACTATCCTTTATTCATTGTTTCATATATTCAAGTCTACATCGATAGACCACTGACGATTTATTATATATTATATTCAATAAAAGGAAAAACACTACGTTCAAAGGCAGTGTTGAATTATTGCATTGTCCCTTCCACTTGCCAGCCAGCCTCCACCCACCATCACAGGAAGGCTTTTAGTCTGATCCCAGACAATCGCATATTAACTAATAGAATACTGTTCGAGAATGCGAGAACATTTTTCCTTTTTTGTCAGTGCAATAAAATATCTGGCAAGTAACATCGTCAAAATTGTATTTAGATTTCAAATTTCGCTTGCTCAAAATTATCAAGCACTAGTGTCATAAAACATCTGGAAAAACAATACCATAAACACGGGAAAACCTATAGTTAGATATCTGCATTTTCGTTCCGTTCGGTAACTACTTCAAGCATTACTGCAAGCAGTCCTTCCTTCCCCTTCCCGCTGTCGACAAGTTGCAATGCTGTCACCAGATGTATCAGCGTTGCCCGCCCTTTCCGCTGCCGACATGCTGTCGCATGCAGGAGCAGCAACGAGAGGTCTTCTTGAGACCAAGAGATGAATCATGAGATGATTCCAAGGGAGCTACGACAATCCGCCTATCAGAGTCCGAAGACGCGTCAACGATTAGTCTTCGTAAGTAGTATTTTTACTACAATAATTACATATATATTGAGATTCAGAGTATTACATCGACAAGCATTAAGGACGAGGAAGCTCCTCTTAAAACGACAGTACGGAATAAATTCCAGTACGCATCGTCAAGTTCGCGCCCGCAAAAGGGGCGTCCCTTTAAGCAACCTTCACCTTAGTTCAAGTTCGGAAGCTTATGAAATTAAGCAACACACAGCGCCAGTGTCGACGAATCAAGTTTCGCGCCATTCTGCGGTAACATTCAGTCATTACGCTGCATTCATAATCTCAACCACACACGTGCTCATTCAAACAGCGCTAGTGTCGACGAACGAAACTTCGCGCCATTCGACATTCGTATTCAACAATCAAGCTGCATAGATTACTGTACGTTTGCCTCCGCAACACATTAATTCAATCCAAGAATTTAGTTCTACAAGTAATAATAGTAATACTAGTCAACCTTGTCATTAATAAATAACATAATAAATAGCATATACTTCAGCCATATCTTTATTGTATTATTATAATATCCCTTCCACTTGTGACCTGTCATCGCTACCACACAACACTCGTGCTCTCTGAGTTGTCAACGGCATCAAATTGTATCCGTTGAACCGCCCTTGATAAAACAAGTCGGAATGACGAGTGGCATTATGTACAAATACAATTGTCAAAATCTAAACTTTAATACAAGTATTTTCTATTTTTATGCATATTTTAATATTTGTTTTTATTTATACTTCTTGCTAAAATTTAAAATTTTGAAATTCTCTTTATCTCTACTGTTGATAAAAATTATGGTTAAATTCCCAAATTACTTATGAACTTTTCGATTTTCATCTATAACGTCATTATAGTGGTTTAATTGTTTATTATGTAATTTTGAATAATAAATATTTTCTAATCTGAATGTATTTAAATTATTGGAAATATGCATTATGACACTGAATGAAATATTAATGTTTTATAAATAAGCTTTTAATAATGTATGGCTAAATTTCCAAATATTACAATATAAAAATATAAATTCTAAAATGGTGCTTATGTAAATAATTATTCTTCTGGACTTTTATTAAATAATACAATAAAACAATTATTTTTAAACTCTCGAAACACTATCTATTAACATTTTAAAGTGTTTGTTTCACGTTCAATATTAATTAGTTCTTGTCCGTTAGTAAATACAAAATATATTTTAGTTTTTAATTCGCTGATAAAATTATGATTAAAAGAATTTTTTAAACTAGTTAAATCATACTACTGTATTAACTTTAAATCAATGTTATTTTTAAAGAGAATATTAATTTACTCAAAAATACATTAAAAATTCTAATTCGATTTACGTATCATAACCTTAGTATAGAATAAAGAATTATAGTAATAATAAAAATATTTCAAAACGATTGAGGCAAGTTATTACTACAGATTTTTATAACCACGTTTAACCTTCTGTTAAGTTGAAATTTATATTTTGTAAGGTTTTTGGAATCAATATAAATTAATTTAAATGAATTCATAATTCCTAAAGCAATATATAATATATATCCTTTTTAAATTGTTCAAAAGAACAGAATAAAATAAAATTTTTAAATTCAAAAGCAATAATTATGAACTATTGTATCAAATACCAATTTATGTATCTGTAATATAGAATAATAAATTTTTTTTAAGGTAACTAATTCATTTATATACTTACTATTGTATCAACAATTTTCGATTTTATATTTAAAGAAATTCTCAATTTCCACATTATGAGTTTTATATGTTAGATCGAAATTTTAAAATCACAGTACTTATAGTATATGTAATATTTAATAATCATGAGTCTAATATGTAATTTAATTTTAATAAATAATTTTTCTTTCACAATGGTATTTAAAACCTACCTTAAATTAAATATAATAATAATTCTTTTAGTGTTGAAATTAAAATTCTATTACATGTTTAAATCGATAAAGTTTATTAAGCATTATTTTCTATATATATTTTTAAAATATTAACTATTTTTTATTAACCAGTATTAAATTTTACTTATACATAGGGTAAAATGTATCAGGTATTGTGTATTTTTCTAATTAATGTTTATGGATTCAATTCTGTGGAATCTGAGGATCAAATTGCACTTGATATACCATCACATTATCAACAAGTAAGTTATTCTATTTTTCACAATAAAATTTTTACAATTTTTTTACATTTATAATTATCCATACTACATTAATAACAAAAACATCATATTTAAAGAAATTGTGTTAATGTAACAAAAAATTTACCTAAATTATTAATTCATAATCATTATTCTAAATTTTGAATGTTATATTACAAAATATATTTTTAATATTAGCAGCAGTGGCTATTTAAAATAATTACAAAGAATAGTTGAATAATTTTTTATTTATTTTAGTACCAGCAGCAGGTGCCACAAACACAGCAGACACATACTTTACATTATCAAGTTTCAGATAATCCTGCTCCTAACTATGAACATCATCATCATAGTCATCCTCAGCATGTTCTTAATGTAGCTAACATTGCTCAGGAAAAAGCGTATGTTAGTTTTAATTATTAAAAATTTATTAGAAAATCTTAAATTCTTAAATAAGAAATACAATTTTGAATATTATTATAATATAACCATATATTGAAAAAAAATTCTTATCCATATATCCCAAAAACCATATATTGAAGTCAATTCTTAGTACAATTTTAATATTTTAAACGAAAACTATGACAATAATAGTAAAGTAATACTTTACATACAGGATTTAAAAACAATTATGTTATGATAATATACGTATAAATGTTTTTAGACATATTGCAGAACATTTGGATGTACCAATGGATACAAATAAAATGTCAGAACAAGAATTACAATTCCATTATTTTAAAATGCATGATTCCGATAATAATAATAAACTTGATGGCTGTGAACTTATAAAATCTTTAATTCATTGGCACGGTAAATATTTTATAGATTATTTTAGAACAATTTTTTTTTTTTCATTGAATCTTAAAATATCGCTTATGGATTAATTACAGAAGAAGGAAATAAAGAGATTAATGGTGGAAATGTTGAAGGAAAAATATTCAAGGATGAAGAATTAATTACATTAATTGATCCTATTCTTCAAATGGATGATTCTAACCAAGATGGTTATATTGATTATCCTGAATTTATTCAAGCTCAACAACGAGCTGCTTCACCAAGTTAACAGCGAACAATTTGTAACCGCCTGGTTAATAACAGTAACAATAACAATAACATCAAAATTGTATCAAATTATTAAAATATTACAATTGTATGTATTTTTTTCATAATGAAATAACTACTTCAATGGAGTATGTATGATTACAATTTTTTATGAAATAAAAAATCAGTGTATTATAAATACTTAAAAATGGTACGTTTTTATCTGTGCACTATGCTTACAAATAAACTAAAAAAATTAACGTTCATTTTTAAAAATAATATTTAACAATTTATGTTTATATTGCATAGTATTTTTCCATTTATTATGCATGATGTGATATAAATTTAAGTGAATTTTACTTATTCTGACTACTAACAATAAATAATATATAATAGTATTGTACAAAAAAAATTTAGAATAAATACAGTGTTCATACAACATATCAAGTTTATTTGTGAATAAATAAAATAAAATAAAATAAGTAAGATATATAGTTCTTTTTAAAATTATATTATATATATTATATGGTCTCATTGGTTAACAAATAATGACATTTTAATATGAAAAAAAAGATTTATTAAAAAATAATGGTATAACTGAATAAAAATATCTGTTTAATTAGTCATATCAAGTATGGTCAAATAAATACATATTGTATATTAGAAGATAATAAATTAATTTAAAAGAACAAAAGATTGTTATTAAACAGTTGCTACACAACAAAAAGCAATACTAATGTAATAAATAAATGTTTAAAGATCTTTTGTTTTTAATATTTTTTTTATTGTCTATAAGATTTCTGTGTTTTATTATAATTATTCACAAATTTAAATGCATATTTCAAATAGATTATCATTGATTTTGATTAACACAGCATGATAAATTCTATTATATATATTTAACAGAAAGTAAATATTAAAGCATACAAATAAGAAATATTCTTTGGTAGAAATTATTCTAAACTTATTTGAATGTTGCAATATAATAATAAGATGTATATAGTTGACCATTATAAAATCATATTAATGGAAGGAAAAATGTAAACTAATTATTTAAAGTAGAATTATTACTTGATGAATTTCTATTTATATCAAGAACTTGTAAGATCTTACAATTTTATTTTTAGGCAAAAGATATGTACAGTATACGTTGAAAATATATTTCAAGAATACTATGGGGCTTGGATTTGATCAGCTAATCTATTGTGTATTAATTAAATCTTGAGCATAATATTCTACATTTAAAACTTTTAATTATTTTCTAATCCATCCATATATCTATCAGTACATTGAAACGATCCTTAACATATGCACATTTTATTTTCTATTGTTCTAAAAAGAAGTTTCCACCTAAACTTGGAAGTACTAAATCAGTTACATTAATATATTTTTAAGGCAAAAAATTATAGCTGATACCCAATCTCCTTATATTGAAATAAATACCATTAATACAGTAATTTATTTTCTATAATAATATATTTCTCTTAATCTACGAATTGCTTTTTGATTTTTTTACTATATAACTGATCTCAACTCAAAGAAAACTGCAGAAAATTATCATTATTGACAAAATAGTGCAATATGATAATCATTCATTGGTTTAAAGAATATTTTTCTAAAGTGGTTTGTTACAATATTTTTAAATTCAATTTTATAAAATATACAAATAGCAAAAATTTTTTCTTTACCAAGGCACATTAGTCGAATAAAATAAAAGAACATATATATATATATATATATATATATATATAGATACATACATACATACATATATTCACATTCATTTACAAAATATCAGGTTTTTATTAAATATTAAATGAGTTTTGTATTTATAAGTTAAATTTTAAAATAATTTCATGTAATTGTTAATACGGGATAAATTATTATTTTCAAGTTTTATATAAATGTAAATGTATTATTTTTTTTATAAAGGTAAATCCTTGATTAGATGCATAATAAATAGTAATGCATAATGGTATGATTTATATTAATTACAATAAATGCTATTTGTATAATGTTTAAACTACATAAATATTTCTTTGAATGCAGTTCAAAAACTAAGACATTTTTCTGACCTTATTACTGTCTATATTTAACTAAAATTTATCAGATTTTTTATGATGTTTTTGTATTGGTTGTTAAATTATTAAACAACTTATTTTAATAAACATCTTATACAATATGCTTGAAAAATATTTTAAAACAATATTAAATATAATAGAATTTTTAATAGCATTGTTCACTCATTTAATTTTTAATTTAATGAATTCAATATATTCTTTAACATAAAAACAATTGTTATTACTTCTTTTTTTTTATTAACTTTTAATTACACACAAAATTATCTTTCTTATACAAGCAATGACCAATATATTTTCTCTATATATAAAAAATTACATAAATAAATTAATAATAAATAATAATATAGTACAGTATATAGTTATCTAAAAATAGCATATAAAATTTATCATGTAATTACATATTGTTAATTTATAATGTATTTCAAACGAATTACTATATTTGTAAGAAAATATCTGAAACTGCAGGAAATATTCTGTTTCTATTTAAAATATAAATTATATAGGAAAATGTGTACATTACTACACCTTCACACAAGTTATATTTTGCTATTACATTTTCATTCATAAATAAAATTATATTTTTGAAAAATGTGGAATTATAATGTAAACAAAATTATAAATAAGTATATAAGAAATAAAAATCTAAATAATTTAAATATAAATATGTTAAAAATTATTAATACATATAAGGAAAAAAACTGTTCTTACATAAACCAGATAATTATATATATGTATACACTCAAATGTAACTCAAATATAAGATATGAATAAAAAATATAAAATTTTTTTAAATTATAAATTTCACGAATCTACCTAAATGCACTTCGTGACACAAAATTTAAATATTATTATATAAAAAAAATGAGTAAAAACATTAATTTAAATAATTTATATATTATTGTTTAAAAATGTTTATTATAAGCTACACACGTCGATAGACAATTTTGGCATAAATTAATTAAAATAAATATTGTTTATAATTTACTTTGTAAACAGTATTGAAGATTGAAAAATTTTTACATATCAATTATTTCGACAAAAAACTTATTCAATAAGAGAAAGTTTCTTAAAATTTATGCAGCGCACATGTAAACTTATATTTTTGGTTAACTTTCTCCGAATACAATTGGAGCATCACTAAACTTCTCTCTTTTCTGAAAACCTTTCGATACTAAATTAAAATTAATTAAAATTTTATTTGACAACGGATTCTTACAATTATGATAAAATTAGGAATGGTATGCTTTTATTAATTTTTCTTTTTATAACTAAAATATATTTCTAGAATTACTGTATTATTATTAAATGAATTACATGATTCATTTTATTTTTAACCAATAATAAAAATAAATATAATAAAAGTTTTTTATTTTATAGTATATAGCTACAATTTTCTTTTTAATACTTATGAAGAATGTAGAGCTAAGCATCTCAATATTTTCACAACCACGAGCACCCAATTTTCCATATTTTGAAAGGTTATATATTTGTCTATAAATTGGCTTCTATAAAAGTGATTTTCTTGTATATATCAAATGTATAATTTGTATAATTTTAGACCTCAGTATCGATATCCATATTATGATGAAAATGGAAAAGGTCGTTTGCTTTATGGTTATGGAGGATCACACCTTTATCAGTATAAAATTTACAATACTCTTGAAGGCATACATTAAATATATTATATGAATATTTGCAAAATAATAAATACAAAATTTTTCTTTTTACAATTAATTAATTTACTAATATTCATCGTTTAGTTATTTTAAAGTTACTGCATTAAAAAAAAATATTTTTGCTTTTAGTGCTGAACTTTTTCTTATTTTAATATTGATTAATTATACCATGGATTAGAAACGATTATACGTAACTATCATTGATTTAAACAATATTTTAATGAAAATCAATTGATTATTGTTAGCTAATATTAATATAAACTAATACAAATACTAGTTATAAAGGCCTAACTATTAAAATTTGAAATACAAAATTTATAAAATGAAAAAATTCATTAAACCAAAATATTCTTTTATTTCTGAAATATATAAAATTTTGATTATAAGATATTGAGAATTTAAATATATATTTTAATATATGTTTACATTACCTGACTGTTCATTACACATCACTGATTGTATAAATATTCATTTAACTATTTTTTAAAATAATTATTCATATGATATAAAAATGATTAACAAGAATATATCATATGATTAATTAAATTAAATTTAATATATGTTATAAATACTATAAATAAATAATCTAAAATATTAACATTAAAGAACCATCAAATATTTGTAAAAATTTAAAAATTATAAATTAGCCGATCAATGTTGAATCTATGGGAAATCAATGTTGAATCTATATCTTTATTTGAAATTTAATAATTTAATTATTTAGTTTTATTAATAGAATATCATACATAGTTCATTTCCGATTTTATGTAACAATCAGTTTTTTGTCGTTTTACTAACCGCCGTTCTAAAAATTTTTTTATTTCACTAATAACAAAAACACTAGACGTTAGTGCTACTAAAAATATAAGATCTAAAATAACATTTATATAAATTATTAATCATAATTTACTCGATTATTTTCAATATAAATAAAAGTTAACCTTTTATAAATAATGCTTCTGTTTGAAAAACTTTTTGTAATGGAGGAAAATAAATGACTAACATTTGGCCCACAACAGATAATGTTACAGCTACTAAAAACATCTTATTACTCCATAAACCAATTGTAAATATTGATTTTGTCTAAAAATACAAAAATATAAAGTTTATATAGTCTTCATTTTGTTTTTAATACTAACTAAATACTAACTTGAGATCGACAACTCAATGCATTAAACATATCAAAAAATACAAAACATGTAAATGTCATTGTTGTATCTCTAGCTGTAATTCCACCAGAAGTCATTTCTTTGTTATAAACCCAAAGGGTTCCTAAAATAATAATAGCTGCAGACAATAAGACATTAATTATAAGGTGTTTTGTAATCATGGGTTCTTTTGTATTTCGTGGTTTTTGTTTTAAAACATCCTTATCTACAGGTTCAACTCCCAGACTAATAAGAAAAAATATAAATCTTTCTGTCCAATAAAAATAAATTTATGTAAATTCATTAAATATACCTTTGAGCTGGTGGTCCATCCATAATTATATTAATCCATAGAATTTGCATAGCATTAAGTGGATTAGGAATGCCCATCAAAGTAGCAAGAGCAATTAAAGATAAAGCTGCAATACTTGTACTTAATTGAAATCGTACAAAGTTACGAATATTATAAAAGATTCCTTTGCCCTCTTCAATTGCTGCTATAATAGTGTGAAAATCATCATCCACTAAAATCATATCAGCTGCTTCTTTACAAACATCAGTGCCATTTACTCCCATCGCTATTCCAATGTCTGCTTTTTTTAATGCTACACCATCATTTACACCATCTCCTGTCATTCCTACAATATTTCCTTCTTTCTGTAATGCTTTTACAATGCACAGCTTATGTTTTGGCGTAACTCTATAAAAAACACTGACTATATTTATTTTATTTACTAATTCTTCTTCTGACAATGAATCAATTTCATCTCCTGACATAAGTTTAGTATGCATTACATCTAATCCTATCTTATTAGCTGAAAAATATGAAATGTTATGATCTATGAAATAATAAAATCATTTAAAAAATTTAAAGAAATTACCAACAGCTGCTGCAGTTTCTTTAGCATCTCCTGTAACTATTTTAATTTTTATTCCACTTGCCATTAAAGTAGAAATTGCATCGCATATATGTGGTTTTGGTGGATCACAAATACCAACTAGTCCTACATAAACAAGATCTTGTAAAGATAAGCCTCGAGCCAGGCCAATAACTGAACAAAGTATTTAAAATTTTTTTTAATAATATTAATATATAACTTTCATACTTATCTCTTTAGTATTTTATGAACCTCTTAAACCTCTTTGTCCTACATCATAAGCTTCAGTGAAGAATTCTTGCTCTTTTTTTTGAGAGAGAGGATAAAATTGGCCATTTACGGAATATTTTGTACATTGTGGTAAAATTTTTTCAACAGCTCCTTTAACAAAAAAAACTTCTTGCCTATTCTAAAAAAAATTAAATGTTTTATTCTTATATATAATATACATAGAAATTTTATTTATGTTTTATTATTATATATATTTGTAAATTATTTCTAAAAATACTTCTCCATATTTTGCGGTGCATTTAACAGCCATCATTTTTTGTTCTGATGAAAATGGATATTCTTGAAGTCGAAGGTATTTCTCTGATATTCCATACATTCCATTTTTCATACCTAATGCTAAAAAAGCACCGTCAGTGGGTTGACCTAATAAAGTATTATTTTGAATGACAGCATTATTACAAACACATCCAACCTACATAATAAAAAAAATTAATACATAATTTTTAAGTACTCTTAAAAAATTAATTCAATGGTTCAATTAATATTTACTTCTAACATGTTACGTATAGCTGCTTGTGCAAGTTCTAGATTCTCACACTTTCGTACTTTTATTTCTCCTACAGCATTATATCCAGCTCCAGTAATATCTGCGACATAATTTTCAGAAGTAACAATAATTGTAACAGTCATTTCATTTTTTGTAATTGTCCCAGTTTTATCAGAACAAATTACATTCACACATCCTATTATATTTTAAATGTAAAATTTTTAATTAGATCTTTATTATTATTGATATGAAAAATTTAGAAATTTTAAATGAATTACCTAAAGTTTCAACTGTTGGTAATTTTTTTACAATTGCTTTTCTTTTGGCCATTCTCATAACACCTAAAGCAAGAGTAACTGTAACAACAATGGGTAAACCTTCAGGGATAGCTGCTACTGCAAGACTAACACCAATTGTAAACATTTCAAGAATTGCTTTACCCTGAATCCAGCCTAGTAACATAATTATTCCAATAATACAAAATGAATAAAAAGAAAGCTGTGTACCAAGAATATGCATGCTTTGTTGTAATGGTGTTTTCGGTGCTTCTTCAACTTGCATCATTGCAAATACTTCTCCAAATTCACTTTTAGATCCTGTATTTATAACAATTCCCTGTATAATAATAAACAAATAATTCAAAATCAGCTATATATAATTATTTTAAAATATGAACTATATAATATAAATTACTTTGCCATTTCCACAACGGACCAACGTTCCCATAAAGGCAATATTCTTTTTAGCATTGTGTCCATTAGTTTTTAACAATGGAGCAGTAGATTTTTGAGCTGGTTCAGTTTCTCCTGTAAAGCTACTTTCATCAATAGCTAAAGCAATAGCTTCATATCTCAAATATTTAAATAAACAATATCTCCAGGAACAAGATCACGAGCAAGAAAAGTTTCTAAATGTCCTTGTCGTAAACTAAAAGTTAAATTTTAAATTATCATAAATATTAGATTAATATTAATAATTAAAATAAATAGTAAATAAAATATTTAAAAAAATTGATAATATGATAGTTTTAAAATCAATTTATATACAAATTTTGTAGTACCAATGACAAGTTGGTGGTACAAGTTTACTTAGTTCTTCTAAGGATTTCTCTGAACGATATTCTTGTACAAATGCCACTGTAACAACTATTATAATAGCCTGAAAAATATATTATAATTATAAAAATTACTAAAAGTTTACTTACTAATGAGTTCAATTACTAATAAGAAAATAATTCATTTACATACTATGGTTATGCTGATTGCATCATCAAACTGCTTCATACATACACTAACAAGAGCTGAACCCAATAAAAGTAATATTAATGGATTTTTAAACTATGAAAAAGTCAAATATTAATAAATTTATAAAAACAAAGCTTTTGAATAAATTTAATAAATGTTTTTACTTGTTCTATATATTTTTTCCATGTAGATTCATTTTCTTTAAAATTCAGTTCATTGTGACCAAATAATTGTTTTCTATGATCTGCTTCTTCCCACCAGAGACCTGTTCTACTATCTACTTCTAAACGTCCTGCTACTTCTTCTGTTCCTAAACAGGATGCCTCTGCAGTTGAAAGCCACATATGTACTTTGTTGTATTTATTGTTTCAGATATTTCAATTTTATATAAGTAGCTAACTTTCCTAGTATATTTAAAAAAAAGATTATATAATTCATCAATAGATTTAATTAAAAAAAATTTATTACCAGTTTAATGATAAATTTGAAACATTTAAATAATTGTCAGAATTTATGTTAAATACTGAAACAAAAGATGAAAATAGAGATTAACAATTGCATATTTAAAAGGCGCGTAAATTTTCGTAAAAAATCTGTACGAACCTAGTCGATTTCTTATTAGACTGACTTTTTATATTTGTTTATTGTATAAGTATTTTATCTTGGATTTATCAGTTCATAAATATAACTATTTGTAGTTAATCTATAATTTGAGTAAATTGTAAAATATTCTGAACTGAAAGAGGAATAAGAGACAGAAATTATAAGTTGTTGCTTCTCTTTTTGTATATCTAAATGATTTATTATATAAGAATCATAATATCATATATAAAATAGATTTAAAATATTACATGATAAATTGAATTTTAAATTATCATTTATTAGTTAATTTATAACATTCGGCTTCCTAGTAATAATTATATTTAACAATAATATACTAAGAAATGTTATGCATTTATAAATAATTCTGAAGGATAAGTGAATATACAGAATGAGATTACTATTGTATACTATTATAATTTTTATTTTATATTTCTTTTAAAATAAGTAATACGTATTTGTATTATGATTGGTTACTAGACTCGCACCATTATTCAATGCATAATAAAACGAAAGAAACATATCAGTGCGCTTTATGAAAGTTGCAACATACCTTAAATATTAAAAAACATAAGATTTATAAAATCTTTTCGAAGCAATATTTTCTTATTGATCCTTATTGTAGTAACATAAAATTTATGGGAACGTTTTAATTTTTATTGAAATTAACGGTTGAGTTTAAATAAATAAACATTTTTATTTTTCCATGAAATTATATTGTTGGAATTTTAAATATCTGGAGCTCCTCATCTATTTGAAATCGAATAATTTTTTATCAAAATTTTTCAAAAATAAAGATGAGCAATAATAAAACTACTATTTAAAATATTTCAACCAACATTTAATTAATTAAAATTTTTTGCTAATAAATTTTCTTATAAGTTATTATTTAATTATTTGTTGTTATTTTATAAGTTTATAATAGTTTTTAAATTATTTGTATAAGTCATTAATTATCTTTTACAATTTATTATATTTATATATACTTTTGTATATAAATAAAATTTAGTTTATTTTAAGTTATAAAGAAAAATTTATCAATGTAACTGAACAATTACAGAAAAGTAAAGATGTAGATTATATAGTAATTTAATAACAAAATCTGTTTTAAAAGGTTTTGAAATTTTATATATATAATGTATTGTATTTAATTTAAATATAATTTTTAATATTTTATATCAAATTGCATTCCTTATATATATTCGACATTTTTTAAAAAATTAGAAATTAATGCTATTAAAAATATTTTTGCTGATAAATCTGTTACTTTCTAAATAATAGATTTTTTGAAAATAAAACAAATGTATATGTAATATTTTTTATTTAATGTATTTCTATACTATCTCCAATGAATAATGTTTATGTCCTCTTAATATAATTAAATGTATTTCAAATAATAGAAAAGATAATCATAAATAATTTGTCATTTCATAACACAAGTACGTTGTTACAATATTCTATTATATTATTATATATTTTTATATATATAATAAATATTCTATGAAATCGAATAATAGATTCATAAACATTCTTAGTTAAAATTTTTCTTCAATTTCGTTATGTTTTCTAATTACTTTATTTTTTAAGAAAAATGTTTTTACCAAATTAAGTTTATTCGTTTACTGGGTTTTTTTATTGTTTTTATATGTTTCAGTAACAAATAAAAATAAATAATTGAATAATCAAAATTTATTGTCATTTAATTTGCTTCAATGTTAGTTTTGGATGAATTAAGGATTTTGCACCTTATGGATGTATTTTTTCATGTATAGAATGAAAGGCCTTTGCATAAACGTTTAGACCGCTTTGCATGAATTTGTAGGGTCTGCCAATGATAAACGTTATACTTAACTATTGAAAACTATACCTTTTAAACAAATTCTATATTACTGTTTCTATAGATCGTTTTTGTATTGGCAATACTATGAAAAATTATTTATTGAAATATACAAGTGAATAAAAGTTGTTGATAGTTGTTTTTTATTAGCTTCAGTATTGGTTAAGGTTATCTTCTTGAAACTGCATCTTTACTTAATTAAATCAATAATAATATTAATACTTTTATTTGATATCAAAGTCTATACTAATTTAATCAATTACATCTTACAACTTATATATATATATATATTTATAATGAATATTATTTTAAATTCTTTAACTAAGTTATATTATTTTCTTAGTTACTGTGCTTGTCTGAAATATTTATTTTAAATAATTATGTTTCAAATTTAATTTATAATATATGAAATTAGAGTTACTAAAGTCGCATATAATCTATAATTGATTCAGGTTTCTTAGATTATAAAATAATATAATAAAGGAAATAAAGAAACGAGAAACACAATTAATTTTTTAAAGTAAAAACAGGAATACATTAATTTGAAAGAATTTATGAATCTAAATTTGGATTTTAATTTGTCATTAAAATATATATAAATTTTTGAAATATCATTATATTGAAAATACTGCTCACCAACTGGGTAAAAAACTACTTACGAATAATGTAAATCTTGTAAATAATATAATGAGTAAGCTTTGTGTTAAAAAATTGCTATAAGAAATGGGTTAGGATCATGTTGAACAATATCCCATTGTAGTATGAATATCTTATTAGCAGATGTTAACCATGAAAAAGATATTTGAGCTGAGTAACCTTTGTTGAGAATGAATAGAAGATACATTGAGAAATACACGTTCAAGTTACATATATAGCTAATTAATAAAATAAATAAAATGAACATTTTTTGTAAGAAATTGAAAAACGTAAAAAAAAGAAATAGAAATTCATAAAAATAACCTTACATACACAAAAACCACTGATTTATTAAAACTTTTTTCTATATTATTATAACTTAAAATGACTAGTAAATAGTAGACATTGTAATAAAAGTTTCGACAGTTTTACTTGACAAAAAAATATCAAAAAATAATATCTTTAATATCTTATAAAATAAAAATAATTTTATGATTAAAACAAAATGCTTTTGTGTTATTTAGGAAGTCTCATGCATATTTAAATAAGCAAATTCACTAAAATATGATTGAGTTAACTTGCTTGAGTATAATAAACTATTGTACAATTTGAAATATATATTTGAATATAAATACTGCTTGTTAAAAGTAATATGCTACATTATATTTAATATTAAATAGTATGTATAATTGCCTAATAATTATAAATTATTTGTATCACTAGTGGCAAAAATTAATTACGTCATAATAGAAAATAATTTATATATATATATATATAATTAAAATTAAAGAGACTATTACACTATATTATTTCATTTCAGTTATTTATGCTATATTGAAAGAGTAAATAGTTTTGTCAAAATATTGAAGAAAATATTGTAAATTAAAATTTTGTTTTTAACATTATTAACTCTTCTACTCTGTAACAAAACTTATTTAATATAGAAAATTGTAATTAGATTTTCATTATATTAATTACTATACTTTAAAATGATTGTTTTACCATAATTTAGAAAATTTGTATAAATGATATTTCTTGATTCATAAATAATAGATTTATTTAAAATTATATTTAAATTAAATTTTGAAGATAATTCTGTATGCATATACCTTAATTAAATTTTTTGTAATAAGTATTTATTACAATTTAAATAATAACTTCAGTTTATTTTCAAATATTAAATGCAATTATTTTTATCCCAATTAACCCAATAATAAATTTATTGAATGCTTACAAAACTAGAGTCTATACTTTTCAATATTTATTATACAAAATCTAGATAATTTACAAAAGTTTACTGAAAAATTTAACAATTTTTTCAAATAAAAATGTTATAACACGTGCATTATTATACTTATTGACAATTTTTAATACATGAAATACACTTTTATATTACATTAAATCAAATGAAAGTTGTATTAATGTTCAATTCCTTCATAATCAAAGAATATACATGGTATCCTGCAATAAAATTTAATATTACGTATGTAATTTATGTGAATTTATGAAAGTAAAAATTTTTTGTTTCAAAGATATAATTATATAAAACTATAAATTTGCATTCTTACAAAAAATGTTTTTATATGCGTTTTTTATTAAAAAAAACACAAATTGATATGTTCGAAAAATTTGGTTTTAAACATTATTTTTTATAAAATAGAAATTTTATATAAATAGGGATTTGTTTGAATTATTCAAATCCATATTACTAATAATAAAATTTATGTTCACTAAATAATAAATTTTTTACAAATTATTTGTAGCAAAAAATTTCTTATTTAAAATTTTTAAATCATGTCTTTTTTTATTAGAATTTAATTTTTATCTTTAAATAAATATAAATTGTTGTATTATTGATAATATGTGCGAACTAAGATAATAATGGTAATGTAAGGAGTAATAGTCAATGTGGTTGTAAATAGTTATTATAACAATTACAGTGAAAATTATGAGGATAAAAATGTATATTAAAATAAATATCAGTTTCTCGCTAAATTAAATATCTTTCCAATCATTTGTTTGAGTTCTGCACATACAACGAAATTAAGTACAGATGCTACAATAGAATTCTTTAAGAATCCAACAGCGTACATCATTTTATCACGTGAATCCATTATATATTTTTATTCTCATATTAATTAATTTTCTTATTTTATTTTGTTACTTTTTTGTTAATCGTATTGTTTATTAATATATTAAATATATATTAATTTCCAATCTATTTAAAAAATTGTCATTGTTTTATTGTTATGAATATTATTCTCATCTATCAATTGACTATTTAACTGTCAAATATTGCATAAAATAAATACTAATATAGAAATTGAATAAATGTAATAGAAACGAGCGAAAGTGTAGGTTTTAATTTCATGTATGTTTTTTTTTAATATTTACAAAACTTGATAAAGCTATTTAAAATTATATTTCTAAATGGTGATGCCAACACGTTTATCATTAAACAATGATCGCAATAAAATAATATAGTGATATATTTAAATGTTTACAAAAATGTACGTCAGTTCTCTATTACAATATCATTACCATAAAGGTAAACACACACGGACGCATATGCACACAATTAAATTTATTCACCAAGGATAGAAGAATTATAAGCACTTTCAAACTTATTTTATCAGACACGTGACACATTCATACGTACCAAAAACGATGAATTTAAAAGCAATCGATAAGTAATAAAAGTAATTGCAGTTCATCACAATGCTTGCAAAGCTCTTCAATGAGGAATATTTACAAGAAACAAATAAAACTTCTATTAAATACAGATCATAGCCATTCGGTAAGGCAACCTCCGAACCACACGACAACTATAGGTAGGAAGTAAGTCGTAAGTGCTCTTGTAAGAGACATTCGTCGAGGCGTATCAGCTATCCCTGTATCCATAGACGTTCTATTTCCATTTACTTTGGAACCGCGATTTAGATTAAATCCCAAGTCGGAACTGGGATCACTAATAGAATCGCGTTCAGGCTCATATTTAGATCCATTTTCAAACACATCAATTCGAAATGTTGACGTTGAAACTGGTAATTTCGATTCTTTATACTCTTTAGATCGAATTATATTTGGAGCAAGATCAAGTGTGTGCTTATGTGTACCCTCGTTTCCGCTACCCTCTTCGGCAAAACCATCTTCATCATCGGTGATAGGGTCTATACCACCGGATCCAGAACCGCTACCCGATGACCAAATTTCTTCAGCATCGATCCAATCAACATCATGTCCATTAAAAGCAGAGCGCAATCTATTGCTGATACTACTTAATGCGAAGATCTGCGCTCTAACGACTCCGACCAGTGGTCCTGTGGCGCGTACCTCCGGATTCAAGTTTTGTGATTCACCATTCGATGATAGTGGGTAGATGTACCTGAGGTCAGACAGATAAAGATAAAGCGAGAGAGAGAGAGAGAGAGAGAGAGAAAGATATTGTACAGACTGTCAGGCTTCACTTCAGCAGAGCTGAGTTAGCAAGTAAGAGAATACCGACTTGTCAACATGGGTGCCGTTCCAACAGTCATTGGTGTTGCTAGGCGGAACAACAAGGCCATCACTGCAAAGCTTGTATGGTAGGTAGAGCCAAAACTGTCTTGAATCACGAATACGTTGTTTTATTTCCTTAACTAGCTTATCAAGAATATCCGCAGTTGAGTGCTGTTCCTCTATTTCTTCATCCTCTTCGGACATCTCACTATTTTCTTCAAAGTCCAATGATCTAGTTTCATCTATTTCTTTGAGGTCAGGCATATTCGTATTCTTACGTCTACGTCCCAACACTGGCCTACCACAACCAGTAAAAACGCGTTGTGATACATCGTTACTATTTTCCTGGAAATTCATTATTGCTTCTGAAATCTTAAGGCTAATAGGTCGTACAAGCATCTCAATATTGAAAGGTCCAAGCAATCTATCCGCCACTTTATCTACAGCATCTGTGGACATTTTTATAAATTCTTATTATAAATTTTAAAGTTCATAGACTAAATTCAAGTTTCAAAAAAATGTATTCTCAGTTTACCAACAAAATGATTCCAATCTGCATCTAGAGCTGCGTGTTGTGCTAAGCAACCCTTCATTACATTTTCGCACATATCATTACAAGCAAGCATATTATCAGAAATACCACTGCAAGACGGGCAAGCTGTCATTCGCGTTAATGCTGCGGTACATTCACTGGAAACTGAAAGCTGTGACAGTATAAATTATATTAATAAAATATTATGTTTGCTTTAGAGATAATATTTATATATATACCTGCTGCATTTTTTTTAAAACTTCAGCAGCAACTTGAAGGGCTTGACTGAAAGCTCTTGTTGCTATAAAGGAGCGCTTTATTTGAACACCTAGCTTTTGTGGTACATCGCCAAAGGGTCTCATTTCTTTCATATGGTGTCCAACACATTCAAGATACTTGTTATCAAATTTATATTGACTATTTAATACCGTGAACATCTTTTGGTAGAGTGTATTAAAGAAAGTATCCATCACATCATCCAGATCCACCTTCAAATTAAATAACAATTATCGAACACTGTCGTAAACCGTATAATTATGTGAACCATAGTTTAAATTTAATACTCTCAATTAAAAATTTGATTAACATTCAATTATATATAATAATAATAATAATAATAATAATATATAAACGATAGAATTTCAATAACATGCTTTAATAATGGCGCTTTTTTTATTATTTTATAGCAACTAATATCTCTATAAGAGGTCTATTTGAAATTGTTGTAAAGGATTTATATCTACATGTATTTTTGTAGATAACCCTTATAATGAATGTCTATGTTATAATGAAATGTTTTATATATTTTTATCATATCACGTGACCTGAATTTTTATATTCTCTTAAGAATTCGATTTTTTGTATTTAAAATCTTGTATTTTTAAAATTTATTTCTTTAATTTTTAAAATTAATTCAGTTGAATAGTTACATTTTCAGTTGATAAGTTATAGATTAAAGATTTGTTTTAAAGCTCAATTCTAAAAGAATACGTACTAAGAACAATTTTTCTTTTTTCACTATATATTTTATTAGTAGACAAACAGAACTTTATTAAATAATTTATCGCTAAAAAATTAGATTATCTAAAGTCAGTAGTTTTTACATTATACACGAATAATATAATTTGTAATTCAATTTTTTCTTAAAATTTTTCCTAAGTTAAAAGATTGTTGACATCAATAAAAAAAATTTGAACAAATTTTATAATGTTAATGTTTTTCATTTAATATTTATTTATATAAATTTTAAGTACATATTGTTATTTAATGGAAAATTATTAATTCCTCGAGAAACGACGCTTTAGAAATTTACATTTCGATGCCGTTTATAACAAAAAATTGATATTGTGGTAAATCTTCCATTTGATTTATTTGTTAAATAATTAAATATGGTAGTAAATATTAATTTTATTATATTATTATATTAATTTTAATATTTTACTAATTTTACCAATTATAATATTATTATATTTACACATAAAAAAGCGGTATTTTGCAATTATAAGAAAACAAATAATTATAAGTATATAAAATCGGGTTATCCTTCGCTAGAACGTAAATTTTAGCAAATGCTTATGACAAAACTACTAATTTTTATTCTAAATTTAGTTCAATTTTTCTGTTCACATTATATTTGTTGGACGAATTATTAATATGTTAAATTAATTTGATAATTTAAGTAATATTGTTTAACCGTTGTTTATTACACAAATTTATTTGTATATTATATACATTTTCGTGAGATAAATTTGTTTTGAATACAATTCAGATGTCAACAATAAATTAATCGTATTATGGATTGTATTATAAATCTCGATGTATATTCATGCAATAGATCAATTATCTTTCTATGCACACGGAGTATGTTATAAAAAAATACATAAATATAAGCCAAAAGGATATTTACAGAAAAAAAAAGAAAATTCATAGGAACTGAGGAATATCTAAAAGACTGTAAATTTAGGAAAAGTTCCATTATTAATTGAAAACTATTTATATTATAAAATAATACATATTTGGATGTTCAATTTCAATATATGTTTCAATAATTTATTGCATACACAGTAGTTAAAAAGAAGGATATTAAATTATATTTATACCGATTCAATATATGACTTATACATTACCCTTATTACAGTAATAAGTTGACAAGAAAAATGAAAATATTAGAATATTGATATTACTTATATAAATTATTCTATTCATTCTGTATTTTGCAGTATTACTATTTTGTGAAAAACAATTCCGTATCGCTTATATTAGTAATTGATAAAATAATATGGTATTTGCAAAGATAGCACAACTCATAGAACATTAAGAAAAAATAAATAATAATAATATATAGACAAAATAGTGGTAACATTTTATACATACGCATATAATTGATAAAAATCTCGATTGATTAATTAATGTCTCAATGTTAGTTACACGCAAAGGTGCGTGCAGTGAAGAAATCTTAATTACGTCTCATGATCAATTTTTAGAAAACATTTAGACTATGATGATAATTCAGAAAAGTATCAATGACGCTATAATGAGCTAGACAATAACCAAAAATATAGTATTATCGTAGATATTAGGATTTTTAGACAAAAGGACAAACCTACAAGCATAAATAAATGGAATTATAGTGTAACGAAATCATCTTACGATATAAAGCTAAATTTAAATTCAACAAAGGTTCAATATTGAAAAGTTTCTTTCTTTTTTACGCAAAGAGATTTTGTTTGATAAAATACTCTTACTATTGTGATGTATCTCTTGTAAAAATATAAATAAAATATAATGGAATATAATGGAATAGAAGGTGCAGAACATTTAAATGAAGATCTTTTAAAAATTCAACCAAGGAAGCAATAAATATTAAAAATTTAGTAAATTATATAAGTTACTTTCTTCTGGAGTAAATTTCCTAAATCAACATATTTTTAAGTGTAAAAATAGATAAAAAATGAACTTAATTATAATATTCGTTTAAGTTTTCGATTTTACATTTTAAATTATTTTAATTTTTTATATTAATGCATGATTTGTATAACAATGTAATATATACTAATATATAAAATACATTACTATAAAGTAAGATTTGTTCAAACATTTTTTTTAACTATTCAATAATAGTAACTGCATACACTTCCATTGATTTATTAAACTTTACGTTTACAATTGCACTTGATTTAGTTAATATATCATAATGATATCATAACATACAAGTACTTACATTTTCTTATACTATAAATAAATTCTGATTATTAAATGTATTTATTATTACATTACTATTACTTTCAACTACTACTTTAATATTTAATTAATTTTTTTTTAAAGTAATAAAAATATTAAACTATTTGCTATTTTTTAATTTATTCTATATTAACGTTTCACATACAGGAAATTAAAATTGTTTATTTAATCATTAAATTAGATACAAATGATAATTATTTTAATAGAGTGAGTAAAATATAATTAAGAATAAAATATGATGTGAATGCTATAGCATTCTTAATTTAACAATACTTCATATTTAATTTTATATTATTAAATATACTTATTAGTTCTACTATTGTTCATTTAATTGATGAAAAAATACATATAGGTTATAGAGAATGTCAATTACTGATATCTGAAAATTTGTATTAAAATTCAAATTAGAAGGATAATATTATATTGACATCTTCTAATACATAAGATATTAATAAAGTCATAACTATGTATAAATTAATTATTTAGATGAAAATATCTTAATATTTTAAACATAATAAAGAAATCACATAATTATAAAGATTAAATGGGATATATTTAATTTTTTTAATTAACAAAATTTTTTCTAACATTCACTTGCAAAAAATCCTTTAGATTCATTAAAAATTTTTTTTTAATTCATTAAACACAAATATAATATAAAGCAAGCTATGACATATAATAACATCATGAAATAATACATTATTTCCTTTTTTTAGTAGGCGTTCAAAAGAAAACACATTTATAGTTAAAAATGATTAATTAAAAAATTTCTTTAAAAATTAAATTTGTTACCATTAATCAGTAATGACAGAAAGATATAGCTACTTTTTGCATCTATTTTATTATTTTTACTAAGCTAATCTAATTTTTACTAATCTACAGAAATAAAATAAGTCTTTTATAATGTCAGTACGTGATAATGTATCCTGGTATTTCAGGATCGATTTAATAAATAATGGCTCTATACCATTCATTAAAACAAAGAAATTACACCAGTACCAATCGTATGAGTTATTGCATTATGAAGTATTAAGGTTATACTTCAAATTGTGTTAAAACCTGTATTAATATTGTATAGTATAAATAGTAATTTCATCTTTTATCATGAATTTTAGGCTTTTCAATATTGAATATTTTTTTATTTATTCTCTTATGTAAATAAAATTAAAATTTATTAAATTATAAATATAAAGTTATCGTTATATTTTACAATTATATTGATCTCCAAAATTTATATTAAGCTAGAATAATCATAAACAATTTAAATAATCGACTTATACTTATATTTTGCAATTAAATCATTTACAATTTTAGTAAATGTAGTGTTACAAATTTCAATTCTATGTTGGAATTGGTTATTTTAATTGATCATATTCTTTTGGTATTTTTTTGCATATAATTAATTGAGTGATGCCATTTATCGTATATGAAACCTAATTAACTAATAATTCATAAATCGTTAAAAGCATTGAAAATATTTAATTTATAAAAGTAGACAAAACATTATTATATGTAAATAGTATTGTTTAAATGTTCGTAGAGTTATAATTTACTTGGTATTTAATTATTTGATAAATTAAACATAGGTTAAGATAAATGATTCCAAATTAAAGATGTGAAGTAATTAAATATGTAAACTTTGTTCCATTCATGAAATTTGCACAACTTAAAGTTTGTCTAATTAAAATTTTTAAGAATTAAGAATATAAAATTTGTTTTAATATTAAAATATCAATTTGACAAAAAAGATTCAAAAAGAATATTTCGAATTATTCATATTCATATTATAATAATCATAACAAACGAAGTTACTATAATATAAAATTGATTGCTAAGACCCCACAATTCAAATATGTATTAAATATTAACTTTCGTCTAACAAAAAGTTTATTTTTCTATTCGCAATACACATGAATTTTGTTGTTATGTATGCATTTACCAATAATATAATTGAATTGATTTCATAAAGTTTTCTCATCATTAATTTAGAAACGATAATAATAATGAAATAAAGGGAGTATATTTTAAAATATTGCGTGCAACAGAAAAAATGAGTGTATTTTTTTATTTAATTATCTAATACTGGACAAACGTAAGTCTTAATGTTGTTAATAATCTTCTTCAAAAAAGTTTGTAATATCATGTAATAATAGATTTATTTAAATCTTCAAATAATCAAAAATTATTAATTTAAAAAAGTAATAAAAGAAGAAATTTGAAATAATATAATTAATTGATATATATCAACTGCAAATTGGAATACTTTTTGTACTTACCAAACCTTTTGTATAATACTTTTCTAGTTCTCGGAAAAGATCTATGAATACATAAGCATTCTGTTCATATAGGATGCCGTATGTTTTCTTAAACATTTCATGAAAACTTCTTTTACTTGTCTTCAATAACTCATTGAAAAAATCTTAAACAAATAAAAAGTTATAAAGTAAATTATTTTTTAATATTTTATCATATCTTTAAAAATAAAACAATTTAAAAATATACATTTTTAATAAGTAAATATCATTATAGTCAAATTTAAGTACGGACTAAATTAAAAATAGGATTTAAAGCATAATTTATATGATCAAGTATATAAAAAAAAATACGATTCTATGTGGGCCAGAAAATAATAATTATGATTAAAATTTATAAAATTATTATGAAAAATATTATTCATTTTTTTAAAATCTAATAATCTTATTTTTTTAAGCTAATAATTTCCAATAAGTTTTTTCTTAGTGTAAACATTCAAATTTATTTATTCTTATTTAAATATATTATAAAAATTATAAAGGAATAAGATTATATATTTAAAAAAATGTATTAACATTCATAAGTTATATTAAACCTTATAACAGAAGATAATTTTAATATTATAAATCTACTTCATTTCGAAATTCCATCTTATGTCATTTATATACCTTGAGGTTATTAAATTACAAAACTTAACAATTATTATGAAAAAATATCACACACCTAAAGGCATGTAAATAAAATTTTAAAATAGAGTAAAAGACATATTTTTAAAAAATTCTCTTGTAATTATATAACAAATAAATAAACAATAATAAAACATTAAATGACGAATTTTATTTAAAAACTGGTCTATTCAATATATATATTCGACATATGTAAAAAACTGCAGTTGGTGACCTTTTTATTAATTTTATTGAACAGTGGTGATAATCCAAAGATGGTTGCTCTCTGAACGAAAAAGATGACTTATGATTAAATTCTACTTGTGATATTTATGAAATTAAAAAATGGTATTTATACTTATTGATATAACTGTTGCAAAGATCATTGTGCTATTTATAACTGCTTTGTATAATTTTAGTGTATGAAATCTCACGTAAAATAGTATGTATTTTATTAGTAACAATAATATTTTAAATTAAAATAAAATTATTTATTATTAAATTTTTATCTAATCTTGGTTTATTTATAATACATCATTTGTATATTTCTAATATAAATGTTATATTTGGTTGGCAACATTATTTTGCTAATTTTTACAATTTTTTATTTTATATGCTCGACCTGATTTTATATTAATACCCAATAAAAATAATTTTCTTTTGAATATGACTTAACTATTATAAATAGAATTAATAATGACGATTAACTATTTTATTACTTGTGGTAATAAATTTATAATTAATTAAATAAATCATAATTTAGTATTTAAATACTAGGTACATTTTTATTTTCAGAAAATAAGCAATTAAAAAAATATAAATAGAAATAAATAGAAATTAAATAATCTTAACAAATAATGTCTGTAATAATAAACATAATTAGTTTGTTTTCTTCAATACAGTTTAAGAAGTATATAAAGACGGCATATAAACTGAATATAAAATCACTATCAATGATTAAAATTCCGATTAGCAGGAAATAATACTTTCAATTATTTTTAGAAATAAATATTAATGATATTCCTGTACTTAATGTTAACAAATTTACTACTCAACGACTTTATATATATCTGAATACAAATAATATAATATTTCAGTAAATATAACGAAATATTTTAAACAAATACAATTAATTGATATAAAATGTATAAATCTTTACAAAATTTATTCACAACACACAATGAAAACATCTATACATGAAAGAAGTACTTACGAATATTTTATAATTTTTAATATTATACATAACAGTAATTATTTAACACCATTAATAATATACTATAAATTTATATTCTAATTTTATGCAATCTATTTTAATGATCCTAAAAAAATTAAAAAATAAAATACCTATAAAATTAATAAAAATATATTAAGATAACTATATTTTTAGATAGTTTTTATATCTGTAGTCTAAATTATTTTTTGGTTTTATGAATTTTTAAAAGTTGTAGAAATTTTTACATATAAATATTAAATACAATTTCTTTAAATGAAAATTTTTATTATTTTTTCTGAATTCCTTTAATAATTTTTATATGTTACCTGGTATAAGAAATAAACTCGCAATATGATATACATTATAATAATAGTAATAAATATCAATAACCATTAATGATTATTAATAATTTTAATCATAACTAACAACGCTCAAATTATAATGTTCTAAACTATAAACAAAAAGACGTTATGTTCTCAAACATTTTCATCGTGAAATATTGTCCGCTTTATATTACAAAAAATGTAAACGTTTTTTAAATAAAATTTATTATAATTTTTCATTTTACTGTTTTCAGTAAATTTTTGTCTAATTTTCTTCATTTTACAAACTAAATTTAGTCTTTTATCCTAAATTTTTTTATGTATTTTTTTTGCTCAATTTTTCAATGTTATATATTTTGTTGAAGCTGCTTTTATAACATATTATTTCATTATATTAAACATCACCTCTTGGAAGGTATCTTCAAAATTTTTATTATTTTGTCAGGACATTTTCTTTGTTGTCTTTGCATCCGTTCTATAATTCTTGACATAATGTTATAATAAAAAACTATCAACTTATTATAAACGACACCAATATTTACATGAAAGTATAGCACTTGTTAAAGATTACGAAAAAATATTTTTTGAACTTCGTGTTGAACAAGAAGTTGAGTAAGTGACATGATGGAGCATAACTACATTTATTCTTGCTAAATATATCTTACATTTCTATCAATCATTTGTCTATGAACTCGACTCCCGTCAAGTAAAATAATGTCGTCATTTAGTCAATAGTGGTCAAATGAACCCATGCATGCGCTAATCCCGCCCTTTTTAATGATATTTAGATATATCAATATATTTTGAAAAATTCGTATTGTTTATGGAACTAGACAATGTGTTATTTTAATATTGTTCATTTTTAGTATCGACCTTTTTATCATAAAATCCTAAGAATTAATATTAGATATTATAATAGATATTAATTAATACTAAAGAATACTATCGTTATTTTTTATTACAATATCTTTAACAATATTCTTTTGCTGACATATTTTATGATAGAGACACTCTAAGAATTAAAAATCCGTTTTATGTTAACTAATTCTATTTTTACAGGTTTTAGAATATTCAAAAGCTCAGTACACCAATGTATAGGGCCAGTCCTAAATAAATAAATGAAACATTTAGAGAAATAACAATTTGATAAATGTTTTTATTATCATCGTATGGCCAAATAAGATAATATCTACATGTTAAAATAATTTATACTATTTTCTTTTAAACAATGAGCTGCCAAAATTATTAAAAAGTATTTCAATTTTATATAATCTGTTTCAAATTTGTATACAATAGGTTTGATTCTTTAATATATAAATCATTTTAAATAAAAAATTTTTTTAATTTATTTCAAATATTTACAAAATTCGTTAGTTTATTTAATTGCAGCTCTTCAAAATAATTACATTTAGAAATTATATCGGAATTATTTTTTTAAGTTCTTAGATATTTTGAAAATTATTATTTTTTAAATTGCAACTTTGATACTCCAGTGATTGCTTATCTACTTTTAATATAAATATATAATATATTTAATATAAATTGAATAACAATATAAAAATAATTATATAAAATAACAACAATGTATTATTTAAATATATTGAAATTAAATAATACATTTGACTTACTAAAAAATCGTTAAACAAAAAATGATAAAAAGCTTACCATGAAATTTAATGGCTCTAGTGTATAAAATATTCTGGAGGCGCTGAAGAATCTCTTTGGTCGCTCTATCATGTTTTTCACGAGCTTTAGCTTGTAATCGTAATTCCATCTCGGTTGTGCAGCAGACTCGACCACCGCTACTTATACCACCACATGTTTTCAATTCTCTTGCTATAAAAAAATTAAAATTGATCTTTGTATTCAACATAAAATGGAAATGATAAATGACGGTAAATAATTTTGAAATATAATAATGAAAATTTACATTTTAGCTTATTCCGTGAAATAAATTTATGTAATTAGTTGTGAAGGTTTGTTCAAAATTTAAACTAGGTTTCCTTTTTGTATTATTCAAAATATTAATGACAGTTATAATTTAATTATTACAATTAGTAAATCTTATTATATAATGATTATATTTGTTTAAATTATAAATAAGAAATATTTTAAACAGAGGGTTACAGGTACGACATATATGTGAATCTTAAAATAATAATCAAAAGTATAAAAAATATTTGTTGTTAATTAAGCCAATCATTAATATTATGTACACTCGGGTATTATGTACACTTAATTCATATCATATTTTTTAAGTCACAGGGTCTTCATTATAATCTGTTAAATAAAAATGCTCTAAATGTCATTTTATGTATATCAAAACATTTATAAAAGCTTGAATTTTTCAGAAAAAAAATTAAAAATTGTCATGGAGGAGAAATTTTTAAAGTATATCAAATAATATTTGGGAATAAAAGGACTAAAGATCAAAAATAACTTTTTAATATTATCAACACTTTCAAATTTGTTACAATATTTATAATTTGTCATCGATTTAACGACATGTAGAAATCATCATAATCCATCCATGTAATATTATTACAGTACTTGTTCTTCTTAGATTCTTATATAGTTTTTATTAACTTAAAAAGTTAACATTTACCATTTATAATTTTAATTATAGCTACTATGTAAAAATTGCAAAAAGTAATGTATTTGTAAGTAGTGTTACTAAAAAATTTACAACTTTATAGTAGATTGAATACAAATATTTTTTAGTAAAAACCAATGACAAGATAATTTAGAACTTTAGCAATTACATATTATTTTTTAAAAATTGTTCTGTAGAATTAGAAATAACTATTTTCTTTTAATATTTCATAATGTAAAATATAATTAAAGGAAATTAGATTTTTTTATTTTATATGAAGTAGTTTCAAATAAAGATTATTATTTGAAATTTGTTATTATGCAATTCAAGTTCTACAAGATTTATTTGAAGTAGCAAAAAATTATAACTATAACTTTTTCAACTTTTATTCGCATTTTTTTTTTACAAAATATCGATAATTTAAATTAATAGTTTTAATTTTTTGTCAACAAAAGATTTTCTGCTTATAAAATATTATTATAATGAAAAACTTTTTGTGGAAATACTAATTTTTATATATAAATTAATATACAAGATTTAATTCTATCAAGAAATTTATCCATAGAATTCTCATTGTTAATTAATTCTCACAGCTGTTAATAAAAATATTCTAATCAAATAAATATAAATCGTTTTAATGTTAAAATATATTTTATAAATTATTTTTACAAATTACAATATATTCGAATAGATTATCTATAAAAAATGGAAATTGGAAACAAGAGATCAAAAACTAATCTTCATGAAGATCTAGATTTTTTCGTCAAACATGAAAATTAGTAATTGTGAATAACCTATCAATTCGGACAAACCTGTTTTTATATTAGTTTTCATTTTATGTATATTACAGTAGAGGAATATTATGTGTGGTATGAGGATTCTGGTTTATGGTTACAGACACGATATAATGTATGAAAATTAAAAATTGTGAAAATTTAAAAAATTCATTAAAAAAATTTCTTCAAATAATATAATTTTATTAGTAATATTTTATACATAAAATGTATAACATACATATTGTTTTTAGTCAATTATCCTATTTCCAAATTGAAGCAGTGTTTATTGCAAAAATTAAATGCAAAAATAAAAATGCTGTATTTAAATGCGTCTTTACCATACACATTCAGTTGCTCAAAAAGCATGTTTACAATAAAAATACATTTTTAGTGAATTTACACTTTTTATACAAACAATTATTACAAATAAATAAATGGTTTAGACATAGATCAACTTTTTTTTACTTAATTTAGTGTCAATATTTGTATTTTATGTGAATTGATAAATTAAAAAAATAATCATATAATCTTAGAAATTGAATAAAACACTCTCTTAAATATAATTACGCATAAGCTTTTAAAGGTAAATATAGTGAAAATACAAGGAAAAAATATAGTATAAGAAATTTAAATAATTAAAGTTACAGTATTAAAGTTAAACGTAATATATTTATTCAACGTGAAAATGATCATCAACTGAAAGTGCAGATTAATTTTTTTATCAATTTTTTCTTATACTTCATTTATTTGTTTTAATTAACAATTAAACTGTTTTTAAACTCTATTTTCATATTTGATAATACTTTTTTGTGAATAATAATATTGTGTATTATGTAAATTCAAAATATAGCTTATTGATCAACGTTTATTTTCAACTTTGTAAAATTAAAATTGATTTTTAATTTAAATAAATTTTTAAATTTCAAATAATAATTTAAAAATGTAAATAATCACAATAAATAGATAAAATACATACTATATATAATATTATATAGTTAATGGCTAAATTTTTATTTTGATTTTCTTAAAAGATTCATTTAAAATTATGAAATAAATTTCAAATGTTAGCTATTATTGTACATAAATGTTTTTCTGTGTATATAGGTGTAGAAATGTTGTAACAATTTTTTAACAGAATACTCATGTATATGAATATTTATATAAATTATATTTTTCTCTTTTTTGTTCAACTAAAGAATTGTAATGTACAGTATACAAAAATTTATATTTTTAAAAATATAATAGAAATGATGAAAAAATAATTTCATAGGATTTAGATTCTTTTAAAAATTCTTTTGTATTATAGATAAAGAACTGATTAAAGGTCAACTGTAAATTAATAATATTTAGATTTGTTACATAAATTACAATAGTTGTATCATAGTTGAGTCAATTTCGAAATAATTATTTTATTTAAAAATCTAATTTTACAAAATTGGCAAGGACAGTAAGTTAAAACATGTCTTTACTCATTTTTCCAAAAATACAATAATAATTGATGAACCTACATTATCATTTTTAATATAACAAATTTGTTACTTTTTTAGTTTCAGAATCTAATAATAGTTTTTAATGTAAAAATGTTTTTAAACTACAAAAAACATCTTTCTTTTATTTAAATTATTTATGGCAATTGATAAATGTTATTACTATTAATAATCATTCAAATTTAACATTACAGGTATTTTTTAAATACGTTTTTAATATTCATTATGAATAAAAAACATTTTAAAAACTTAGCTTTTTATAGACATGTTTATTTTCCTTGCTCTTTCATAAAATTTTATAATTTTAATTTGTTAGTTGTATATTTCACTAAGATTCATAATTTTTATATAACAATATTTTTAATTCAGGAATAAAATCAATGTAGGATAAACACAGAATTAATATTAAATTCTGAACATTCTGAAAGCTATTAAAGTTGAAAAATACTAAATAGGGTTATCAGCTTTATATTAATATAAGATTTATAAATTTGAAACAATGTGAATCAATTAGTACAAAATCCAAGAAATGGAAAAATAATATGTATATCAGAACTACTTATTAATAATTTGATTACAAAAATAAAATTAGTAAAAGCAGAAAACCATTCCAGTTTAGGATTACTATGATCTGTTGAATTTGATTATATAATTTCTCTGTGTTATTCTTTTATTATGTTATATTATGAATTTTTATTTACTTTTATTATAAAAGGTAATTAATTCATTTATTAATTTTAGATTTGATCATAAAATTATTTAAATTAACTTATTACTATCTTAAAAAATGGTAATTAAATGAAATTTTTTAAAATAAAAGTTAATTACAGTGATCTATATAAAAAATATTATTCTTCAAAATATTTATTAATCTGTGTTTAGAGGTCCAAATGATATCTTATTCTCTTATTAGCAATAAATTTAAGCAATTAATTTAATACTAAATTATTTTTAGTCATTTATACATCATTTATACTAAATATATTATACAGAATAATGTAAATATAATAATTTATTATAGTAGAAATAATGAGTTGACTAGATATAATATTGCAATTTACAATTATAAAATCTGGAGCAAAGCCAAAGCTCAACAAAATTTTAAAGTTAATTTTATTTTTAAATTTTGGCTATAAAACGTATTCAAAATCTTAAATACAAAAACTAGGTTGAAAATATACATATTTATCATCCAAAATTATAAACTAAAATATTTTCTTCAAATAGATTATAACAACTTACAGCTTTACCATTCACTAACTTCTTTCTGAATTTTGTATTCCTTTTATTTCTATTCTATCTCATTTAGGATCCACTATATTTTGATTTTGTTTAGTTTTTAAATTTGATAACTGCTGTATGAAGATTATTTACTGTAATTGGTAAGAAAAATTAATGGAATAAATTTCAAAACAATTATCATAGTGTAGCATAAAATAAATTCATTAAATAACGATATTGAATATTAAAGCAAGGCTCTTTGCCTATTTAGGTTTATTTACATGTACATTTTTCTATTACCTCTTTTACTTTCCAACTCTCTTTAGATAGATTGTTTTAATAATTGTATTTAAATATAATTTTTAAGTTTATTAAGTAATTAAAGATAAATAATTTTCTTTTATTTAATTTTATAATCAGATTTGTTAAGTTAATGAAATACAAAGTTTATTTAAATATTTTGTATAGTATTCTTTTGTGTTCAAAAAATAATTTTTTTTAATTTTATTATATAGGCATAAAAGGTTTACATAAAAAAATTGGACTAATCTTATTTAAAAGGAATAATTTAAATAATTATATTTCTCTATAGATTCTAAACATTAAGAATTGTATATATAAAGAATAATCTATAGTTGACATACAAGTTATTAAATAAGTTTTAAAACATATACTACTAAATGTCAGAAAAATTTAAAAATCAAATCTTAATAATGTTGTAAGGATTCAAGAATAATGAAATTACACATTATATTATATTTAAAGCAATTAAAATGTAAAATAATAACAATGAAAATGATTTATAAGAAATTTTAATTTAATGTATGGTAATAATTATATTATAATATATCAAATTTATAAATTAAAATAATTCTAATAAAAAGATCAAGGATTACAAGTTGTGTTCTGCACTTGAATGCTAAAGATTTGAAAATAGATTTTTGTAATTATTGAATTACTGCGACAAATAAAGAATCAGTATGTAATAATAAAGTAAACTATCTACATACACATTCATCATTTTGGAATATAGATATCTAAACAGTACTTATGCTATCATACCCGAATAATTGACATGTTTTTTGTTCTTTAACTATTAAATTTTGAAGTAATTTATTGCATTTTTTTTTTTCGGTATATACATAATTTCATATATTACAGCCTATTTCGGTATTTGTAATTACATACGTAATATACACGCGTAAAATAGTATGTAAAAATGTACAATAAATAAAAAGCTACATCCAACTAGAGTGGAAAGAAACCAAAAATCATGAAAAATAAAATAGAGCATGGAGGAATATTATTTATTATGAAATATCATTTTTAAAGCCAATAACATAGCAACTTGTAATCTATCATTATTAAAAGTTCGTTAATATAGTAGTAATTCCTATATCTACATTAAATTTAAATTTAAATATGTGTACAATAAATAGAAATTTAAAAAGTTTCTAAATATTAAATAAAATGTAAATATATAAGAATCTATCACTATTTGCTATTAATTATTAGAATATACTTACATGAAATAGGTTCCTTAGGTATGTTACTAGCGGGAAACCCTTCAGCTTCAAAGTAACTTCTAACCGCAATGCAACTAAGCGTCGTTGACGATCTTGTACGTGTAGTAGCAGCTGCATTCGCACTAGCACAGCTGAAAATCGTCAGCATCAGAATTCGCAACATTGTTCGATCACTAATAACACGATGACAAGCACTCTTCATTCCATTGGTGTATACAAATCAAATACTATATCTTCTCAGTTTGATAAAATCTAAACGACAAGAAATTGCCGGTAATCCTTAGATGCTTATTTACAAGAACAATTTTAAGAAGGAAAACTTAATATAGAAACAGGAATGCGTACTAAATGTAACCCCTTTGATGTCGACTTAAGTCTTAGGTTTTACTTCTTTTTTTGTCGACATCTGCTGGCTCTAGCACTCGGACAAGCCAGTTCTTCAACAATAGTGTAGTGACTAGTTGCATAAATTGCTCCTTCGTTTGCTTTCTACGCATATCATACAAACTATTTTTGCTTCGTTTAATCCGTAACCCCTATTGCGCATGCGTCCATCATACTATCAATTAGTAAATCAACATCTGTTCTGTTTCTCTCATTCTCTTAACAACTTGTTTTTGTTCAGATAATTAAATCACTCATATTTTTCAAATTTTATACATTTTCACATTTTATAGACTTGTTTTTCATTTATATATATTTTTCTTTTCAAATTTTATTTCTATATTTGTTTGTAGCTATATTATAAAACAATTTTAAGCATGAATATTGTATTATTTAATGGGCATTTATTATTAATCTTAATATTCAATTAATTATTAGTAATATTCTAGAGGTTTTATTTCATCAATAATACCTTACAAATATATTTAATTCATACTAAAAATTATACATTGATTTTTTGAATATTATATATTTTGTCACGTTAAAATTTTATTTATAATTTTTTTTTAATTATTTGAAAATATATTAATTATGATACGAGATGGATATATTAAATGAATATTAGACAAAAATATTCATGTAATATACTGACAGTCATATTATATTCATACGAATATTTTATGTTACATATAATTTAAAGATTTTTTAAATATTTTAATTATTAAAGAAATTAATTAATAACAAAAAATTATTTAAACTAACTCGGAAAAATAATTGATGAATTACCATTTCTTTATGAATAAATAGTAATAATAATTAATCAATTATTTTTAATAACTATCAAATTAAAAATAAACTAAAAAATTTATATAATTAACATTTTAATAAAAATTAACAAAGTATTCTTCAAAATTATTAAAAATATATTATATACATGTAGCTAATTATTCTGCATTTCTCGTGAATTACAAATTTTTGTATATTTAACGAATATATTTCAATAGAATAGATAAAAAATATACGATGTAATTTTATCGTCAACAATTACGAACGTAAGTAAATAAAATATGAATGCTGAACACACTATAAATATAGATAGACTTTATTAATAGAATTAAACAAATGGTTTTATTCATTATATTAAATATGGTTTATCTAATAACTCAATTTTTCTATAAGATAGAATTAAATACAACATATTTAACTATAAATGTATGAATTTAATTAAAATAAAAAAATCGAAAAAAAGCTGAAAAATGAAGAGAAACTGAAAGCAATAACGTAAAGGTAATTAGAATATGTGGAAACAGAAAATAATAGCGAGGAGATATTTTAATAGTAATAAATGAACTTACACTTTTAATGAGGATGTGTAATAAATAGAAACATCATGATGTGATTATGTCCTATTAGCAGATTGACTTAATTATCTGATATTACCTCTGTTGGATTATATCTTTTTCATAATATTCAAGAACAAAAGTACCATATTAATTAATTTTTTATTACGATTTTTACTATCGATAATCTTTTTAATTTACCCATGCATAAATAATTAGTTGGATTTTATATACTTCATATAGTGTTATAATTTCACCTTATTGTATTCTCACATTTGTGGGTCGTGTCATACTGGATTTACAATAATGCCATCCTACATTTAGATAATAAAGTTATTTTAAATTCGTATTTGATCCACTGTTTTAAACTAGTTAAGTTAGTATTGTTAGGTGGTGAATCTGTTACAAAATTAAGAAACATTAATAGATATATTATGTATAAAAAAACACAAGCTTTTAGGAGTGGAAATTAACATTAATTTTAAGACCATTAATTTGTGAGTCTTAAAATGACTTCGAAAACTGACAGAGACAGGCCAGCGGATACTATATTAGCACAATACTAACAGTTTAGTATTTGAATACGGTAAAATTGATCCACAGTAAATTTAGCAATGTAATTCAATATGTCATTATAGAACGTGAAGTTGATAAGCAGCTTACAAAGCTCAGGCGTATAATTAGTTCGATACTGGCATAGAAGTAGTACGATAAATACATTTATATCGAACAATTATTTATAAGAAATCCCCGAGAAAAGATGGATTTTGTAATTCAGTTCGGAAAGGCAGTTTTAGGAATTTGCTAGATGAATTGAACTTTCATTTGAAATTTTATACAGTTTCAAAACTGAATGTATTCCTCAGCAGAAAATTAAGCTAAAGAAACGTTTATTTTAAATACTATTAGTTTCAATTTATAGGACTAAATATCCTTTAATATATCAAATCAAATTTATTATTCAAATATATATTAAATAACGTCTCATCGAAATTAACTGAATTAGAATATTAATCAAATTCCTTCTTTAGCAAATTATGAGTGATAAGTCATTCCGACTTCTATAAATCTGTTCGTGATTTTTACATGACAATTGCGCTCTCTTAAAAGACAAACAAAGTCGATTACTTTTCCTCTATATCATACATTAATATGAAAATGTCGACTAGTGTCTATTTTTGGTTTTACAAACATAGTTATCATATAATTTAAATCCGACACTTTCATTTATTTATTTTTTTCATTTTACTTATTACAATGTCAAACTTTTTTTTAATTATAAATGTTTGATTAAAATACCTTGTTGATAAAATTATAAAATTCTTCAAAATAGTAGACAGAGTAGTTCAAATGAAATTAGGAATCATTTATTTAGAATTTTAAATCTGAATCCTAATTTAATATTTATTTAATAAATAACATTAATAATGGTGAAAGAATACTTTATATCTTTCTATATGAATGTTGATGATCCAGTTATGATTTACAAACATATATTTCGTAAAAGAGTGAATTTCTTTGGTTATTTTTCAATCTACATCAAAATCAATTATTTATCAACGAAAAATGCCAAATTATATGTTACAAAAATATTTGATCTTCAATAATTAACATCGATTTAGTAATCTATTCGAACTTATTACTATAATAACACAATTCTACTTTTAACATTAGTAAGAGAAATTTCAAATAAAATATCTGTAGATTACAAAAAAGTTAAAATTATATTATTTTTTTAACGGATACAGATAATATAAAGTATTAAAGGAGATTAGAGGCTTGATTATTATGTAACATAAACCTAATACTAACTTTTATATTTAGAATTTATTTACAAAACATCGTAACTTATAATTATATTTATGTGGATAAGATTCAACACCATAATTCTTAAACTAAATTTTCAATATAATCAATATTTTAAGCAAAGTACCATAAAGTAAGTTTGGTTGTTTATGTAAAATCTCATTCTAAAAATTTAATAGAATTTAACTTGTGCATTTAAAGATGATGAATAATAATAGCAACGGTACAACGTTTATTTTTGTGTTAATACTGTTTCTTCTAAATGAACTGTTATTGTATTATAACCAGTTTTTAAGAAGTTGTCTTTTATCTGAATCTACTTTTTCAGATTTACTAATATATTATAAATTTTCTTATAATTTTATTATTTAACTAACATATTTTACGAAATCTATGTTAACAATTAATAGTTATATAATCTAATTATATTGTAAAATATACTTTATTTATATTCCGGTATCAAGTGCAGAGTCAAGTGTACTGTATTTCTAAAGTTTTGGAATAAGTTTAAACAATTTATTTTATATTTGTTTTATATTGTAATTAATCTAATATAAAAAAATCCAATTTCTTTTTTCTTTAATTTTCTAAAGAGACAATACTATTTTATAAATTCATATGTTGCTCTTCGTCTCTCTGTCAAGATTGAACTATTCCATAAACAGTTATAATTATATTCAATTAAATATGACATTTGTATAATTTATAAAATCCAAAAAATGTAAGCATAGATTGGTGTATTCAAGAATATGTATATATATATATATATCAAGAATATTTTATTTTTATCTTATTATAGTACTTGAATATTCTATACTTAATCATTTATAGGAAATAATAATATTGAAGTAATTGAAATCTTTTATTATTATATTAAACGCGTCCGTTTGGAATTCCAGCCACCCGGATGGTTAGAAGACCAAGGTGGTTGTATTAGACTGTACTGTTGGTTTAATCGCGATGGGGGGGGGGGGGAGAGGTTAATGCATCAATTCAGTGTAAACACAATTGATTCTAGTGACTTTTATTTAAGGTTATATTACATAGGTTGATGTTGTTACCGATCGTTGTGAAAATTGTTGATCTCGTCGTGATTTAACAGTTGACCTGAAATGTAGAACGTCGTTCGGGAGTACAAGGCTAGGACTATGTTGTAATACTGGACATGCTTTATTGTTCGTTATGGGGAAGAGAATCTCGAGAGTCGCGGGTCGTGGGCGCTCCTCTGGGCAATCTTTGCAGGTGAAAGAATCGCGGGAGTCACGAGGCCATAAGCGCTCTCCTGCGCGAGCATGAGTTAGTGGGGACTATTTAAACAGTATCGGCGCCTCCTTCCGCAGTCTGACAAGAATCAAGTTGCAGAGGCCTGACCGATAATGTTGGCGCTGAGTCGCAATATATAATGGTATGTGATACAGACAATTTTCTGTAGATGCCAGTCTATGTCGTCCCCCTTAATGTGGTCTGATATAGTTACGTTGCAGAGGACGCACCGATAGCTGGTCAGCAATAGATAATTAATAATATAAATAAATGAGTATACCTTGCACGGATTCCTGTAAACGTGTAGAACTTTTCAATGTTATGACTTGCACTAATTACACTTGACTTACTAAACAAGACTAATTTTCTTCGTCGTTTGGTGCTCCTTATTGCGTACACTTAGCGCTGTAATTCTTGGAAGCTCTGGTGAATTCTCGGAAAGCAAGCTTTATTGGTTCGAGAATCTTTCTTTGTTGCTATGCGGATATAGCACGAGGCTTAACTTTAAATCGAGAATTTTCGTAACGAATAATTCAAATATTACGCCATAATATAGATATAATGTATCCGAATCATATTATAATAAACAATAAATTTTGTATTGTGTAATTCAATCCTTGTCTATCTATTCTATCAAGTGTCGTATTTTCAATAATAAATTTAAATAAACATGATGAAAAATATAATTTAAAATTATTGCTTCTAATAGTTATTTTGTTTATAAATAAAAGAAATTATATCTATTTATTTATTAGTAAAATTTATGGAATTAATAATACAATAGTATTGGTGATATTGAGTACAAAATACTACATATTCATATATCTTCTTCAATTAATTAATTATAATAAGTACAAATTAGGATAAAATAAAAATATCGAATACCAATAGTATGAATAGATTTAGTATTCTTATAAAAATACAATTGGATTTTGATATACAGTACAACAAATTAATATATATAAAAAATTAATTTTTATTTTTGCAAAATATATATATATATATGCTACAATTATTAATATACAAAGCACACAAATTGTTAAGAACAATATATTAGATATAAATATCTTATAGTCTTAAAGATACGAACAAAGAAATGATGATATATTTACAAGAAATTGGTAGTGATGAAATTTACATTTTACATATATTATATTTTCCGTAATATTAATTAGAAATTCTTTAGATTTTTTGCTAATTGTTTAAAAAAACACGTTAAATGAAAAAAATTATGAATATTGGTGTTACGGATTGCAGCAATTTTAAGCGAAATAAAAGTAGGAGAGGTATGAGCGCGCGAACATTTGTTTCATAAACAAATGGCAAACGAACTCGAAGAATGCTTCTAACAAAAAAAACTCGAATATACGACTATAATTTCGAAAAGTAATAACAAATGAACCCTACAAGGCTATGCCCTGTTGACGTCACGACAAATATCGGCATAGCAACAGCCATCGATACGCTATCGGCGCAGCAAGTTCGTACGAGAATATTTAAGGATCTGCACTTGACTCTCTCGTCCTCTTACTAGTTCAATCAAGCAGTCATCAAGATCGGATCGCCGTCCTATAAGTCAAACACCACTTACATAGAGATCACCTCCTATACACAAGGATCGACCTCAACACACGTAAGCTACGCTATTACACACGTTCTTACGAATCACTAACACACGGCTCCGTGAACTAAGTAAGCAGCAATATCCAACCAGCGGCATCCCCCCCCCGCCAGTGACGTCACACCATCCCCACACTCAGGCCTCTCCAGCTTATCGGTAGCGGCAACCAGCGGCATCAACGCCCCTCCCTCACCAGTGACGGTCACACCAGCACCATTAAGGCCTCTGCAGCTTATCGATAGAGGCAACGGCGGCATCATCAGCGCATCTCCCTCTACCATTACGAGTCATAACCACGAGTAGGAGAATCACGCACCACATCAAGAATACATTTACAAAATCATTATCACTCATATTACCTAAAGAAACTCTCACGTATTCATTGTATTATATTTTCAATCTCACCTCAATAGACCACTGATTATTTATTATATAATTATATTCAATAAAAGGAAAACCAACTCATACAAAGGCAGTGTTGAATGATTGCATTGTCTATTCCACTTGCCAGCAAGCCTCCCTTCAACATCTCAGGGAAGCTTTAAGTCTGATCCCAGACAATTGGTGTTTGAATATATAATCCCGATTTATCTACGATTATTATAATAATAAGAACTGTTTAAAGTTATTAGAAATATTTTTTAAAGTTATTTTAGTCATTATCTGTTAAGACATACAATGTAAGTAAGCCAGGTGCATAATATGCTTGCCTAATAAGTAATTATTAATTAAATATAGAATAATATTAATATAGTAATATTAATATGGAATAATTATATATGTACATATTATATAGTATAAATTATAATAATATAGTAATACCGTGAGCATTATTAATGTATTGTCGTGAATATAATATAGATACAATAAATTGGAATAAATCTTAGATATTAAAAAAAATTATTAGAATAAGCATGTGTGAATTTTTATGACTTTTGATTATCAAGACAAAATTTATACGAGTGTCGTAAGAATCTGTTAAATTATTAATTAAAGTAATAATGTAATATGAGTACGATTGAAAATATATTTTAAGTGTTTTATTATTGCTAAAACTTCTCAAGAATTTAATCAAACTATTAATAATTAGAATTTATATTTATATTTATATTTATATTTATATTTATATATATATTAATAATTAGAATAAATAATTAGAAATTTAACTATATATGATCTAAGAATATTAAAAAATATTTAATTATATAATCTAAATTGACAAATCCGATTACAACAATGGTACATAAATTTATTTAAAAAAATAAGTAAACTTTACCTTATCATTTAAAAAAAGAATACACCATTCACGCAAATAATAAGTTGTTTATATTTACATCAAAACATTATAATTATCTTGTTATAGCCGATTAATTCATAAAGTATACATATACTTTTTTAATGAACTTTGTTAGAATTTACTAAAAGTTTTATAATAAAATTGTACCAAAATTTTAATACAGTATAAATTGATACATGGAAACTTCTGTGCTCTATTAGTTCTTTAAGACATCAAGTTGTAAAGAATGAAAATTTTAAATTACTACTATAAGAAAAATAAAACTTAAATAAAAATTAGATATATTAGATATTAAAATTTTATAGAATTCTTAGTTTAAACAAAATCTTTTTATTCTAATTCTTTTATAATATTTATGTATCAAATTGATACTTTATACAATTATTAAAAGAATTTTTCATAGTATCATTATAATCATATTTTACGCAACTTGTGTATAAAATGTATATACATATAAAATGCTTATAACATTATAAACATTAATATGCCTGTTTATTCACACGTACTTCTGTAATATTTTAAGATATTACTTTGTTTTATATGAGAGTAAAATATACAGTTATAATATTATTATTTATTGAATAAAAATATAATTGTTTTTTTTTTTATAATTATTGATTTAAAATATTAAGAAAACAAAAGAAAACAATATTAAATTTAAATATATGACAAAAATTTTTAAAATTGTTTAATTTATTTTAAATATTTTATATGGAGATACTTATTTATATACATACCCATTGTCAAATAAGTATATTATATTATAATATGTATCGAATATTATTAGCAACAATTATGTGGTTCAATGAAAATCGAATAAAACATAAAGTAAAACTTTTAAACAGATTCATTAAAATTTGAGTCTTAACACCTCTCTCTCTGTTTCTGATGTGTTATAATATAATTCTTCTTCAATTTTTGTTCTTTTCAAAAGTAGACTAGAATGGTTCTTTAAGGAAATATTTTAGAAATATATTCAGTTCCTATTAGAAGTAATAAATAAGAAGCAAGTCTATATAATTTATAAAAATCTGATATTACTATGACATAGGGGACATCCATTCACATTTAGCACATCACGTCCATTGCTGACGTATCGTCGACAAACGGTGCATAACCACGTTTCCGTTAAATTCATCAGTGCTCGACCTGATACAACGCAAGGTGGAAAAGAGTTTGAGCAACTAGGACACATAATACAGCAATCGGGTACTAAACTCTCACACCTTCGGCACTCTATACGTGAGGGTCGTCGGGCATCTCGTGGTGATCGTCGTCCAAATAGTTCTAGTGATAATTCTTCGTAACATGGTTTCAACACTTCTAATTTTATGAGAGCACGGGAACAAGTTGATAATGCTCCGCAAGCGCAACTCGTTAATGCCAGAAGTGCGTAAAGCTGTTCTTGATCAATCAAATCTTCGTACTCACGCAGTCGCAATGTTGTTCGCAGTGCTGCTAGTGGCTCTGCTTTATATAATTGGCGGTGCGCCAATAACAAGAAATGATACGCTTCCGCTCCTCGCCATGCTTCTGCCACTACACGTGTCTCTGTACTATCTGCGTCATATACAATTTGTCCTTCTATTCTTTCCTGAATTAAAAGTGCTGCTAATACATATATTTTTTTCAGTCGAAGCGGTGTTCCACCAGCGTGAGCTTGTTTCGTTGCTAACTGAAGTAGTAACTGTGCAGCTTCCAATAAACAATTTGCTTTGCGGTATAATTCTATTGCCTGTAAATAATGACCTGAAACAAGTAAATGATGAGCGTACTTAGCTAATAGTTCGTCTATACCTGGAAGCTGCCAAGTTCGTGCCAATTCAAGAGCTTTATCCCAACGATTAGAGCGTATACATGTTTCAATGGCTTGGCGCACATCAGCACATCGTATAAAACAATCCACTGCTTGTTGGCACATACCAACAGAGGCAAGCATGCGTGCAGCTCGCCAAAGTTCTGGAGTTTGTTCGGTTAATTGATCTGCAGTTACCGCTAACTGATTATATTCTTCAAGTCGATAGCGACAGTCAAGTAGTTGCTTGAATGCGCGACCACGTTCTAAATGTTCACATGCTGTTCTCCATTCTTGGCGCAAAGCCAATTGCTCACCCCAACTAGCATACATGCATTCTAATTGTGCATCTGAACTAGCAACTCCAAGTTGCATAAGTTGGATTGCCCGTGGATACTCAGCGAGTTTTTGACGTAATGTTACTGCCAGGTCACGTCGGTCAAGTTCTAGATACAGCTTTTCCGCTTCGTCATAATCACCAAGAAATGCGAGAACTTCAGCACGTTGTAGTCCAGAGTCATGTATGCCACGTAATTTCTTAACAAAACGAATACTAAGATAATCAGTGCAACGAACCATAGCATTTTCCGCAGCTTCGAGATCTAACAGTCTTAATGCATGTTCACCGAGAAGTCGCCAAAGACGAGGATGTGGATTATCGCACACAAATGCTTCAGCTTCATGTAATCCAACACATGCTAAGAGTTTTCTTGTATCACGCAAGGATTTAACTTCAACATCAAGCAAGAGTTCAGACCGTGCCTTCTCTGGTCGTCGTATTAGTTCGTCTAATAGAACACACCTAATTTCTAAATCTCGAAAATAACACATGTAACCTCTACACACAATGGGTTCTTCTGGTTCAAGTCCACGGAATACATAAATTCGGCTCTTCTCAAAAATAGCTAATAGATGAGGATTATCTTCAGCCCAACAAATTGCCCATGTATCTTTACGTTCAAACTTTGTATACTCATCTATGTTTTTCATTGAAATTTTGATCTCTGTATCTTGGTTATAATTCTTAGGGGTTATTAGTTGTAAAAGGCGAAGTACACCACAGTTATGAATTATAGCTGCTGTTGTTGAGTTACAGTTAATGGCAAGCTTATAAGGCCTGCTCAATGAAGTATAACGTTTCATTAATGTCACTTGAGGTAATGAATATTGTTGGATTATACCAGATTCACGAGCAATTAATAATATATTTTCTGTAGTGCTAATGCAACTTATCGGATCTGTAGAATTTCTTCGACTTATCGAACTTTCAAAATATTTATGTCTGTCCAAGTCCTGAATAACCTCAGTTATTCCAGTTGGAGTGTCGTCAATATGGTAAATTCGCTCATTTTTTGATTTAATTTCATTGAAATCAAAATTTTGTGGAGCACGAAAATTCCATAAAAGAAAATTATTTTTAGAAGCAACAATTACTGTATTATTGTTCATGGTAATTTGACTTGGCTCAAGGTCAAGAAACTTTTTATCAATAGGAGTTGAAATTGAATTACATACCAACAAAATAAACCCTTCTTTAGCATGAGTAGGATCATTACTAGTTGCAAGAACACAATGTTCTCCATAAGCTACAATATTTATTAAAGACCTTACATATTTAAAATAACAACTATTAGTAATAGTATTCCAGAATGTAATACATACACCATTTTTATTAATTTTTTCATCACTGAATATCATTGTATTGTCGAAATATGCCCATTTATAATTAGGGCAAATATTAGCAAAAAATATATTAGAATCTACTGTAAGACATATTCGTAAGGATTCACTTTCCCAAGTACAGGAGCTAATTCTTTTTCCAGGAACTTTTAAAGTTTTGATATGCTCTCCAAAAGCTGAATAAAAACAAATAATATTGAAATCTTTTTTTTCTTGTTTTATTGATACTCCAGCTATTGCTAATAAAGATCCAAAAGTATTCCACACACAGCATGTAATTGACATATTTGTATCTATTTTCTTTAAATTATTATCACATGTATCTTTTAATAAACATACTTTTCCATTTTGAAAACATACAGCTAATGTAGGACAGTCAATTGCTGTATAGCCATTGCGACCATCATACCAATTAAGTGCAACTATTGCATGAAGATCATCACTAATATTTTCTAATTTGGTTAAAAAGACACCTTGATCATCATAAAGATGAGCTTGGCCATTTTTTAATCCAAATAAAAGTAACTTAGCATCTGGTGACCATTGTACAGCAGTTAAAGATAAACTTTTTAATTCTTTACTCCAAATCCTATTACCATCTACAGATCCAACTATTACAGCTCCATCTTCATAAACAATACATATTTTTTTACCATTTGAACACCAAGTCATTCCTTTTACAATCGATTTATTACGATTATTAATCATTTCTTCATACCATGAACCTTTATATAACATCCACACAATAATAACACCATTGTCATCGCTTGATGTTAATTTTTGATATTCATCATTCCAAGTAACTACTTGAATATTACCATTATGACCTTCTAACGTTTGATTCATAGTTAAATTATTTGTTGAAATTGTGGAACGAGTTTTAATACTATTATTAATTTTATCTGAAATTGCACTACTTTGATCAGCACGTATAACTTTTAAAAGACCACCATTTCCTCCAATTGCTATATAACCTTGCTTTTGATTCCATGATATACAATTTAAACAAACATTATTTGGTATAGCAATTTTTTTACTTAAATACACAAACATTATTTTTTTTAAATATATGATAAATATTAAATTATAAATATTTAACATACGTAATTATTTCTTAAATTTGAATAAAGTTTATAGTACATTACTAAATCTACTACTTTTTATGATATAATCTAAAACTTAAATAATTTAATAAATACAGATATTTTAATGTATAATTGCATTCTTTGAAAATATAAGATAACAAACAATGAACAATAAAAATTGTCCACAAAAATTGATTAATCAAAATAAAGTCGAAAATTCAGAAAACGTATTACAATTTAGATAGGACACGTATATTTAATAATATTAATAGAGGCTGGTTGGTTATCTTTAAGCGCGAGCTATACATTTTTAAAATTAAACAAAAATAGTTAAAATATTGAAAGTAATTAGATAAAAAACTTATGTTAAAAATAGAATAGAGTTTGATATTTTTTAATTTGAATTAAAATAAATAAATTACAACTATTAAATCATTTATATTAATAAAATTATTAAATAAGTTTCAGCTTTATATTTTAAATATCAGTAGGAACAGTTTTGGTCACTAATTCGCTGATTGGGTCATGAAATATATAAAATATTCAAAATTTTTATAATAGAATCAAATTTGAATTCGAATTAGATCTTTAGAGTCTCTTTCCATTTTTAACAAGTACAATGTCAATGTATATTGTTATAAAATTTAATTAAAAAAACATCCATAATTTTACTTATTACAATTTATAATAAATTATATAATATTTAACTTGAATTTCTCCAAAACAAACAATAATATTTTGTTAATACTTTTAAGACATTATTTTGAAAAAATTCAATCTAAGCTATAAACAAAAATTGCAATCACACGAATTTACATAATTCCAGAAATATGAAATATACCCAAAAGTAGTAAATAATATTTACAAAAGAAATACTACTATTTCTCTAACGTCAAAACGTATTGTCAATATTTGAATAATGTAATATAAATATAATCAATTTATAAATATATACATATATATAAGATTATAATGTATTATACCAAGCATGAAAGTAAATTTGGTAAGATCTATTTCATATATCTTTAAATAAATAATTTACTCTAGAAAAGATTTAGAAAAACTTTATCGACTATATATATTGATTATAAATCTGTATTTCTTATTACATATATTTATTTGATAATTTAACTAAAGTATAAATAATAACTTAAAATTTTATTTACTGACTTTCATATTATATCAAATATTCTAAATTATTTAATCTTGCTAAGATAGTAATATATATAAAAACAGTTTGTTCTCTTACTAAAAAGCGTTTATTATAATTAAATTAAAAATAACGTATTGCAATTGCATATTCGTATTAATGTTTTCTTTGTAATATAAAAATAAAAGGAAAAAATAAAAGTTTCAATCGGCAAAATATCAGCTTTAGTGCTCAATATTTCAATTTTATGTACAAAATTATAATCAGAAATATAAGTACATTGTTTACAAAGTAGTAAACAAAGTAGTAAGTACATTGTTTTTAAACGTATGTTTAATGTCAGAGAAAATAATAAGCTAATAGTATTATTTTTAAAAAATTTTATATACTTTTTCTAAATAAAAGTCTAGTTTTCTTATTAGAAAATACATACATTTAGTAGGAGGCCCTTTAGCAGTGCAGTTTTTTAAAACTATTGAAAATAGCGATATGTTCAAAATTAATTAATTTAATTTATGCAAATCGATTAATATCTTTAATGCTAATCGATAATGAATATATTTATATTTATAAGAAATTATTTTTATTTACTATTTGAAATATTATTACATTAATGAAGTACTTCGATAATTATTCGATAAATATTTCATTATATAAAATATTATGTATGCTTTCGTGAATATAACATATTTTAGGACTAATATTTTCATTTACAAAAACTGTATTTAGTTTTTTGAAAATAGATATTGAAATGTAGTGACTACATTTAATATCTTTACGTAGATTTGTTGGTATGTACTTACTTTTATTGTTTTATTAAATGATAAGGATAGGCAATGTTCGAATTTTGGGCTAAAGATTTCTGTAATTTTTTTATTATTGCTGAAATACAAGATGTTTTTAATAATTTTTAAATTTATAGATGTTTTAATTTGTACCGTTATTATAGCGATCGTTAACACCATTATTTGCAGAAAATTTACCTTACAAGTTATTACAGAACGTGCACTCATATTTAATTTCATAAATTATTTCAGGGTCTAGACTATATAGCGTCAATATTTAAAACAAGATATACCAGATAATTCATTTGGAAGTTCTGACCATTTATATAAAATAATGAAAAATTCACCTTTCATTAACAAAACGGTAAAAAGTATTTTTATCAATTCAACGACATATCAATTAAGTGTTGTTGAAGAAGCCGATAGGATTAAGTTTTTATATGGTTTCGTATATTGTGTTCTTAACTTAGAGGATCTCTGGAGGTAGACGAAGAAAGTTAAGAGTGTCTTTGCAGAGAATATTTAGAAATTTCTTTTGGTTAAACAGTCTCTAATTAGATCATGGGAAACATGTGCATAATATAATTTATCGATTAATATATACCATAATTATATATATAATAATTTATATATTCACATAATAGTTAAAATTTAAAAAAATATTCTATGAACGATATTAATAATAATATTTAGAATCATAAGAATATTAAGATTATAATATTCGATTTCATGGTTTTCACTACAAATTTATATATTTTCAAGTACGAATTATTTTAAATAACTTGGTAACGTAAGATTATTAATCGAAAAATTAATAAATAAAAAATGATTAAATATTAATAAAATAGATAAATTATTTCAGTAATTTGTGAAATTCCAAATTAAATTGATATTTTCTGAAATAAACAAATTTACTAAAAAAATAATCGCAGTCGAAGTGAACTATAAAGAAGATGACTGTTGGATTACTATTCGAACAACAATTTACAATTTTTCACTAGCGTTAGTATTTGACTAAATTTTACTACCTGTTGAAAATTGGTTATATAAATAAATTATTCAAAAATATAAGATTGTGACTTATAGTATTAATATAATACATATTGTTATATGAAATTCTTTGTATCTTTGTTGAATTGCTTCCACAGAAAACTCGAACAGTATGATGAAGTAAATTCTTGAGATCTTTAAATCTTTATGGAAATATAATATGTTCTTAATAATTTGTCAACTATTTTGCCTTTTTCTAAAGTAAAAGTAAAAATAAAAAATAATTGTAATAGTTTTTTTTTTTAACCGTAATTAATATTAGCAATAGTTTATTAGTATTATATTAGAATAGAATCTTTTCTCATAATAATTTTAGTACTTTTAGAAAAGTTGTGAATTTACAGATGTTCTTTAACGTGTTTGGTTAATTGGAAAATGTACTAGATCTTTTATGTTTCATAAAAACTCGAATTCCCAAAGAAATGTGTAGCATATTTTGCCCTTTTTTAATTTTTATGAAATTTCTGATTTTTTCAGGTAAGATATATTAGACTATTAAATTTTGATAAATTTTGTACCATAATATGTTGTAAACGAATAACATTTACATATATAAAATATTCATGTCAACTATAAAAAAAGAAAATTCTTAAAATAATGTAAGTATTTATCTACGATATAAAATTTTAATATAAATTCACATTGTATATGTTATTTTCTAATAATTATTTTAAGTTTTGAACTTGAATTTTTTAATTGTTTATTTGTTTAGGATTGGCGCACTCAACAATAAAATTTAATTCCATGAAATTTAAATCATTATAAATCGCAATCTCAGAAAAATTCGCCGAGAAAATTCTGAGAATTATTTAGAAGCCTTTGCCTAAGAAAGTCGTACAACTTATCCGCATAGCAACTACGAAGTCTCGAATCGGCAAAAGTTTATGTTCCAACAATTTAACAGAATATCCTAGAATTGAAACTCTCTCGGCACAGGGTAAAGCTTCAAAGTCTGCACGACTATTTATAAAGAGCAGCTACTTGATTCTTATCAGCCCGCTACGAGGGCGCTGTCTGTTGCCTTACGCCTCTCGCAACTAATTACCATATTATTGTTGCCAAGCGCATCTCGCTCGCGGCCAGCCCCCAGCGATAGTGATACTCATTGACATCGCTACGAGCCGCTAGTTGGCGTCTTCTAGAAAGGATAATCATCTGTTTACCAACCATTATATTCACCCATTATATTCACTAAGAGACTGGTCCATATATCTCGCTAATGGAGCTATGCCATTGGCCACGCGTCTCCAGCGAACTTAACCTCCACAAATACTGTAAAAAGATACCGCTACGGCATTTCGTCTACAGAGAGAGAGAGAGAAAGAGCCATTTCCATACTACTGCTACAATACATTACAAGGCTACTACGATGACACACGCCCGCAAATAATACCAGGCTCACCTTGCACACCCGGACGGCGCCTGCAGTTTCTCTGCCAACTGTCAGGATCATGACGAGCTCAACAATTCCTACAACTACGGGTGAAAACATTGATCAATTGTAAATTTAACTAAAATAAAAGTCATGAAACCCAATTGTGCTTGTACTGAATTGATGCATTAACCCCTCACTCATACCCTCCCCCCTTTCCATCAGTAAAACGATGGTATGGTCTAATCCAACCACCTTGGTCTCCTGACCACCGAGTGACTGGAATTCTAAACAATATCCAAAAAATTTAATATTACACATCGCTAAATTACGTCAATATTTTATTTTTCATCTTTTTTTTATCCATACATGGCTATGGTATTTTGTTGATTTGTGGTAATAATAAAGCGTAGATGTATGAAAAGTCGAGATTGATAGAGAAACATTACTTATCCAGAGTAAATTATGATGAATATTGTATTGTATTTTTTATCTTAAGAAAACATTTTTAGGTTCAATTTAGATTAAAACAACCATTAATAGAATAGTGTATGGAATCTAATAAAAATTAATTGAAAACATTTTTTTTTTAAATATTACAATGTGGTCTCAAACTAATTTAATACATAAACATTTTCATTTCTTATATATTATTTTCAAATCAAATGATAATTTCAACATTATAATTTTTTTGTTTATATTTTAGAAATAGATATATTTATTACTACTAATAAAAATAATTTAAATAAATTTGATATATTTCAATAAAATTATTTAAGATAACTTTTGTAGAAAGATATTCATAGGTTTCTGAATATTTTAGATTTATACATTTATTATTATTTTTATTCTTTTTACTATTATATTGATAGTATATAACATCGTTTTTCAATTATAAATTACAAGTGAATTAAATATAACATTTTCTTACGATAAAATTTATTAAAAAAACAACGTAAAAGTTTATACATCAATACATGTCTATTGTTAATATATAAAATAGTACCAATGTATTTGTAACAAATTATATATAGCTTTTATAATAAAAAAAGTAAAATTATATAAAGCTACACAATATTTATATACAAATATACATGTAAAGAAATTCATATTTTATTTTTTAAGTTTTTGTAAATAAAAAGTATAAAAAATATGTTATCTGAGTACAATAGAAATACTATATTGATATAATATGTACAAAATTGTTCACATAAATTTCAAATCGTAAAAATTCATCGCGTGTACATAATACAATTATATAATTTTTATATAAACTAGAAATTTTTTAATATAATCATAGGAATATATAAAATGATACTGTACGTTAAAATATAATAAATTCTTCTTGAAAAAATATTTGCTAAACATATTTTATAATTATTTTTATAATACAATTGTTCTAAAAATTATTTATGTTTTGTATCAATTATGTAGATTCAAATATTTATAAAACATAATTATTATTATATTATAAACTTTTTATGGATGATAAAAATTATTTAAAATACTGCAATATTCATTTATAAAAAATTTGTTTCATGAGATATTTCTAATATTTTTCTTTTCTTTTTATATATAAAAATACTATATAAAAATATGTATATTTTTTATAACTATATTGACAGCAGTTGTCAAAAAGCATTTCACAGTAATACAACACTATATTAATATGAATTATATAATTTTAAAAACAATTATGCAAAAATTTGAACACATTTATATACATAATTTGGATAAATATTATTAATTATGTAAAGTTCTATACATTGTAATCTATTTTATATGTGTATAAATATTAGATTTAACATTATATATAAATAAAACTAAAAAAACTGTAATCTATGAAATTATTAAATAGTAAAATAATTTATGTTAAAAAATGCAATACATTGATTGGATTGATCATATATACAGTTTAAGATATATTTAAATCAATGACAAATTTATTAGCAAAATTTTACTATTTACTAAATTATATTCAATTTTGTATTAAAATAATTTTCAATATACACAAATATTACCTTTAAAAATATTACTCATTAAAAATCATAGAAGGAATGTTTTAACAATTTTTAAAAAATCTACTAAAAAAGTTTTTTTTTTGGTCTTCTTGAATTGCTTTATGAAATATACAATCAATATCTTTGAATACTTGTTCACAAGATTTTGCAGCATTGACATAATTATGAATACCTCTAATACCATAGTAATGAACAAGTGGTTGTGTTTGAGAATGGTAAGAAGTAAGACGTTTATTAAGTGCTTCAATATTATCATCAGATCTTTTTATTAATGTTTCACCAGTTATCTATAAATAATAAAAATAATTATTTATGATACACATCAGCTTCAGATTATTTAAGAATCTATTATTTTTTATTATATACTTGCATCATCTTTCATAAAAACTTTTGGGGGTGCAAATTCTTCATGATATGATCTTCCACTACTGGGATGAATTAAACGTCCAGTAATTCTTTTAATTAATAAACTATCATCGATTCCAAATTCAATCACAGCATCTAGTTTAGTTTTTCTCTTTTCAAGCATTTCGTCTAACTATAATATTAAAAAAACATTATAATAAAATATTAAATGATAATACTAGAGTATTCGATAAAATATAATAATATACTATACTTAAATAAAACAGTACAGTTACCTTTTCTGCTTGAATTACAGTTCGTGGAAAACCATCTAAAAGGAAACCACGTTTACACTCAGGCTTATCAAGATTTTTATCAATCATATTAACAACTAAATCATCATCAACTAATTTACCATCATCCATAACTTTCTTAACTTGTCTACCAAGTATAGACTCTGACTGAATTTCTGCTCTTAACATATCGCCAGTTGATAAGTGACAAACACAATATCTTTCTTTTAATATTGGTGCCTAAAAATTGTAAGGGATTTAAAATAAAATAAAATATAGCATTAAGTAATAATTTGTAATAATTATAAAAACGAGAAAATATATAAAGATTTGTGTGTAAATTTAAAAAATTTGAATTACAAATTAAAATATTACTTGTGTGCCTTTTCCACTACCAGGTGGTCCTAACAAAACAGCATTAATTCCACGAAGTGGTCGTTCAAATTTGTCCTTTGAAAACATTTTTTCTTTGAGTGTCATTTTTATAAAATTGGATTTTTAGAATACAATAAATTAAAATATCAATTGATAAGAATATAAAACAGATAATTGCGATTGAAGCTTACAAGTCATAAAACATTTAAGAAAATGTAGGAAGAATAATCAACAATGCATTGAAAGTAAAAATAAGAAGTGAGGAATAGAGATCTTAAATTATTGACTTTAATTTCTGCTATAAGTTACATTCCATATACTTAATTATAAACAGCGATAAAAGCGGTGAATTTAAAAAATGTATAAATAAATATTTTGTTAGATCTTAATTTTTACTAAAATTTATTTTAATTTAATTTCTCTGAAAAAATTTTTTTAAACAAAGTTTAAAATTTAAACCATAATTAAAATTTTTTCGATAGTATTATTAAATAAAATTATCGACTGCTTCAATTACAGCTAAAATAAATTGCTCATAAATCAACTTAAATTATCTTATCATAAAAAATATACAAAGTATTTACAGATTTAATATTAATTAAAAATTAGGATTATCCGCACGTGCAAAATCTGGCTAAATACAAATTAATCTAGTAAAAAAAGTATTTGAGCACCATGTTTAAATAATTAAAATAAATTTTGTAAATAATATAAATAATACAAAATTATATAAGACCAAAAAAGAAAATTACGACATTCTTTTGAACATGTAATTTGAAAGAATCGTGCTTTATATAAACAATGCTATCCTCGATTAAAGAATAAAGAAGAATAAAGTAAAGATAATTTTAGATTTAATTTAAGTTGTTTTTCATAAATTACTTAAATAATTTAATATTAATTCTTAAATATGTTTGGAATTATTAAATGAAAAATAATAAATCTAGAAATGTAAAATGTCTTATTTTACAAGAGAATGTATGTAGCTATGGATGCGTAATCAAGTATTTAATTTATTAACTTTTAATATCGTAAATGATATGACATCTGAGCTATATATATATATATATATATATATATATATATATATAGAATATATATGACAGCCTACGGGGGAGAAAAGATGAAATAATTATAGTTTTAATTTTATTATTTTTGTTTAACAAGTATTAATTTTGATCATTATTTAAATGCGATTTAGCATATAGATTCATAGATACTGCTAATTTTGTAAATAGTAATAACCGTATGTATTAACATAGGATTATTTTTGTCAGTAATGAGAGAAGTGGATTAAATTAAAAAAAAAGATTTTTATTGATTTTGTAGATTTCTATCAAATACATTTATTTATTAAACGAAATTATTATTTTATTTAATTTCACAACTAAATATCAGTAAATAAAATAATGTTTACCTTAAATGATTTATAATATATATTTTATATCGGATATAAATTTTGTATAAATGATTACTGAATTCTATTATAAAAACATTGATTATACATGCATATTTTTTTTCTTATTACATTATTCTACGAAGTTCAAATGTGTAATTTGAAGATATAATGAATATATTCTTTATTACAACGGTATAACATTAATTCTGTTTTAAAATGTTTTTATATTTAAAAATAAAATACACTAAAATAATGTAAAAATTTTTCTTATTGATAAAAATTTATGAATAAAATTTATAAATGGTTCGTACATGGCTGGATAAAAAAAATTCATTTTACATTTTTTCACTAAGATCAGCCTTAAAAATAACGTTATTTATTAAAAATTAATTTATTTTACTTTACACAATTTAAATTAAAAAAATGATATTGAAATTGTTTTACTTCGACAATTTTTGAGTACAATATTTTATATATTTATAAATTCGTAATTAATAAAAATAAGGAAGCTATTCTTTTTTCGAAATAATATATTTTTATTTATTTACTTAAAGAAAAATCTTATTGTTCTTCAACTTCTTAAAGAAATTAATATTCAAATCGCATACATTTGCAAAATATAATAAGTTTAAAACATTTTTCCACACACATTCAGCACTATTGTGTATTTTAAAATTGCTTCTAATTTTGTTAAATAAAAAATAACAATTGTAGATAAATTTAATTATTATAACATTTACGTTGGTATAAAATTTTGAAAATATAGAAAAACATTTACATTATTCTTAAGAAATATATTGTATACCACTAATTAAAGTAAATATATAATGTGTGTTTTAAAAACAATTATACAATTATACCTTGATTATAAAAAAGCATTCCATAAACAATTGATTATAAATAATAAAATATAGCATAAACTAAGTATCTATTAATATTTTTTTAAGTATTTGGTAGGATATGATCTATTTATTTAAAGAATCTAATAGTTAATATTGTTTCACTATGCAATTGTTCGGGATTGGAGCAATGTCTAAGAACTGTAAAATGGGAAAAGTACAAGCCTTCTGGCGCTTATATTTGTAAACATTGATTCTTCGAATTCTCGAACATTCTAAAGCTTGTCTTTCTGGAATTCTCACAAAATAAAGGTAATATATACATTCAAATATTAATATTTGTTCAGGATTGGAGCACTTTACAAGAAATTTAATTCTCCGAAATTTTAAATCGTTATAGCTCACGAAATCGTAAACATTGACTTCGAAATTTTTCGATCATTTTAATGCCTTTGCTTGCGAACGTCCTGTAATGTTTATCTATGCACCGTGTAGCAGCTATGATAAAATTCTCCAACTGACTAAAGCTTGCTTCCCTACAATTCTTGAACGTTCTAGTGCTTAGATTCTGACGTCATGCAAGACTTTCGACATAGGAACACCTATGCATTGTTGCCAGATAAGTAAGCTGTCGCGCGGATACTTAAGGGAAGCACGCGACGATTCACGCTCTCTCTTAGTGAAACTCTCTTCGTGAACGCCATCACAGTCTGCCTTAACAGGACCGCCATGAAGTAGTCGATATATCTCAGCAGAGTCGCCACGAAACAACTAAGCCTTCAGTTTCGTGCGCGTATTCAACAGGCTTGTAGGCTCACTGGAAATTACTCGATCAATCAGTTATCAGTTATTACTCTACACAGCTACACACTAAACCACGCCTCATACCAGTCAGCCAATACATTTAATAACTAAATAAGTGCGTCATAGTTCAAGTAGTCAAGAGTGCTGATTGCATTACAAGAGTAAATATTTAATAAGAAGCGTACCACCAACGCACTCATCACAGAATTAGATAAAACAATAAATTATTGTGCATTTAATGGAAAGAGAAACCAAATATTGAAAGCACGTACGCGCCAGCCTCGCGGGTCACTAATGGTGCGAATGCATCAGCCGCGATAGGCATTATACGATCGTAAAGCTCCGGCGAACGGCTAGACGTGTATCAGGCACCGACTACAAGGGCATTTTGAAGATGCGAGTGCGCTAGCCGTCACAGACATTACACGAAGAACTACTAGAAATTTACGACCTCTTACCCCTGTATGTAGTGCATGCCAACGCCACGTGATAATTACCACGGAACTACATCTCACAGATCCTTAACACCATCTTAGAATCATATTCATTGTGTTGTCTCTAAATAAAGAGAAAAAACAAGATACGCAATTGTGTTAAATATTGAATATATGCACCAACCCCTCCACTTTCTTTATTTCCTTTATATTTTTTTTTATTTTTTATATTTTTATTTTTATTATATTTATATTATATTTTTTATATATTTTATATTTCCTTTATATCCCATCCCCAATCTTTCCACCGAACACCTGGGAGTTTTTTAGTCTAATACTTGTTTTATATCTACAATATAATTTCAACACAACATTTTAAATTGTTTATTAAATATCTAAAAAAGTATTTATTTTAGTGATATACACAAAAGTTTGAACTAGTTAAATACTTTCAATTTTATTATAAAAATAAATGTTTTATTTTATCACTGTGTAATCTAATTTTTATGAATATGTAATTATTATTCACATATAGAACACATAATATTTTTATTATATATATTTTATAATATATACAATATAAATTATATAAAAGAAATATAAATAATTTTTGTTTGAAATCTTGTATAAGAAGCATTATATTATGGAAGAGAATAAGCAGCTATAAACATTAACGAAAATGAAAGCACTCTATTGGTATAATGTAATTGGAGCAGCATACTTGTTTATTCAGAAAAATAGAAAGTCTACGTTGAGCCTGAGAGTAGTTCTGTAATAACAACAATTTTATTATAGTAAAGAATGCAACTGATTGCTATACTCCTGCTTCGTTCTAAATGAGTACATATCTTTAAAAAATTACAATTATTAATTCATTTCTGGGATACTACAGAAATTACTCTATGTTTAATTTTTTTGTTATTGTAACTTATATTGCCCTTTCTCTTCTTTCTTATGTTATTATTATTATAGTGGTTAGATCCTATACTATTCGTGATTTTCAATGTAAACGCAAGTATTTAACATTCTCGAAGACATTTGCTATCTAAGGCTAATTTGCATTTCCATATGCAAGTGATGAAGCATAATTTTTTGCTTTTTGAAGAACATACAAATCCTATTTTACCTTTTCGAAACTATTTATCACATTTTTTTAATATTCTAGGATCGGAGACTGAGATAAGAATTATATTAACTTAAAGTTTTATTTAAATGTGATATATAATATTGGTATGCAATTATTTTTAAATTTAGTATTATTTTTTTTTTTTTTTAAATTTGAAAATCGTTAATACATAAAAAAAAATTGCCTAAACTGAATTTTATATTCTAAAATACAATGATTGTTTTTAAAAAATTTATTAAAAAATTTTTTTAAATTTAAAAAAAAATATTTAAATTAAAATTTCAATTTTTAAGGTTGGTCTTATTACCATACGTTTGATATATTCGCTGGAAGTAATGTTTTCCTGCCAGTTTTCCTAAAACTCTATAGATTCAATATATATTTGATATTAAAGTTACTGACCTGCATTAACACAATCGAATTTTGATATTTCGAATTTATCTTCTGCAGTCATACTATAAAATATGTTTACATATATTTATATATTTAAAATATATATATTTACTTACCTTAATATCATTATTAATATCAATATATATTAGTAATTATTTGTAGTTAGATAAATCCATAATTATACAAAAATAATTATTAACTGATTTAATATAAAAAGTTAAGAAAATAAAGCTATTATTTTGCTTCTTCTTTATTTAATATTTTCCCTTTTTATGAATCAAGATTTAATAAACGTATAATTATAATATAATAAAATAATATAATAAAATAAAATAATTATTGAAATGATAATTATTTTTATTTCAAACAAATTCGTTTATTGTATATAAATTGGCACGAGTCTATTTTAACAAATATTTTTATTATAAATTTGTTTTATATAGAAAAATACAAACCTATATATTTTTATCTATTTTCAGTCTCTGTATATTATATATAAGAAAATGTAACAGTCAATAATAAAAATTAATAAAACTGTAATTTATTGTTTTTATTTTATGAAGATCAGGACTAAAATATGTTCCATCATTTAGTTTAATTAGAAAATGTGTTTTATACCCTTACATGACTATGGATTGAACGTTTTTAATATGATATTAATATGTTATGATTACCAATCGCTATTATTAAAGAAAAGCGTTGATTTTTATCTTTCAGAAAAGGACTAAATTATATTTTAGATAATCGATCGACCTAACAATACTTCTCATTGTTCAAAAATAAATTTAAAGAACATATATTTCAATTCCTTTATTTAATTAATCAATTGAATTATTATGTTCTAAGATAATGTGTTGATACATTCAATTAATCAAATGTAAATAATTTAAAGATTTTACTTTTTTGAGCCCTCTATATCATAAAGTTTTTTTATCATTCATAAATAAAATATGCATAATTTACAATAATAAAGTACTTTATAAAACTTTGCAAAGTATAATATAATAATATATTTTTCTTATTCATTTTTCGTATCGATCTGAAGATATATAAATAAAGTATTTCTTTATCATTCATTTTCTTCAAATTTAAGCTCAATTAATTATCAAAATTAAATAAACCACAAACGAATTTGAATGAGTTATTGAAGTCAATGAACAAATAGACAATTACTTTAAATTGCAGAAAAATATATAATACTTATTATTTCTTTATTTTAAAATACATTTTCTACATTTATTCTTAATTATCATAAATTATAAGATCACAAAGAATTTTTGTTTGTACAACAAACTATACAAAACATGTAATAATGGGGAAATTCATTTTTGTCAATAATAAAGAAATTTTAACTATTTTTGCAAAATTTTTTTTAATACATGTGACAATGAAATTGTATTATAATTCTATACCATTATAGTACTTAATGGTGCTTATTTGCAAATTTGAAAACTACCTTTCTTGTTAAATTGCTCAAAAATGCATATATTATATAATGATTGTAAGGAAGACTATAATTTTTATTTTACATAAAATAGTGTAAAGAATTAATGTTTTAGTTAGATTAAAAAGTAAAAATAAATACGATTAAGAAAGTTTTATTAAAAGTTTACTTTTTTTATTTAATTTAAACTATTTACTGATAATACAAATGCATGTTTTGATATTGTAGAAAAATAAAACAGTGCTGAGTCATTAGATTCACTCATCTGTTTTTTCATATCTACTAATTTAAAAGAATTTTCAATTATATTTGTACATTATGACAATGAAAAATCCGATTCAAATTCATCTTATTTAATCTTAATATAAATTTAAAAAATTACAAAGTTATTTATTTCTATATGGACATAAATCTTGATTCAATATCGTATCCTTTCCGCGAGATATTTTACAATATATTTATGTAGATTATTTAAATCTTGTTATTATTTATAAGATTGAAAACATTCTTTTTATACTTAATACACATTCAACTTTTTACATGTAACAGTATTTACTGTAATAAATCAATAATTAATTTAAAAATTATGATAATTAATGCTTATGTATTTTTATATGTATGTATTTATATATATATATGGTTTGTAATTTTTAAATGACTATATTATATGCATAGTATGTACACACACACACATACAAAAATGATTTTGTTGGTAATACTAAATGGTATAAAAACTATTTTAAGTAATAAATTTAATTAAATATATAAATATAACTGTTAGAATTTATCTTAATATTCCTGCAATTTGGTATAAATTGTAATATCTTTTATGAATTGGTATGGTAGTTTAAAGTTACTAAACTCTATATTTATTCACTAATTTTAATAAATTGCTGTTTACAAACATCACTAGTTTTTATAATAAAAAATTAATGTTATTTTAAAATCATGGTTTAATATGATACGATTATATATTTTTAACTGTATTTTGTATTTTTTTCTCTATAAAATTATAATTGAAATACTTTTAATATTCTTGAAAATAGGTAATGAATAATTAATATTTTAGCTCATGCAGAAATTTAAAGATTTAAATTTTATATAAAATTTGACAAAATTAATTTTGATTATCAGTTACAACTGTTTGGATTATAATAAATAAACATATTAATATGTTTGAATTAAATATTAATATTCAATGAATAACTTGTTAAAAGTGCATTATTAAATTTATTTAAGTACAGAATATGTAAAAACATATATTTGTAATTATCAGTTTATTAAATTTTAACAGATACATTATAACAATATGTATTTTTTTTTAACTAAATCATTTGTAATAAATGAAACGCACAAATCAGTCTTATTTCTTACACTGAATTAAAAGTATATATTTTATTTGAGTTATACAATATACGAATTTAGTTGAGCGGTTTTGAATTTTTATTTTATAAGAAAATTATAATTGAATAATAGGTGCACTGATTGCTTATGATCTTTAAAATCATCTTTATTATATTTCAACAAACATTTTTGGTATTATTTAGTTGTATTTTAATTTTTCATTTACAGGCATGTATCTAATAGTCATCATTTAAGATTTATATGTTTCTAATTACCTATTTACTTATTTATATATCCACTATATATTTTCATATATTTACAAATTTTAAGTGAAAGTATGTATAATGTATATCTACTAAAGCAAAAAAATATTTTTTGATAGTTTTATGTATTTACACATCTTATTTTAGAATATGTATGAAGATATTTTTTTTCAATCTAGATCTTATAATATTGTCGAGCACTGATATTGTAAATTATGTTAATATAAATACTTAATGTTTAATAAAAAATAATGCAAGAAGATTCCTTATGACAGAATAACATTGTACATGAGAAAAAAATTAAAATTTTTTAAAACTGAATAAAAACTATTGTAAAAGTATCAATTTGATTTATTTAAATTTTTTGTTTATTTTATATTTAGTAACGTCTACTATTTTTGTATTTATTTGTATATAACTTTAATTTGATAGTTCATCTGTAATATAAAAATACTTTATTTGGTTCATTTAAATTAAAAAGAAAAGTAGTTTGTTTGCATAAAATAGTTTATAAATCATATGTTTAACTGTATTTAGTATTATTGTAGTAAATTTGTAAGATATTTATCCTGTAACTAAATTAGATATACATTTTCTTAAATTCCTGTAGATTAAAAATGTCAATTTATGCAGGCAAGGTTGATTAGCAGATCAGTCTTTCAAACAATATACTTTTGAAATTTCTAAATATTATCTTATTTTATAATATTACTACAAATTATAAATATTAATTTTGTTAAAATAATCTTAACTATAGTATATTATGCTACGAAAAAATATAAAAATACGCAAAATAAAATGACTTGAGATATTGCGCAAAGGAAAAAGAACTTGAACTAAAAAATAATGTTATTTGAATTTATATATAAATTTAATTACAGCTCTTATTACTTAATTAAAATAATCTTCAGTTGCATAATTGCCAATTGTGCATGTAAAGACCTCTGTCACATTTTAAAAAATTAAAAATTAAAGCTTTAGAAGTAAATAAATAAATAAATAATTTCGATTCCAATTTTACGGCGTTGAATTTGTTAATCCTTGGAATAATTTTGATGAGTGATTCGTGCATATCTGCGTATCTGTAGTTTCAACAAACTGTTTTTTAATTTTTTTTCTTGACGAGATATAGCTTCTTTTGTATCATTATTGTAATTGAAAAATTATCAGCAAAGAAATTTGATGTTTCGATTCACGTGAATTACTCGAACGATTCCGTAATATGAATATAGTCAGACATCTGATTCTCCTCCTTTTAACCTAAGTCGAGCAAAATCTTCAAAGATAATGTCATCACCTTCGGGATCGCTATAACATAAATTTTGTTAACTTTTATAAATTTTTTAGTATGATAAATTTATTTATATTGTAAAATAAAGTTAGAAATATTATTTTAAATGTATTCAAATTGATTTTTTAAAATGATTTAATTATTTAATTTACTCAATCATCAAAAAATAATTAAAAATCTAAATTTTTTAAATTCTAGAATGGATTATTTTAATATGAAATAACCTAAAAATAAATAACTAATTTATCAATTATATGATTGTCTACAATTAAAATTTTTATTAGACAATTATAAATATCAGATAAATATTTATTTTAAATTGAAGTATTATATACATATATTATATAAAATTATTCATAGAACTTTTGAACTTTTGGTTTATTTTTTATGTACAAATAGTTGTTAAATTGCATATAATTTATCCTTGAAAAGGTTCATACTTTTTTTTACATTGAACCAAACTTTCTTGTTTATCATGAGATACGCAAATATACATATAATACAGGAATAATCACACAAAGATTTGTAATTATATATTATATTTTCATATTGACATATATTTATCCTCAAATATTTATTATATATATATTTTTCTTGGCTTTATCGATTAATTTCCATTATCTAAGTGATTGCCTCTAAACAAAATATTTATATTTTGCAGATTAATGTTTTAAGTCATTAGCTCAGTTTACTTTAGAAAGTTCATATTTGATCTTTTATCATTTAATATTTTAATATTAAATTTAAATTGTAAAATATTGTATAAAAATATAAAATTTTAAATGAAATAAGTTGATTTAGTACAATTTTTTAAAAAATTATTTAATATTTTAATTTTTTAGTATGGGATATAAATAGATTTTGAAAAAGTGAAAATAGAAAGACAATATCACATTTTCATTTTTCATATTTAATGTTTTCTTAATGAATAGCTAATTTTTTAATATATACATATTAATATAAAATAAAGTTTATTGAAAAATAGAATAAGTATTTTTGTTATAATAATTCTTAAAGCACTATAATTTCTTAGACTATGTATATATTTACTAAGATCAAAAGATATTGGTTGTTACAAAATAGAGGAAATATTTTATTAATAGAGTAGTAGACGAACTTAATGTAATACATACATATGATATTTTACAGGTTAACTTAACTATTTGAATTTCATAAATCTAAAAAATTTGCAAAAAAATATTAAAAAGAAAGGAATAATAAGAGTATCCATATATGATAGAAAGAGTATAATATAGCTAGAATGATAAATGGTTGGATATATAAGTGTTATCAATGAATAACGAAGTAAAAGTAATGAAAAATGATAATTATGATAAATAAAAATAAAAAGAATACACTAATACAAGAATAAATGAAAAGTGAAGTGGAACTAATATTTGAAGAGAGTAAGGATTTTCAATCAGTGGTAGAGGAGCAACAAATCCATAAGTGTTTAAAGTATTTCCTCACCTTCTCTCATTTTAAACTAATTGTAATAGGACTCGTCGTCATAATTGTTAAGAATCCGTCCATAGTAAATTTGTACTAGTATCGTTCAAGCAGAACTTGTCTCAATCGCATTTTATGGAAAATAACTTGCATGGATACCAGAAATTTTTATAGTTCCGGCAACACAGAAGATAGCCTATACCACTGTATTTGTATTATCCTCTTTTATTTTAGTATCTGATATGTAATTTTTTGTATCAATAATATAAATAATTTTGAGTAAGAATAACTTTAAGATCTTATTCACGTTAATTACTAATTTTACACCAGAATTTGCAATGATCAAGACATTATTGAGAAAGTCTACAAGGTCGATAGCGAACAATGATTAACGAATGCAGTTGAAAATAATAAAGTATTAAGAAAAAGATGTATTTTTAAATTTTCTTTAACGAAAAGAAAATATTATATATGTTAACGAGTTAAAAATGAAGCAAAATATAGTGTAGTAGTTAAATAAATTTATGTGAATTGAAAATAAAATTATTATATAAATAGCAAATGATAATCAATATTTTTAAATAATACAGATAATTTATAATTTTCTAAATGTGGAAAAATAGAATGTAAAAATCCAATATAATATTAAAATGGACAGTAATTAAATTAATTCTATTCAAAAAGTTTATGAATCTTTTATGTATTTATATATATGATTCTACACGAATCATATATATAAAAAATTAAATAGAAAATGAATCACTTAAAAAAGCATTATATTTCACGAAAAAATCATAGAAGCTATCAAGATAAATAAAATAAAAGTGCATGATCCAAAAATAATAAAGAAAATAATCGAAAGTTAAAACGATTAAAATATAAAAAATAATAACTGTATGAATATATTATGAATAAAGGATAAATGTAGTTTGCACAATACCGCGAAATTTGTGATAAAAAAATGTATTAAATTTCACTTTATTACATCTACGGAAGATAAAATTCAATGCGATAAAATTATATATTACAAGATTATTGTACTAATTGTACATATTTTATTATGTCATTCACATGGATATGAATTCTATGCAAAAATATAAAAAATATCCAGCTGCATGATTTCGAACGATAATAGAATCGAGGATTATATCGACGATAATAGAAGCGCCAAGCTACTCTAGAGTATGAAGCTTATACAGAGTATGAACACATTAACTGCATAAAGATATAATATGATATGCACATACGTAATCAAAGCCGACTATTGATTGACTACATTTTGAGTTCTATCCTCTTTATTAAACTTTTATTTTTTATTACCGGATTTTGTTAGATCTTCATTTTGTTTCTTCCTTAGTTATTGATAATACAAAGATTATTATTCAGTCTTTGCACATTTTTTAAGACACCCTCTTATAGTGAGACAGTTTTAATCGATTATCTGGTTTTCCCTTAAATTATATTATTAACATTAACATATTTAGCACTGTTATATGATGATTATTATTATTTGAAAATGAATTAAAGTTTTGTAATGATTGCTAATGACCATTACTCAATTTTTCAGTTGATTACAATCACGTTATAAATTAAGGCAACAAATCCCAGAATTTTCTTATTTAATTTAACATAGTATTATCATTATATTAACAAAATATTTTCCGTTTATTTTTATTGTTTCAGTTTGAAGATGTTGCAAATCTCATTAATAAAAATCGTTATTTGATGGAATAAAAATTCGATATACATGCGAATTAAACAAATGGTTATTTAATTGGACATACGTTCTCTATTACAATCGCTTTTTAGAAAACTCTGAGGCGTAGAAAACTATTATTTCTAATATTTATATATTAAATTATACTAATTTTTGATAATAATATATTTAAATATATTATTTTCAAAATATTAAATATATTATTTTCAAAATATTAAATATTATTTATTTTACAAAATAAGTAAAGAGTTGTATTTAAAGATAAAGTACAATTTATTTATATTTTTGTTGAAAATAGATAAATATATGTTTAAGACTATCTAAGTATACTAAGTATTTTGCGGTATATCTATGTACAGATTAAAAAAAAAAACAAGTACTAATTAGTCAATCACTTATCGTCAAATGTCTAAATATCAATTTACATTTACCCATTTTGAAGTTATTAAAATAAAAAAAAATAAATACTAAAATTATGTTCATATTTTATAACTAAGAAATATTTATCTCTCCTAAATGAAGACATAATTCAACTTTTACAAAGAAATGATAATTATAATAATAAATTATAATTTATTTATATTAAAGATTCTGAAATTATTTATTATTAATAGTAGTATCACTCACTCGTCCAACTGGATAAGATTGGCTTCATTACCACTTCCACTTTGATGTGTAGAAGCTGTTCCTATGGTTGATACAGTGAACTCTTCTTCTTCTGGTTTTGGATGCATTAATATGAAAGGTAATTCTGCTACCAATTCTCTAAATAGTCATTTTTCTTATTACATTGTTATTTGCTTGAATTTATGTACAGTTACTTACCCTGCAAGAGTTCCTAAACAAAGTTTAACCTTGACTTTGTATTGTACAATTATTCCAAGATTTTCTCGTTGGGCTGGATCTGCAACTCTATTGCAAAATTTGATTCAAACTCTATTACAAAGTTTAGATTTTATTTTACATATGTAAGTAAATTTATAAAGATAGTTACATTATTACATACATATTAAGCATTACTGCATACTACATTACATAATTTATATTAGTTGTCAAAAACCAGTTAAAACAATAGAATTGGATATTCAACGAATTACAATAATAATGTTAGTTTTATTGATATAATTTAATTCAATTTAATAACAAAAATTTATTCATATAAAAAAATATTATAAACATTCAAAAACTTTCCAATGCATATTCAAGGTTCTAAGTCAATAATATTTAATCAATTAAATTATCTAAAATATTATACTGCATAATGAATTATTGTTTTTGAACATACATTTCAATAATGAAATAAATTTTTGAAAAATTAATCACAATAAAATTATTTTATATAGTAATATTTTGCATATGATACTAAAATACTAATATTTCTAAAGTTATTATTTTATATAATTCTTATTTTCTCATTTGTAGTTTTAAAATTTAGTGATAAAAATACATAATATGATTATGCACCGTAATAAAATATTTTATTATATATAATATTTTTATTTTAATGATACATCCGTTGCATATTCACACTTTATGAGAAAAATATTATCAATTAAAAAAAAATTTCTTTAATAATGAAATTATTTTAAGCAATTTATAATAACAAAATACAGTGTAACAGTTTATTTTACAATAAACATTAATTTGAAGTAAAGACTATTAAATTATTTGTATTGTATTATTGTATTTGTAATAGGAAAGTATATTAAAAGGGGGAAATCTGATTGGTTTACAAAATATAATTATAATATTAAACTTTAATTAAAATAATTTTTATAATAAAGTCAGAATAATAGTTTAGAAATAAAGGTGGATCGACAGATTCTCTTAAACATTTCAATTCAATATTTTAATATAATTAATCTAAAATATACATTTATATTAAAGTAACAAAAATATTTATTTTTAATTATATTTTTAAAATTATTATACACTTTCAGTTAATGTGTAAATCAAGAAGATAATAGGATTAAAATTTAATACAATTAAAGGTATATGTACAACTAATGATCATTACTTAGTGCATTAATTTTTTTAATACATATATATTCCAGATATTTCAGTTTTAATAGAATCTTAAATAAAATATTTTATCTTCATTTACCCATAATATTTGTCATCTATTTAAAAAATATAATAAATAGTGATAAATATTTTATTAATTATATGTAAATAATGAATTTAGAAGAATTGATATAAATCTAAATTTTCATTTAATTAAATACGAACTCTAGAATTTATAACACATAGACTTAATTTAAATTTGAAAACATTTCGAAAAAACTTTCACAAATAATTAAAATGTTTTTTTTCTTAAATTGAAAAAATTAAAAAATTATTTATATTCCAAGTAAATTTAAATGCTATGTTAATGTTAATTTTAATACCATATCTTGAAAAATGCTATACAAAAATTAATTATTTCTAGATATTTAACTTGATTTTGTATATAGTAGAAATCTAGCTAAAGCTTAACATGAAAACTAAATAAAATTACATTAATTAAGAAAAATATTTATAGAATTATTACTATTTATAATAAAGAAAAATATTTGCATAATTATTGCTATTTATAATAAAGAAAATTAATTTTTGACAAATTTTAAATAATTCTTTTATATAATAATATATGAGTGTATTTATACAAGGTATCAGCTAGTATAATTAGTAAAAAAGCTGAATATAAAACTTAATAGAAAAGTTAAAATGTTATTATAATTTATTACACTACTTAGTAATCAACATTCAAATATTTTAAATTGTATTGACAAATATTAGGATCAATTCAATTCATTTAATACATGAATATAATATATTTAATAATAATTTCATTAAAATTTAAACTTAAAAAACATAATGCTTAATTATAATAATTCATATTAATTATTATACAAAATCATACTATTTACATTTATAATAAAATATACGATAATATATCAATCGTTTCTATACGAAAAACACTACATTAATAGATATAAAAGCGATGATTATGTGGTTAATTGATATTCATTAGGCTCATTTTCACCAAGTTAATATAAACCATATAATTTACTATGTAAACCAAGAACACATCTATAATATTGAATATATGTTACATTAAAATCATGTAAGAAATCGTGCAATTTTAAACGCAGTTTTACATAAAAATTGATTAATTAGCTCTACAATGTACACTAAATCTGAACTTTTCAGTATCCAGTCTTCTCTTTGAAAATTATTTATGTACGTTATGTAATTTTATGTCAATTATAATATATGCATGCATATGTAACAGTAAACAATATATTGTTAGATGAAAAAATAAAATTTAAGTTAAAATGTGTTCGAGATTTCGAGAATCTCTCGAATGTTATCATTTCTGGGAAAACACAGTACCCAGTTCACGAAGCTGTTGCAGGTCTGTCTCATATTCGGTGCTATCGCACACTCTCTCAGGATTTTCTCATACTATGTGCCAACGGCACTCTTTCATGTGGTCACTTCCACAAGTCAGAGCAAGCAACACCATTTGACGTCTCATCAAGGTATCGAACCATTTTCTCACTCTTCCACAGCAATGTCGCTACAGAGCGATTACCTTTTGAATGCTCAAAATCAATGGAATCGTATTATAGCAATAAAGAAGTTAGCTAAACCGCTCCCTTCATCTCATTCGGAGACATCCATTGCAGAAGTGTTAAGCGTGAAAGAATAGGTTGAAAAATTATACAAGGTTTGTAACAAAGAGCACAAGTACCTTGATATAACGTAGAATCATTATATTGTAATTATAAAATAAATAAAATAACAAGCAAGAAAAGTAGATATCTTAAATACTGAGTTGAAGCACTGCCCCTTCCACTTACCCACACTTTACTCCCTATGGAATGGAATAACAATTGTTTGATATAAACTGTTCTTCGGAGGTTAAGTTAAAATTAATTTAAAAAATTATTTTTTAATATGCTTGTTTACTAATATTTTTTGTATTGGAAAATTAAAGTAAAACTGCTATTTTACTATTTGTTTCATTTCTTCATTCTAACATGTATTCCTTACGTAACTATAAAAGCTGACAATACCGTTACACAAAATAAGATTCAATATTTAATTGACAAGCATATGCACTAATTTAAACATAACCAATAATTTAAAATGATTTGTATGAAATTAATGTTTCAATATGGGTAATTAGTTTTTATCTGAAAAGGTGCAATAGAATATTATGAATCTTATTTAATAAAATTTGAATAAGCCTATTCTATTTGAAATTGTATATAAGGATTACTTTTTATGATCTTAAATAATTGACAAATAATATTGAAGTTAGTTGAAAAAATTATTGAGTTTCACAAAATCGAAATAAAATAATATTTTACTTTTTAAATTACGTAGTCATAAAAGAAGCCTTTGTGATTTAAAAAACGAGCAAACGTCAGAACGAATCTGATAATATCACCGTTTATTAATTTTCAATAAATATTTTTATAGTTTGTTATAAACATGAATAAAAAAGGCTATGTATTCGATCATTTAAATTAAATAAATTATAGATTGATTTTTATAAACAATCAATTATATTAATAAATATAGATGGAAAATATTAATTTGATTTAGCTTAAAAGATTGCCAATTTAATGTAATGTCATTTATTTATTATAAGGAAGTCCAAACTGGATTAATGAAAATACTAAATCAAGCCACTTTATCGTTGCTTTCAAACCTCATTGTAAGATTCAAAAAAATTCTATTAGTTAAAAAAAAACTTGAATATACAAATGAATTTTAATACAATTACCAAACAGTGGTTAAAGAAGTCATATGATGATATTGGAAAGTCTCGTAGAATTAATTTATGCAATGCTTTATTTTATAAAATCGATTCGTTTCCTTAAATATGCTTGTTGAAGGAATCTTTAAAAATATATTTAAATACTTAAGTTGATATCATTATGTGAATATAGTAAATATTGACGAAACAATGGATATTTTAATTTTATAGCCATATTTAAAAATTACAGCCGTATCAAAAATATTTATTTTTTAAACAAATTATTGTTTTAATACAGATAAATACACATTTTTAAAATAGTACTTAAAATAGACTATATTAATTTTTGATATTTTTACTTTTTTTTTTTAAATCCTTTGAAGTTTACATTATCACTGACATAATTTTTTAAACTTATAATTATATTTGTTCTTAAAAAAAACCAATAATTATATTTAATATTTATATTCTACAATATAATAATAATTTCCAAAACTTTTTATTCTTTTGAAAAGTTCGAAAGTAAATGCTATATTAATATTATTTTTGGTTTATTACGATTTAAATCAAAATTATATAACTATAAAAATATTATAAACAAAATATATTTTGAGTTTGAAAAATAAAATTTCAAAAACTTAATGAAATTAAATTAAAAAAATAGATATTTATACATTATATTCATTACAAAATATTTGATTTCATTTACAATTAAAATTCTGAAACTATTTCTAAGGTATCACTACTATATTTAACAAATTCAAAAAAAAATAATAAAATATATTATAATTTATTAAAAAATATAATTTTTTTTGTACATCTGTAATAAAAATGTGTATAAATCAATTTTTTCAAGTACACTTCAGTTGAAGCAATCTATATATTCATATATTTATTATTCAATAGATCGGTAACGATATTAGATCACATACTGTAGTTTAAAAGCATTTAAATACTTGATAGTGTCAAATGTACATTTTGAAAATTCCTATCAAATGTGAAATTCTATAATAACTTATAGCAAATAACGAATAAATACTATTCGAAAAATAAATTTGAACGATCAATACAGAAGAGAAATATAACAGTCAATATTGTTAGAAATACTATAATTATTGTTACTGTGACTAATATGTTATATAAAATATAGATATTCTTTAAATAAATATTATATATTAATAAAATTAAAATGGCGTATAGAATGGAGGCGCGGTTTTATAACAAATAATGTAAAAAAGTAATAACACGTTATGGGTTAGGTAGTGGCGATATAGGAATTCTATATATACTAAAAATTATGGGCCTTACAGCGTGCTGGAGGCCAAATTAGTATCCTCGTGTTTCAGCTGGCCATCCAGAGCAAGTCCCCATTTGTCTTTGTTGTTGGCTAGAAGTGGTCTCAAGTAAAATACTTTACTCAGCGTGAAACCTGGTCCCACCGGACATCCCTCCCTGATAAACATGATCATACCAAAAACTTTAACCATATCGAAAATGCATTTATCGATCAGCATGTTAATTATATTGGCTAATTTATTGACTGTCCTAATAAATTTAATATTAATTTTTACATATTTTTGTATCAATGGTATTTCAAGGAGATTAGTAAAATTTCTTACGTACACGTTCTAATATTAGTTTTTAATATTAATTTTTAGATTAAATTTTGTAATGTAGTTTGAGCTTGCATGAGCAAGAATACAGAATAAGAATGTTTAATAAGCAAAGATTGATTTAGGTTGTAGCAAAATAATTTATAATTATAATAATACAGAATTTATTATAAATCATAGCTCAGTAATTAAATATACAGGAAAAAATTTAATACATTATAAAGAAAAACCATCACCGCCGAGCGAGCTTTACATCCACGTTAGAAGTGAAATATCGAAGTCAATTATCCACATTAATAATTAATAATAACCAATCGCAAGTGCATGATCACTAAAGAAAAAATAATGATAGCTGGCATTCCGTCCACCAATGTTATATTGCTTAAAATAAATAAAAAAAATTTGTTTTAATGTCGAAAACAAGTTGCTTGAAGTTCTTAATAACATTATTTTTTATTTAAATGGTATTTATAAAATTCAAGTTAGATTGTTTTCGCACTACTTGAAGCCTTCATTGCACTCACATGGTGCTTGAGGCGAGATTGGTGTCCTCGTGCTTAAGTTGTCCATCTAGAGCAAGACCTCGCTTGTCCTTGTTGTCGGCAAGCGAAGGCTTAAATGAAAAGACCTTGCTCAAGGTGAATCCTGGTGCTACCCCTATGCTGCCATTGCAATCATTTTTATTCCTTTCACGTAATACAATAACCATTAAGAGTAAATGAAAATGCAAGTAATCTATATATGTTGTTTAATTTTTCCGTAAACAATTATCTTAAAAAAAAATGAAAAAAAATAAAGTTTTATTTTTTAATTATTTTTTATATTTTCTTTTCAAAAACTTTTCACTTTATAAACTTTTAATAGTAAAATTGAATAATAAATACTCAGAAAAATATTGAATAAATTAGTATAGGTTTATTACTAATCTCAATAAATTTTTAAAACTTATATATATCTTGTTATTGTAATGAGCTTTATAAAATACAGCTAATGATTTAATTAAATTGTAATTTAAATTCTTAAGGTTAAGACTATACCAAATTGTACCTGCGATTACTGATTTATTAATTTTTTTCAATAAATTTTACGGTTTAGATAATTGTCTACAGTATAATTTCTACTAACTTACTCTACATAGATGTTTTCGAACGAATGCGTAGATGAAAATGAATTATTTGCATGCATGGATAAGAATCAGGAAACATCCTCAAGGATTCTTTACTTAACTTATAAATTTATACGTATATTTTTTAAGATTAAATTTAAATATATAAAATAGAATGACGTAGAAAATGAATAGATAGAATTCATACCAAAAATTAGATTTTTATTTGAATATACTCTATTGTTTATAGAATTAAGAAAAGGACACGAAATACAGTGATCAAAGACAGAATGGTAATAATACTCACTCGCTTTCAGCCTCAGCAACTGTACACTTATATTGAGCTGTAGAGAAAAGACAGATGTCGGCAAACTGTCTAACTGAAACCTTGATCTTCTTAACTGTCCGATTGCTATTATTAGCTATATGAACATTTACAGCGATATTCTCACCGTGATGATATAATTCTTTATCAAGCGAAGCCTCCAAATAGAGCTTGCTAGGCGACATCATAAAGTCTTTACTGACTTCTGTTGAGGGTTGCTCACCCTTCTTCGAAGGAGCATACATTATTTTACGTATGGCTAGTCTTACCATGTTACGCTTGTGTGGCTTTTCTTCTTGTGTTTCTACAGCATAAACTTTGAGTTCATAGTCGACGCCACAAGGTTTTCCTGTATCACCTGGAGCTGGTTGTAGTGTTACAGAAGCTGGACAATGGGGCGGTAGCTCAAAGTAAAATGGATAAGCGTTACAACCAAGTTTTTTTATAAGGCGTTCTTGCAATCGCGTAAATTCATATGGCTGCGTATCCACCTGTACCGGACAAAGTTGCTTAGTTGAAAGATATAAATCTTTTCTAAATGTCAATCCAAGAACGTCGAGATCTTCTCGACCGTACTTAAATGCAGCTATTACCGTACTAAATACGTATTTTTCCTTTGCAATATCAGGAGAAATTAGTACTACTCCTTCTGGAATGTAAAAATAAATTGGATATATCTTTTTTTCATCAATTAATAAATGTTGAGTTTAAACATTGAAATTAAAATAATCATATTTTCATACAATGGTTGAGATTTTATATTCATTTTAAATTGATGAATATATATATTTATAATGAAGCATTGATATCGTGAGAAAAAAAAACAGCAAAACATAAAATTTTCTAAAATAAAATTGAATATATTTAGTTAATAAGTCGTAGTTAATAAATATATACATATGTACAAATTTTGAAAAGCTTTTTTGCATAGTACATTCGTGTTACTAATATGCTCAATATAGTTTTTAAATAAAATATTTAATATAACACCCTCAAATATGTCTATATAAAAAATATCACTATGATAAAAATAAGATTTTTAGCAGTATCAGCCATGAATACAATTTTTTTTATTATATTTCTCATTATTTAGATATTATCTAGTTTAAAATTTACCAATAATCTACGTCATTATCATGTTAAATTTTTCTCCAAATCTGTAATTTAATGATAATAATGACAGTCAATGTTTTTATTGCACCTGAAAATTGGTTCATAGTTTTTTTAAAGGTAAAAAATAGATAATATAATTTTATGAATATGACAATTACAGGTTAAGTATTTAATTACAATTAAAGAATGAATTTATTTTAATTTCTTTTATTGTACAATTCTTAAATATTATACAAATTCATGATTCATCATTTTAAGAAAGAAAATAATTATGTTAATTTTGGCATACTTGGCATGCACACTTTATATGTATAAAATAAAATTATCAATGTATTTATTTTATAGAAAACAGTTTTATGCATTCACGTCTATAGTATTTATAAGAAATTATCAAAGTAATTAATAATTTTAATGTTTGATCTTTTAATGGATTAAATTAAAATTTATAGATTCTATATGTGGTGAGATATTATATATGTAACAACTTGTGAAATCATCGTGAAAGGATACTTTCTTACTTATATATAATCTTAATATAATATAATCTTACTCATATAATCTTAATTATTTAATTGTTTAGTCAAATAATTTTAGATAATACAATTAGTATTTTTTTTCGTCTTAAATATAAATACCACAATTTACACTATCTCGTTTATTAGTGTCTGGGATCAAACTAAAAGCTTCCCTGTGATGGTGGATGGAGGCTTGTTGGCAAGTGGAAGGGGCAATGCAATAATTCAACACTGCCTTTTGAGTGTAGTGTCTTTCCTTTTATTGAATATAATAAATATAATAAATATTCAGTGGTCTATGTATGTCGAAATGAATGTATGATACAATGAATGGATGAGAGTTTCTTCAATTAATATTAGCGACGAGAATTCTGTAAGTGTATTCTTGATAGCTTGGAGCTTGATTTTCCTTCTCCTTATGAATTCGTAGTAGTAGTTGGAGTCGCGCTGGTAGGGGCATCGATGGTGCCGCCTTAGCCGTTGGCGTAGGATGAGCGCTGTAGCGGTCTGGTGGTAGGAGGAGGTCCGTGTGATGTCACTGCTTGACGGGTGGAAGGTTTCCTCGTACAGTATACCGGGATATAGGTGGTTGGCGGTATTGGTGTATGTTCGTATTGCTGCTTACTTAGTTGACGGGAGCCGTGTATTAGTGAGTCGTAAGAACGTATGTAATAGCCTAGCTTACGTGTGTTGGAGTCGATCTCAGTTGCATTGATGGTATGAGCGTGTGTAATAGCGTAACTTACGTATGTATTGAAGTCAATCTCTGTAGTAGTAGTAAGCCAAATGAGCTCGGCTTACGTTTGAGCTGGAGTCGATCTCTGTAGTGTTGGTAGGCCGAATGAGCTCGGCTTACGTTTGAACTAGAATCGATCTCTGTAGCGTTGGTAGGCCGAATGAGCTCGGCTTACGTTTGAACTGAAGTCGGACTCTGTAGCGTTGGTATGCGGGCTGGAGCCGATCTGTAGAATGGCGATCCTGTCTTGATGAATGCTTGATTGAACTAGTAAGAAAGCGAGAGCATCAAGCGCGTCTCCTTAAATATCCTATTACAGGCTTGCGATTCCGGTGATTACTGGATCACTCTTGTCATGCTGATTGTTAGAGTGACTTCACTAGAGTTTGGCCTTGGGGAGTTCGTCGGCCCTTGTTAGTCGGAAATGTAATGTAATATTCGAATATTTTGCGTAGTGAGGTTTCCCGATTTCGCAGAATGTGTTTATGACTTAGCGCGCAAATGTTTCTAACTAAGCACAGGTGTCTTTACCTCTCCCACTTTGTATACCGCGTAATCCGTAACAATTAGTAATCATCAATTCTGAATATAATATGATCCTATTGAATAAAATCAAACAAAATATATATTGAATTTAAATTATAATAAAACTTTAGAATTTTTATGAAATATTTTTTATAATGCGTTATTATCTACAAAATACATATCTATTGATTTTATTGTAAAATTATTTATTATACAGATTCTATTAAAAATTGTTTATTTGAATTAATGTTATTAAATACTTGTCTTTTTGTAAAAACTATTAGTTACAATTACCAAATATATCTATTCAAATGAATTCCTATAAAATAATGAAATTATTTAATATAAAAAATTTATGACAGATTAAGTCAATCCTTTTTAAATTCAGAGATTTTTTAAAAATATGATCTTATGTAATAAAAATTAAAATATTAAACAAAAACGGTTTTAAGATTTTTAATATATTTGATATATTTACTATTTACTATTTTTAATATTTTTAATAACTATTTACACAAAGAAAAGTTAACAAATTTATATTTTATGTTTAGAATACTAATGATTTTATTTTTATATACGTAGTTGGTGACTTATGTTTCAAAATTTTGGAAAATAGGTAAAAAATACTCATTAGAAAATTTTCTCACTCTATATGTAGTTATGAAATAAAATGCATTATTTGTAATATTTAAATTAATCAAAATTAATATCTCTAACTCAAACTATATAATATAACCAAATATTTTAATAATATATCATTTTAATCTTAAACAATATAATGCATAATCTTTAACAATAATTATAAAACATTATAAAATTTGTATAAATTTTAATATTTAAACCGTTTTTAAAACCTTGCATTAATTAATAAACATATATTTGAATTTCAACTATAAAATAATTTATATATGAAGTAGTTTTATATTTGTTTATTGCCACTCATAATAAATTTGAAACATAGATTTTAAAGTCGATATTAATATCAATTTATTAGACAGAAAACTTTTTCTATGATTATACTGAAAATGAATATAGAAAATGCATAAATAAAATGATAAATATATAGATTTAACTTCTTATGATTCACATTACCATAGTGAAAAAAGGTGAATATAGATGAAGGGAATAATATATGGATTTAATCATTAGATTGTGGCTCTAAATTTTTTAAACATGACACCAACGGGCTGTATATATAACTTACTACTATGTAGATAAAAATTGAAACATAATCTTACTGATTTAATAAAATGCAATGAAATTATAAGTATATACTGTTCTGATAAACATACATACTTAGTTATGTTTAGCTCTTACAATATTAAATAATATACTTTATATATTAAAAATATTTTTGTACATAAAAATTGACAAATATTACAAATATATAGACAAATATATTGGAATTATATCCCAAATTATTTTAAAGCACATACAAAAATAATTATTTATGATGTAAGTTATTTAATTCGCAGTAAAGTTTCAATAATAATATTTACTAAATATTCTTTATTTAATTGTATCGTTGATATGATGGAAATATGTATTCGAAGATATTCTCAGTACAACTGAAATAAAACATACTACTTAATGACAAAAAAATGATTTTACTTGTTAGTCATTTAGAATTATTTGATGAAATTCAAAGTATATATGGTATGTTATTTAATATTAATTATACATGCTGTTTACTGAATATTTCTATTGCACTGTTACCACAGCAAAATTAAAAGTAAACTTTTTAAAAATTTAATAGAGAATATATATTATAATTTAAATTATATTAAATTAATGTAGATAAAAAAATTAAATTACACACACACATAGACACACACACACATACACACACACACACATACACACACACACATATATATTTATGATTAAACAGTAAAATACCAATGGGATCAACGTGACTTATATGATCAACAAAATCTCGTTTAGCAATATAAACAGTAATTTTTCCATTAGGACTGCATTTCTTGAAAACTCGAGTTGTTTGACGTCTATTCATATTGTCAACACTGCTATCCATTGCCTCGCCAGCTGAGGCAGCTGGCTTTCCAAAAACAATACCTTTAAACTCCAAACTTTCACAATATTTCTGTAACATAAATTATAATATCTTTTTTTAAATTGTTGGTTTATTTTCTCAATGAATATTGTTATACTAATTTTCTAATATTTTTTTTTACTATAGAATCTCAATACTAAATAATTAAACTTATAAATCTTTCTACGTTTTTATTTGCAATAAATAAAAAATATCAAAAAAAGTATACATTTAAAATTTATAAACAAAATTTTTTATTCAATAACTTATGCACAACGTGTAAAAGTTCTTTTATTGATTTATAATTATTATAATTTATCATTTTCGATTTTCAAAAGGGAAAAGTTTTATTCACTAAAAATATAATGTAAATTGTGACATACAAATATTAAAAGTGTAAGATATATATATATATATATATATATATAAATTAATTAATATTTGTATATAATTTTTATAACATAAATATGAATATAGAATATTTATCTTTTGTCTTATAGTTATATCAAGTATATCATTGTATTATATATATTAAGATATAATATTAATTCTTCACACGATGAAGTATGAATGTTTATATACAATTTATGCTATAAACAAAAAAGTTCATTTTAACAAAATGTTAGTTGTATTCTTCAATTTATTAGTAATTGTAGTTAAATTAAAATATTAAATACTATAAAATCCATTATAATCAGAAACTTATCTTCACACTATCGAATTTTTAGAAAAATAACTTAATATTTATAACACTGTATTGAAATTATAAGCACAAAGCACTCCTTCACGGACTGTCAAATTATCTATGTTAACTAATATATTTTTATTTATTTTTATAGTACAGTATTACTTTTCATGTAATACCAACATTTAAAATTTTTCATTGGTGAAACTATGCATCTATGAAAAATATTCTTTTCTTTTTATATTTATATTTATGTAACGGAAAAATTGAATTATTGGAGAAATATGGTAAGTTAACCTTCTTGTAATAAATCTATTGGTATACATCAAATGGAATGAATGCTTCGACCATTCATACTATTACAAAAACGAATACTGAATTTTCAATAACAATATTATAAAAATGAAAGAATTATTACAGATACTGTTACAAAATGTATGATGTAGTGTTTGAAATTTGATTCATTATTGATCATAATTAGATAGAATATATTTGTAATATGAAAAATATACAATATAAATTTGTTTGCGGATTTACATTTAATTAATTTTTTTTTATAATTATATATATATTTAGTTATTTAAGCTCTACGGAATTTAAACCAAAATTAAAATTAAATATAAAAAATAAAGAATTAGTATAAAAGTTATAATATAATCTAAAATAATCTATACCAATTCTAAATATAATACTGATAACAATATTTTTAATTTGTTATATTAACATGTATGCATATTAATTTTGTATACATAAATAATAAATATATAATAAATACAAATAATTTTCAAATAGTTTTATAATCAAAATTACTTATCATATTTTGACTTTTTATCAAATTTTAAACAATTACTTATCTAGTTTGAAACATTGATCAATATTAGAAAGTTTCATTTTGAATCTAAAAATTTTTGCTGTAAGAGAGATTTTGAATATTTTAAATAGGATATAATAATACAGTATTACAATTTATATAATGTTATATTTATTATATATTATCAATAATAAATTTTTTTTTAACATTCACAATAAATTTACTTAGAATAAAATAAATATTCAAATTTATAGTATAACTATTTTATTAGTGTAATCACTTATTTTCATTTACAATGTAACTCATCAACTTTAATAACATGACAACTTTGATATTTGGCAATATTATTTTCATGTTCTATTAACTTAAATATATTCTTTTATATAATACATTAATTTTATTGTTAATTTTATTTGTAATTGTCTAAAGATCTTGATTGTGATTAATAAAAATCTAATACAGACAATCTTAAGTATACTTAAAAGATAATAAACTTTTAAGCATATGCATTAATGAACTTTGAACTCAAATTAAACATGAAATATTTTAATTTTAAATTATATTTTAATGTCATTTTTTAATTTATATAATAATATTTATATATATATTCTCTTTGATTTCTAATTCTCTTTTTGTTCTATGATGATTTAGTGATTTTAGAACAAATTAATACAAATCTATTAATATTGTATTAATATATTTTTTAATATATTAATATATCATATTATTTTAATTTTTTATATTTTAAAAATTTATAAAATAAATATATCTAAATCGATCTTATGATAAAATTATTGGATATATAGGTTGCATTTAAATAATAAAGTCTAGTTAATTTAAATTAATTACATATACTGGGCCAGACAAATATAAGAAATGGTAAAAACTGAATCAATAGGTAAAAATGAGGAAATTAATGAAGTTAGTAAATCTGATAAATGAGCAATGTAAGATATATTTATACAATATGTAAATAAATTAAATCTATGACACGCTCAACAAAATAATGGAGAAAAATATAATTAAAGTATAAAAGGAAAAAATGATTCCTTATTATAATATAGTGTATATAAATATCATGCTGCTGCTAACCTGTAAAAACAAAGCAGGTCCTTTTTTGATATTGGGGTTATTACTAGTAAATGTGTTGAGTTAGTAACATATATGATAGCTGTGATATTGATGACGTTGACAATAATATATTCTGTTATTAGCAAAGTTTCTATAATTTAGTTTTAGGCTTCCTCATCTCAACTTATAAGTATATGGCAATGACATTCTTGCGCGCACAAAACTCAATTCTTTACAAATTGTAGAACTATAAATCTCTTAAAATTGAATCTATTGACCCAAATTCTACATAACTATATTTTCATGCCACAATACAAAACACACTTTGTTTATTATAGTGGTTTAATAATAAAAAAGTATTCAGAAAAACTATGTACACAAAACAATAACGAAATTTATACAAATACGCGTCTAAATAGAGTACTTAAAACAATACATGTCAAATTTATAAAAGATAAATAAGAAACGTGAGAGAAACGAAACATCTGTTAAGATTTAAAGCACCTGAGTCTATTAAGTAAATTGTAAAAAGCAATCAAGAACGAACCAAACCATCAACTTGATCAGTCGTACTAACCAACCTTTAAAATTATAAACCAAATGAAAATAATATAAATAAATATTATCTTTATATTTATGAGTATTTAAAGCAGTCAACTGCTTTTGAAATTTCCTCCATTTTCAAATAAAAACATTAAGAAATCTTAGTTAAAAATACAATGAATATCTTTGTTAATTGTTAGTAATTCTTTACATTCGTGATAAAAATAAAATTAACTTCAAATAATCAAATATTTAAATATTCTTATTCTTAACAAAAAATTATATTCATGTTACATACATTATGCGCATGCGTAAGTAGATAATCTTGGAATAACAAAATTCAATTTATAATTTATTAAATTCGGATGCTTCTAATTTTTAAATTAGGTCTTTTATTTATTTTAAAATCTAAATCTACAACTAAATTAAATAAATATTTTTGTATAAAAAATGGTAATGAATGTCAATACTTTTAAAGTACAGTTAAAAAATACAAATATTAAAAAAATAATAATATTGTATGTACACGTAATGTTAGACTTTTTGAATGAATTGTACTTATAAAGTTGGTTAACAAAGTTATATGAAAAATGCTTGAATGTTGACATTTTTTTTTCAAGTGAATAAATGTGTAAGTGCAAATAATATCTAGCGTATAGATCAAGAGTACGTTACTATGAGGGAGAGTTGCAAATAAAAAAGTGTAGTTGATGGTTAATTTTTAAAACAGACAAAAAAACAATATAATTATAATCCTTAAGTATTGTTATTAAATGTCATGTAAAACGCTACAATGTAGCTATTTAATTTACTTTATTTTAAAAATAGAAAATTAATAAAATATATACTTGATTCATTTTATATTTTGAATGCACATTAGCATGTAAGTAATGTATATTATGTGATAGATACGATAAGATATAATGACATATATAACAACAAATGCATTATATATAAATATAAATGAGTATTATTTAGTAATATTAACATAAATAAAGTACTGAAAGAAATGGACGTTTATTGATTACTTTATTGGAATATAGGATTAAGTACTTTTTATTGCAACCGTGAGACGTTAATATTTAATAAAATTGCAAATTCTATTATGCAGATTATTATTTTTGTATATAAAATCATATAATTCCATATGATATAATCATAAACAATAAAATTAGTGGTTATTTAATATTACAAATGCAAACTTATTAGATAAACAAAATTAATGTAAAAAAAACTGCTGCAAACACTGTAGCTTCTACAAAACATAAATATATATGATGTTATGTTGTTGAAAATTGGATATAAATAATGGATTATCTAACTCAATTATAACTACAAAAAATAGAGAAATTGGAGAAAAGTTAGTCCATTATTGAATTTGGAGGTACGAGTTTACAATAATTAAATTTTTCTTGTTTTTATATGACAATATAGTCATGTCATGTAGGTTTGTAAACTTTTTAATTACAATTGTTTTACAATTGCAGCAAATATTTCAATATGTATTAATACTCTGTAGGCAGCGCTAGTGGGGCTCATTATGTTAAGGATACATCCATTTGGATTTAGTGATCCTGAATATTTATTAAATTGAGTATAAGTTTGATTGGTTGAGTAATTTCAAGCCTTTATAAATATTTATTGAACTATAAGTATAAAGTGGTCATTACAGAGTTGATCACACGTTATATATTCTCACTTTCTTTGTTTCAAATCTTGCATAGCATACTTTTCTGTATAAAATAATTAATGAATTATGTAGAAACTGAAAATAATTAATTTTAATTGAATATTATAAATAATACAATATTTAAATAAAATTCTTTTATCAGATAAAAAGATCAATTTGTAAATGATGTATTTATTTATTTTTATTTATAATAACTTCAGATATTTTTTTTACAATAATTGACCGGGCCTGTTTGGTCTTAAAATTTTACTTGTACACATTGTTTAAATATACCAAAACAATTAATATTTTTCTAAAAAATATATATTAGAAAATGAAGTTTATGTAATAAATACTTGATTTCATATTTTAAAGATATAGAGGTATAGAAAAGAATACACTACATATCAAATACTATAAAATCAGGGATTTAGAAGAAGATTAATTTTTGTTAAAGTAATATTGTGTTAAATATTTTACATAGTACATGGGTGTAATATGTTAAGAAATAACAACTGTTTTATCTTGGCTCAAATGTGTACATAATAAATGATCTTTATCTATGTACTTCTATATAAGGATTTTTTATTATGTAATATATCTAGTGGTTGCTTGTTTCAAAATCCACAATCTATGATACAAATTATATAGTTTATATTATATAATGTAAATGGCATCACTACTGCTTTAACCGTGCATATAAAAATCACAAGACCAACAAATATCAGTTGATCACTGATTATCATATATAAATAAAAAATGACTATAGTTACAAACCAATCAATAAGTAATTATTCTAATATAAGATATCTAATAATGGAGAGTTAAACATGTTATATAATATTGTGATTTCTTAGATTAAAAGCGAAAATAATAAATGTTTTAATACGACTTATTATATCATTAAAATAATGTTTTGATAGTTCAATGTATCTATTGAGAACATTGTTACTTTTGAGATCTGACAAAAGTTTATTGTAGAGAGTTATAAATGTTATTGTTGAATAAGCTATGTAAAGAACAAATTTTCACCAACACTCAAGGTATAGTTTTGGTGATTTTCAATTTGAAGTTTAATTTTAATTAATTCCAAATATGGCTCTCTATTTAGGTATAGTGTAATAATGAAATATTGTTTCTTGTATTATAATATTAAAATACTTTAAAAATATTAATGTTATATTGACTACATTTTAAGTGTCAAGAATACTAATTGATCTCAATGCAAATGCAAATTTTTTTTTGTGAGATACTCATTTCTTAAATTACTTTGAAGAACACTTAGAAAATTTGGTAATACAATAGAAAGTTACTGTTTCTTAGTAATTAATTTAATTTTTCTTAAATTTGTTTCATAGTCTTAATTTATTATTTATATAAATGATGGAAGTTGTATTTTTGTATAGAAATATTTTAGATAGCAATTTTTTCAAGCTGAAAAAAATACCTTACCAAATTAAAAATAGAATATGATTTCACAATGTGAAAATCATATATGGATCTTTTAAATCTGAAAATATTTATAAATACTGAAACATATATTAATAAATGAAAAGGAATAAAATAAATGATCCGTGAATAATCTTAATATATGATTCATCAAGCAATAAAAGAATACATTGTACATAACGCAATAAAAATACAAATTTGTTTATGCTTGGAAATGGATAAGTATTTAATTCCTCCTAAACTATTCAAATTGCTATTGATTCAAGACAATTAATTGTCACACAGTCACTGTGTTTAGTGGATAGTAATTTAAACGATATCAAGAATTCATTACTTTTCTAGTATTATAGAAAAAAATAAATACAATTTTTAATCCAAATTATGAAGCGATAAAACAAACTGTGATATAAAGTGGTCATTTTGATTAAAGTATATGATAAGCACTCAGTAACTTGATGAAAAAAAAGGAGATGCGCCAATTTCTATTTTTCAGCGGATTGCGAATTATTGATATATATATAATTGTCTAAAAATAGAGTACCGGATGAGGAGGGCCAAATATCTAAAGTTAGATATAAACTTCCAGATGGTTGGTAGGAGGATTGCGGGCTAGTGGACAAGATAGTGCATGTGTTCAATAATAAATAGTTTTGTTATTGTTCGAGAATGTAAGAAAACTCCCAGCTCATTAAACATCTGGAAAATTCGAGATAAGAGTTCCGAAAAAGGCGAACTCTCGACTACTCGAGAAATAACATTCAAAACGCGCCTCAAATTAACTAAATCTAAACAATTCAGTAAAAATTCGAATATCTAAAGAAAATACAATTCAGAAACATATCTGGCGAGAACAAAGTTCCAAGTGTCCAGCAAAACAAGTCATAAAACTCATGCTACGAGACATTTGACACGGCCTCGCCACAAAGCATCTATCGACGACAAGTCATAATACTTCTGGCATAATCAAGTCATAAAAATATAAGCAAAGACCACCTCGTCTTACATCCGAAAAAAGGGATATTAAAGGCAACACTGCACGCATACGCTGTTGTCAAACCCAGCTACATGTGGCTCGGATAGTGAAGCGAGAACGTGCCAAAGAAGTCCCTCTCTCATGGTGGGAATGCAAGTAAGAAGCGTTCTGATTAGAGCCGTCAATAATGAAAGGATCAATTCGATTGGAGACGCCCAAAAAAAGGCGCTCTGATTGGAAACGCCAAGAAGCAGGAAATTCATAAGGGCCACGCGGTGGCCGAGAGAATGCCTCCAGAAAGACGCCAGCAAGGCACACAGGAGTCTCTTGTCACCAGAGAAGCCGGCAAGGCTGCTTCTCCAAGGGAACGCCAAATAACAAGAATGTAGACATACACAGTAAAGGCTGATTAAGAGGCAAAGTCTAGTCATATCCAACTTATAACAAGTGCAAGATAAGTGCAAATCAAATCATACATTAGCAGCAGTGCAAGACAAGTAATAGGAACAAGTAAACAGTGGTGCACAAGGCACAACATCATCACAACCAATAAGGAGCCGTTCGAGGCAAACTCAGCAAACAATACGAGGTATAGCTAGAAAAACACAAAACATAAACTACAAGCTGTCGCACGAGGCACAACCTGCTGACATCACTAGCTGCCATCAGAGCACAAAAATCTGCAGAACTAATAAGGTAAAGTTCCATTCCTTAATAATTCACATTAATAATCCATTCGATAATAATACACAATATGCCTCACAAGGTAAGGAACTGTAGAGCGACTAAGCTCACAATCTGCAAACGCATAAGGGGCAAGTTTAGCTCCCACAAGAAAGACTTACGAGGCGCCGTACGCAGCAATATCTGCAGACTAAGATGAAGTGCCACCAAAAGCGCACCTGCAGAGCCTTCAACGTAAGAAATAAGACAATACCGCACATTACAGCTCTGTGGCAATAGCAATACAAAACTTAAGAAACGAAGGCATTCAAGCATAAATTAAAAATCATTATAAACAACTAATGCAATTATCGCAATAAACTAAAACAAATACCACATCCATTTATTATTGAATACATGCACTATCCTGTCCACTTGCCCGCAATCCTCCCTCCCACCATCTTGGAGTTTACACCTAATTCTAGATATTTGGTCCTCCTAGCCTGGTACTCTATTTTTAGACAGTTATTAATTGTATTTTATTGCGATTATTCCATAAAGTGTATTATAATGAATTTTAGTTGATGTTTGAATGTTTCTTTTCTTGAGTTTATATAACTATTGTCACGAAGCGGTAATGTGCGTTGCATGTACAGGTAGAAGGTCATAACTTTTCTGGTCCTCTATATGTAATGCACGTGGTGGTTGAGTTCTACACGCAGAAGAACAAGATCGTAAACCCCCGTGCTCCCTTGTGTAGGCACATGGCGATAGCTTGAATTGCTTAGTCTTGAGTTTTGCAGGTAATTCTAATGGCGTTTACGTATCTGCAGATTGGCCGCGTACGGCTCGTTATAGTTATGAATCAATTAGGAATAGAACTTTATCTCTTAGTTCTGCACGTTGTGTTTTGTTGGCTATGCTTCGTATTGTTTGCTGAATTTGCCTCGAGCGGCTCTATTCTTACAATTTCGAACATTCCGAGTGTAGTGTTCAAGTGTATTACTTATTCATAATGAGATATTTTTGTTACAATTTAATAATCAAAAATTAAAATTATTGTACAAATTCTAAATTATTTTAATACACTAATTTATTTTACTACACAATATAAATCACCTCAATGAATATAAAGTAATTTATTATAATTATAAGGACTTCCTTTTTAATAAACTTTTATGTTAAATTTATAGTTACTTATTAATGTTAATGTGATTTTCAATTTAAAATTGCAATCAAAATCCTAATTTACCTCTAAAATATATCAGATATTTAGAAAATATAAAAAATAATAAGTTCAACCTATGAAATGATAGACTAATTACTAGATTGTTTTTAATGTAGAAAAAGTAAAACCTTTTTAAATGTTAATTTAGCTGCTTAATTAAATTCAATTTACTTATAAGTTTGCAAACCTGTAGTGGGTAAAAAATCTGAAGCTTTACCAAAAGTACTAAGTAAAAGTATTCAGGATTGACTCACCCAACAATAAAATTTAAACGTTAAAGCCTTTGTTTAAGAAAGCCTTACAATTTATTCGCATGGCAACTAAAGCTTACTTTCCGAGAATTTGACAGAATTGTAAACTCTAAATCTACGCAACCATATATAAAGAGTAGCGTACGTCGAAACAAATTAGTCTTGTTGAGTAAGTGAAAGTGAAATAGTGCATGTCACACCCAGTAAAAGTTCTACATGTCTGTCTACGGGATCCGTGCAAGGTATTCTTATTTGTTTACATTATTTATTACTGGCCAGCTAGCGGTACGCCCTCCGCGACTTGACTTGTCAGACAGTATTGAGGGCGCCGGTACAGTCTAGCATCACCAGCAATCTATTTATATCATTTATTGTTATTACCACACAACGCCGGCATTATCGGTCAGGCCTCTGCAACTTGATTCTTATCAGACCGCGGAAGAGGGCACCGATATTAACCAGATAATCCCCTCAATTCATATCGCTAATGAGAGCGCCTATGGTTACGCGTCTCTCGTGAATTTACCTTCCATAATTATTGTTACGTTCCGCTAGTACAATAGCGCATATAGTACAAACACACCAGTCTTGCCTTGTACACCCGGACGACGCCCTGCAGTTTTTCTGCCTACTATCAGGATCACGACGAGCTCAACAATTCTCACAACGACCGGTAACACCAATGATCACCTGTAACATAACCTTAAATAAAAGTCACTAAAACCAATTGCGTTTATACTGAATTGATGCATTAACCTATCACTTATCCTCCCCTCTCCATCATTAAACCGGCGGTACAGTCTAATACATTCGGGTGGCTGGAATTTCATTTTGAAAAATAAAATAAAAAGTTTTATAAATACTATTATAAAATGAATTCTTTAAAATTAATATGAAGATTAATATTACAACACCAATTCTAATAATATAAAATTGAATATCATAATTATTAATATTTTTATAATTAAATTTTCATCCCTTTATTATTTATATTTCTAATTTAGAATAATTAACGTGGTTTCGATATTACAGCTTATAAACATTTGATTCATATTATATAATGTTTAAATCTGAATGTTTTTGATTAATTTACGTTATTAATGTATTACATTATTCTTAAATGTTGCTTATAGTTCTTATTTATGATTTAAATTATTATTATAAAAATAATTTACAATTAAATTTTTTATTAATTAAATTTAGTATTATGCCAATTAAAATAATTCCAAATATAAAAGTGAATTCTATATGATTGCATATAAACCTCTACTGCACATTTACTATAAGTAAACTTTTTCTATTTTGAAACTTCCTTAGACTTTTTTAATACTTTTAATAATTTTACATTTATTAAAATTATTACAATAAATGTATAGTTTAGCAAAAAATAAGCATAATTCAATATATCTATTCATAAAATTTCTTTTTTATATTGGGTCTTTAATTTTAAATACACAAATTATTTCATAAGTATAAATAATAACATTAATGTGATACAAAAATTTTAAATATTAATATATTATTTTAAAAATTTTTGATATGTGATTTAATACATAAAAATAATTAGTTTTAAAATATGAATAAATTTAGTTAAAATAAAAATTAAGCTATGTTTATTAATCATACATGTTCGGAATTCTGTATTTAGTAGTGCATCTTACATCAGTGTCACTTGCACCACCAGCGAACTGCAATTCAAATATCAAACAATCAAGAGCTCAAGGAAGAAGTTACACCACTACAATAGAATAATTCTCAGTCACAATAGAAGTAACTAACAACGCTACAATATTATAATTCATTAGCAGAATAAATTAATAATCGAAGTCATATATATTACATTATACTTTTCACCCCTTCCCTTGGTGCCTTCTTTCTTCCTAAATCGCTGTGGAGAGAGATTAATCCACTGAACTATTGAATTGGCAGTTCGAGCCATAAATTAAAACGTTAAATACATATGTATAACCTAAAAAATTCATTAGTGTTATTACTTATGTACGTTTTATGTATGTTTTAATGTACATATAGTGAAAATTTAGTTAAATATTATTGAAAAGATGATTTTCCAACCTGAAAATCAGAAACATTTACTATCTTAAATATTAATATTCAATGTACATCTTACTATATTTTTAAAATTAAGTTTAATTTTTTATTTATTATTTATCTCTATTAATTTATTCTTATTTTTAACTTCATTATACTTTTTTAACAGGAAAAAACGATTCTATTGTTCTTAAAGCAATTTTTTTAATTTATCTTTTTTATTTCTAAAATAATATAAAGCTGTTGTACTTTGTCCTTTTATTAAATATTTTAAATAACAAAATATGTTTATAGTTTTAAGAAACTTTCAAATACAAAAAAATATATAATAGTATAGTAATAAAATTTATACGATGTATTTTAATAAAAATAATGTTAATACAATATGTTTTTTTTTATTACTGAGTAGGTGTAAATGATAGATTCATAGGTAATAATTGAGATCCAGGAGTATTTACTATGCCATAATTTTCCGTTTCACATATTGGGTCAGTTTCATTCATATCTTCAACCTATAATATAAAAATAAATAAAAATGTTTATCTCAATTATAACAAAATTATATAAATTAATCTAACTGCAAACCATCATTGGATTTTCTTCAACTTTTATTCTTTTTTGAGCTATTGTTCTCAAAAAAGCTTTGGCTTCTTCTTTAGTCTCATCATATTGTAAACATTTTTGAGCATAATGATTTGCTTGATCTAATTCATCGCGTTTTAAATGATATTGTGTTAAAAATTTATAAGCATGACTTAGTTCTGTTCTATCAGCATTTCTAAATTCATCCATTACAAAATCTGTATAAGCTGCTGCAGCATTATCATGATGTCCTAATTTTTCGTATAAACTGAAATTAAAGTTTTTTTATATTTAATTAGAAAAGACAAAAGAATAAAAATTTATTTACGTGGCAAGACGTATGAGAGCCATTCCTTCAATATCACCAACATTACAGGCTTTATAATAACATTTTAAAGCTTCTGGAATTCTGTCTTGCTTTTCATAGGCTTCACCTAAGGCAAGAACCATCCTACTATCTCGAGGTCGTAATAATTGAGCTTGTTTATAATAATATAAAGCATAAAAAGGCATTTTTAAAATTTCATATGTTTGACCTAAGCCATACCAAGCTCTATAGTCATTTTTATTGAGTTCTAAAAATACATTATTTTAATATATAATTGTATTTTATAAATAAAAAATAAAATAATAGTAATAATGAAAGTAATTTATACCAATAGCTTGTCGATAACTATGAATGGCTCCATTTGTGTTTTTCATTTCCATGAATTCATGGCCTAACAATGTCCATGCTGATAAATACTGAGGATTTAATTTTAAAGCTCTGTGAAAGTACATAATAGCTTTTTGATGATCAGCTCTTAAACTGTAGTAATTACCTATAGGATAATTAATTTGCTTATAAACAAAGAAATTCAAAATATACAGTGTTATTACCTATAATACAACATGTTTCTGATCTATATTTATCAATTTCTGTAACTCTATGAGCTAGAAAAGCTAATTCATTTTTTAGTTCTTTCACATATAATAAATTTGAATATGTATCCATGTTATCAAGACAATAAGGGTCATTTTTTATTATTTGTTTAAATGTTGCTATTGCATTATCTACATCTGAAATAAATTAGTATTTTACTATGATTAAAAATTAAATTAAATATAAAATAATTTTTTGTCAGACTAAATACAATTACCTCTTTTATAATGTATTGCAATAGCAGTTTGTGCAAGTACATATCCATTTTTTTGAAAACCCATAGACTGTAAATCACAACACAATGCAAATCCTTCATCAATAAATTGTAATTCTAAATACATTTGTACCATAAAAAAATGTTTCATCCAATGACTAGGTAATATTAAAGAATCAAGTCTTTCTCTATTTGTAATTAAACTTTTTAGTTCAAGCCAAGTTCCCCAATGCATAGGTTGTTTATGAGTAGATTGAACTAGAATATCAGTAGCTTCCTTTAATAACTGTGATTTTTTTAGAATAACACCATATAAGTATAAACCAAAACCATCAAGCTTTCCATCAACATACTCTTTTCTTAATTTATTACAAAGAAGCTTTAAACTATTATTTTTTAATGGATCTGGTGGTACATCTGTCATATTATCAATTTTCTTTTTTTCTCCAGATAGGTATAACGAATAATAATATAAAAATTTTGCTTTTGATGTTTTACACTTTTCAAGAAAAAATGCTGCACGATCATATTCCTTTAAATCAAAATAACTTTTTGATAAAATATACATATCATCATCTTCATTTATATATGATAAACTTATATCACTAGATATATTACTTAAATCTTGTTTAACATATTTTAATGAATGATTCAATTCAGCAAGCCTAAAAAAATCAGACAAAAAGTTAATTTTTCTCAAATATATTGCATAGTAAAGTAAATGAATAAATCATTATTTTAAATTAATAAATATAAAAATCTATTGTTAATATTACCATTTTGTTGTATGCATAAGGCCACGTTGAGAACAATCAAAAATAGCTTTTATTAAATCTGACTTTATCTCTTTAACATCAAATTTTATTACAGAATCTTCCATTTCTGAGTATTTTGGAAAAAAATCATATTTCTTCTATAGTTTATAGTATATAAACATTAGTATATTAAGTATATATAATATTAAATAAAAAACATAATTTATTTATTAGAAAAAAAATGTTTAGAGAAGTTTCGTTTAAATATATTTTTACGGTATCAAATTTAATTAAAAATGTATTTTGTATATTATAACTTTGTAATGTATGTTTCAACTGGTTCTATATAAAAAAATTCTAAAAAATGATTAAATTATTATTCTTCGCTTTATGGTTCTAAATTATACTATTTAGAATCGAAAAAGTAATTATACCAAATCCTATAGTTATTTTTGACTTTCAAATGTTGACAATAAAATATATAAACAAATGTGCGGAAATTTGATCAATTTTTTAATGATGTTTAAAAATTTCTTTTTAGATGTGCAAATATTTTAAGTAAATTATATACTTTTCAGATTATCTATAATTTATCTACGCATGAATTGGTTTTAAACAAATAATTTTATAAAATAAATTACATAACTCGAGAAAACTTTAGCTAATAAATAGTGTATTTATATATGACACAGGAATTTAGTGGTTAAGTTTTTTACTGTATTAAGCATGCTCAGTATAAAAATTCAGCTTTATATGTAAGTGCAGCTATAGTTCCATGAATTTGGAATATATAACATAATAGTATTTCTTTATAAAATAAATCGTTTATTTTTTATATTCATTTGATTTTTATTATATAAAAAATATGATTGAAATATATTTATTTATAAATTAAAATATTAATAATTTTAATTTTTAAATAAAAATTATAAAAATAAATGTACGGAACTATAAAACATATTCATGTTTGATTTTAATTTTATTTTAATAAAAAAATATATAAATAACCTATATTTACAAATATTGAATCTATTATAAACTTAATAAATAAATAAATTATAAGATCATTATTGTGGTCGTTATGCGTAATATAATTTGATATAATTTTTTTTAGTATTTTTTTTTCAATAAAGATTATTGAAATTATATGCTCTTTTATCAATCAACTTTAGACTGATCTTATATAGATAAAATTTATACTAATATAATACTTCTTGCTATCAAAATAAAGCTACAATGGTATCTAGTATTTCCGTTTATTTTGGTGGGATGTAATATTTTATATAATAAATAACAATAATATTTCACATTATTAATTATTAATAATTATATCAGAAAAACGGATTATTCGAAATCACGAACTAAAATTTGCTATTAAATAACTAATAAAAAATTTATATAAAAAATGAAGTATAATGAGGATGAAGAAACTGAAAAGCATTGGATTTCTAACCTTCAACGAGATTACTTATATTATAATATAAACTTAGCATATTAAGAAATATAATTTTCTTTAACATATTCAAATGAATTAAATTAATTTATACATATATTATATATTATAAAATATTTTTCGTAAATTTTTAAATCATTAGTAATTCAAATTTAATAAAGCATTTAAAATGAACACATCCCTGTATATCCATTAAATATTTAATATTCAAGCGCTAGAAAAAGAAAAGGAAATGCAATTATAAAAAAGATTTTTAAGTGCTGTTTTTTTATAACAACAATTTAGTAATGTTTTATTTATTTCATTTATTAATTAAAATTGTTAATTTTACATTTTCATAACACTACTTAATCATTTTTAATTACCATTAATGTTGATGGACTCCCCTTGTATGATAAATAAGAAAAAAAAAATATCTAGGATAATGATATATTTATTATTAACTTTTATTTGCTATTTTCTATTTTTTGTGTACTGTTTCTACATTTACATTAATAAACACAAAGATAATTTAAAAAATTATTTACTTATCAATAGGGCATTTGTTGAAATGAAGATTTAATTAAGTTTAATTTAAAAAATTCATGTTATAATTATAAATTTTTATATAGTTTATATAAATTACACCTTAATTTAACAAGTAATGAATATAGATATCAATCTGTGTCTTTAATAATGTTAATTAATTTCATTATTGATGAATAATGTAATTCAATAATCAACACAATTGATTAACTTCATAACTCAATGTATTTGAATTTTTCAGAAATGTCAGTGTATTTTTAATTTCAATGACTTTTAATTCAATGAAAAGTTTCCTTTCAATTTTGTACAAATATTCATATTATTCATATAAATTATACATATTTGAGGTATAATTTTTTAACGCTTCATTAACAAATGCTGCATTATCCTAATTAACTCATTCGTATGCCGCTATTTGTTGAGTCGTATTTATTTTTCATATGCATTAATATCGCTATACTCTTCATAAAAATATTGTTAAATTTTAGTATCTATTTGGTTCATATCATTTTTCAAATTCTAAAGAAAACTATTATCTTTATGAAGAATGTATCAGTTATATTGAAATTTTATTTTTAGCATTAAAGCAACTACATATTTAATTTGATTCTGCTTCATTAAAATTTATGTTATCATTAATTGTCAACAAATATTTAGTATCAGATTACCAAATAAATTTGGTTTACCAATTAATGTTATTGGCTAGTCACTACTTTTTTAATTTTAACATATTCCGAAACTGAAATTATGTCATAGCTTTCATATTCCAATAAATGCAATATTAATGTATACAGATAATATTTGTATTATTAAATTGTATCCATTCATCAGTATATAGAACAGTATTGAACATATTTTATGGATAATATCAAATTTTATCTTAATCAAGGCTAGTGTAAAGTACAAGTCTTAATCACATTAGATGCGTGTTCTTTTATAATTCATTGTTTTACATACCATGTATAAAAAAATTTATCTTATCTGTAACTGAAAATTAAATTAACGGATGGTTGGATTCATATTTGTTTATTCTTATAAAAAAAATTCTTTCATATTTCAATTAAATGATCATGTTTTCACAAATGTGAAATAAGAATTTTGAAAGTATTTAGGATTAATCATATTAAATAAATTAAATTTTCTGGGAATTTATTTTATGTTGAGATAATATAGATTGAAAATGATTTAAAACAGTTTTGTTATATTATTTGATCATTACAGTAGTGTACTCTTTAAAAATCTTTAATCTTTAAAAATGGACTTAAATTCATGCAAAAATTTTGAAGTGACTTAAATATATTTTAATTGTAGTAATATATGTTTTACTATTTTTACTTTTTACATTATTATTTATGTCCAAATATTTGACTTCAAAGTAGACATTAAATATAATACACAATTTCTTATAGTACTTCTTATTTAGTACATGGTAATTAGATGGGCTTTGTATTTTGAAGTATGTTAAAAGCAAATATATATAAAAATACATAAGACTTATAATCCTATTAATTTTTTGAATTATTTACTAAAATCTATAAAATATGTTCGGTAGTATTAAATAGTTACATGTATTATTAAATTATGAAATTATATGCTTATTTAGTCAATTGAATAATCAATTGATAATAAATGTATTAGAGAATACAATTTAAAGATTACATCGAAAATTTTTTAAATATATAGTTGTAAAGAATTATTTTGATATACTAATGTACAGCATGGATATTTTACAAATTTTCAAGATACATACACCAGCTTGTTTAATCATATTAAAAATCATAATTTATTTTGTAAGATTTAGAAAATGATAAATAAACATACAGATATTTTACAACAGATTTTTAAACAGAAAGATAAACATTTTATAGATTGTATTACAAAATATTTTCAAAAAATTTTTATTTTACTAAACTAATTAATTTTTATATAAAAGATTACTTTTTTACAGCAAGTAGTAAAGTGATAACTTTTTGCATGAGATCGGTCAATCAACTTTTATTTTAAAATATTAATCATAAATTGATAATCATAATTGATAATTGATTTTATTGTTATTAAATTAACTATGTTGGAGTTTAGAACATCAATTAATTTATTTATAATATAAAATATAATTTATAAAATCATGTACTTCTTTTATGTAAATGTTTGAAATCTATAGTTTCTTTATATAATAACACAAACTGAAAAACAAGTATCATAAAATTTTGAAAGAGGCTATTTTAACATTATTTAATGCTCTTGATTATTTACTAAATCAGTTGGATAGTAAAGATTGATATTAGTTTATTAGGATAATGTTTTACAGATTCTAAAGAAAATATTCTTTAAATAATTATTTGAAAAGCTTGATATAATTATAGGAAGAATAATACTGATCCCACAAAGACCAATAAATAAGTCTATTATTTGTCAAAAAATTATTTAAATGTAATAATATCGAATATTAATCATATATTGAATAACAAGATTTAGTTAAGTTTTATTTTTATTCTAAATATATTTAATACTTTGAAATATATCTTTTGTTAATTCTAATATTTAGAAGAAATAATAATTGTAAAAATATTTTATAATAACATATTTTTTTCAGATATACACTACACTTATTTACTTCAATTTTTTTATCTTTTTTTTAAATGTGTCATTTTTTTTTTCTTTATTATTTATCTGAAAATATAGAAATTGTTTGAAAATTGATTTTTTCATAATGTATTTAATTTAGCTTTACCTCACTCCATTCACGTTGTAATTCTTGTAGCATTTTTGGAGTTATCAATCCCTTATCTAATAATTGCTTAGTCAATTTTCCTTTATAACCAGATTCAAATAAAGTAGTTTTAGCTGATGATTCTAAAGTAATTAAACATATTTTATAAGAATAATATAAAATAAATTAAAAAATCTTATAATTTACCTGATTCTAATGGCTTTAAATTCTTGGTCATCTGATATATGCTTTGCTGAATAATTACATCAAGTTCCTTTTGCATTTTTTCAACTAATGTAATATGAGGAAATAAGTCGGTAAAGCGATAACTGTAACAATATTTTTTTAGAAAATGTAAATTAATTAGTTACCCGAGTAGAAATATTTCTTACTTTAACCAAAGGTAAAGATCTAAAACGTCAAATACCGCCTCTAAATGACTAAGATCAGTAAATGTCTTTGGTAATTTTATTGGCCAACCAATATGTTCACTAAGCCATTCAAACGATATTGGTTCATTTTTACAATATTGTCTCGCAAATTTTATGAACATAGCACAAACAAATGGCAGCTTTTTATTAATAGGTGCGCAACAAAATACATATCTAGCTCGTAATGGAAGAGGGATATGTTGGATCATATCAGCAAGAAATTTAAAATCATCAACATTACACATAAAATATAGGGAATCAACCGTACACAATGAAACAAAAATATCCTATAATAATAGAACATAAAATGTTTATTAAATTAATATAATTATTAAATAAAAAAAATAATCTTTTTACCACAAGATTAGACAAAGGAGTTTTTGGCAAATGATAAGCATATAGTTCTATTTGGTCGGCAGTAGGGTGTAGGCCAGCTTGAGTTAGAGTTTCTGGAGTTTGGTCAAGTAAACTTTTCAGTGTAGGTAGATCCTCCGATTTGAAAGTAGTTACATATCCCTGAAAATATCAAATATTTATTGAATTGAAAATAACTTATAAGGTAATATTCAAGATTTTATTTAAATACTTCTTTCCATTGTGTTCCATATCGTCCTGCTCGACCTGCAATTTGTAATGCTGAAGAAACACACAAGGTATTCATTTCTTTTTCACCTTTCTTATTTACAGTTGTTTTGATTAAAGAGTAAAAAATTAATCTACGTATATGTCTATTAAATAAATACAAATTATTAGTATAATCAAATTATAGATATCTTTTATTTTAAAAACCTACAAATTCAAACCCATTCCAATAGCATCTGTTGCAACTAAAACTTTGCAAGGATGATAAATATCATTGAATTTTGCAGCTTGGGCAAGTTTGGTTTGTGGAGGCAAACTTCCATATATAACAGCTACCTCAATATTATTTTGTTCAAGAAAACGAGATACAGCATAAATATCATTTTTACTAAAACATACAATACAATCACCAGACTGCACATTGAGTAATGAGTTAAGCGCTTTATTTTCTATTATAAGATTTGTAAGACGTTTATATTTTCTAACTTCAACAGTTTCTCCAATCGTTGCACACACAGATTCTACCTATTTAAGAAAAAGATAATGAATATTTTTACTATTTATTTGAATATCTTAATTTACACTCAAAATTAATATATTTTGAATTGATCAAACTTATAAAATTCATTTAATTTTTTAGTATATAAATGTTTATAGTTTAATATAAAATAACAAAAATAGATTGTTAAATTTATAACTTATAACAGCTTTAATAGAAAAAATACTAAATCATACTAAATCAATAGCAGATATTTCTCCACAAAGATGTACTTCGTGTGCTGGAGTACCCAATAAAGCTCTAGTCCAGGCCCACCCTCTTCCTGTATCTCGCATTAATTGAATCTCATCTATAACAGCTACATCACCTTAAAAAATATCTACTTTATAAATTTGATAGTACATAATTTCTTTAATGATACTTTAAAATTATGTTTACATATACTATTAAGATTCATCATTTCAACAGTACTAGAAATATGTTGAGCAGGGTTACTTTCATTTTTATGATATCTTCTTTCTTCTCCTGTGATTAAATCACAAGATGTTCCCTAATATAAAAATAATTTTATCATTGCATTTTGATCATTCATTTACTATTTATTTTATTTAATACTCACGCTATTATTACATTTATTAAAAACTTCAACAGCTAGTAACTTTAAAGGACTACAATATATTCCACTTTTAGCATTAATAAAACTTTTCAAAGCACAATATGTCTTACCACTATTTGTTGGACCTGCATGAAAAATGATATTTCTTTTTATACTTCTTGCAACAGGATACCTACAAAATTTTCCAGCTAATCAAATTAAGGTAAAGTATTAAAAATAAAATCATTTTTATATTATATCAATAGATCATTGTATAATTTTAAACATCAATTATTATTATAAAGTAGGTTTAATTAATATTAACCAATTTGATGGTCTTCGTAAATCACTAATTTTTTTTAAATCATCTAAACAATTTATATGAGGAAAGGTTACTTTTGCATGCTTCATAAAATAAGGAAATATATCTGTTTCATGACCAGATCCTTGAATTATATCACTTATTAATATATGTAGATCTACTGGCAAAGATTCCGATTCAATGCAATAATGTTGAAAACTACAGAATGCTTCTTGAAATAGTTTTTCTACAAATATAAATTTATTTTAAATATTACAAATAAATAAGTATGTAAAATAATATATATATAAAAAGAAAAAAATGGTTATACTTTCTAAACCATATTCAGAAGCTAATTTTATAACTTCATTTCGTGTTATAAATGAGTTAAGAATTCTTCTTAAATCAGATTTTTTTATATCGGTAGTTAATTCAACTCCAACATTAATATCATCTGAATTCAATTTTACCGATATTGGTTTAATAAGCGATGAAGGAGAACTATAGTCATTTTTTGTTCTAATAGATTGCATTAAATTTTGGTTGATTTTAATTTTATTAAATTCGGAAAAACTAAAATATAAATATCTTATATAAATATATTAAAAAATACAATAATAAAAATTATAACTAAAATGCATACATATTTATTTTTGTGAACATGTTATTTTTATAGAAAAGTTGAATACAATGCACTTTGTTTGATAGACACATTTTATTCTTTTATATTTTTAATTATAATAATTAATATTTACATACAACCTATGATGTCTATAGATAAGGAAATATCATGTTATAATAATTTACATACGATTATGACGATTGTAACTTAACGCAACATCACATTTCGAATAGTTAAAAAAATGTAGACTGTGCCATTTTATATCATGCGCAATAAGTACAAGTGTTTGACAATCAATGATATTAATTTTATTTAAGGAAAATTCCTTTTAAACATGATGTTTAATGCGCATACCTTAAATGGGTATGGTATTGACTTTTTCTGTTATATTACTAATAAATCTATATTACTGATTAAGACTATTAAAAATTAATATAGTTATAGATTGAAAATGACAATGGTTAAAAACTATAAAAAATTTAATGTGATAAATATGAATTTCAATAAATGCATGCATATTTTTTTCACATATTTTAATTAAATTCTTAAATAATATATTAGGACTTTTAAACTTATATAAAAGATTTTATCTTCGATATATTATCCAAAAAGAATTTATAAAAATTATATTAATTAACTTTTGCCATTGCATTTAATATGAATGCCACCGCGTTATAATTTGGTATCCAATTAAAACCAAACTCTACCTACGTGCTATTTCCTTTTTGTTTATTTAGTATTTTTGTTACATAGAAACTATTCAAAAGTAATGTGATTAAATATTTTTAATAATTTATAATAAATGCCAATAAAATTTTTTATTAACACTAAAAATAATAATACCAATCATTTTCTAAAATGTAAAAAATTAAATTATTTTATCAATTAACTGTTTATTGATTCGAAAAAAGATAATTGATCAAATTAAAAGTAGTTAAGTATGAATTAATTAATTTATGTAAAAAATAATAATTGGATAATTTAATTAATGTATTTATTTATTATTTACATTTTTTAAATAATGATTTATATACCTGATAAATTTAATATATTGGATTATTACAACTATTTTCTATTATAATTTTTGTAATATACCAATAAGGCAAATCAATATTATAGAACAAAAGATAATTAACTAAACTAGTTTATAGATATATATGAATTTATTGTACTATAGAATTTTAAATATAAGTGAATTAAAATACTATAATTTTCAAAAATATTTTATAAACATTCGATTTATGAATGTTTGTAAATTTAAACTTTTAAATATTGAAAAATATAACAAAATACTTATTACTAAAGATAAGTCATTCAAAATATAATATAAAAATTCAAAAGTATATATTCATGTTTTTTTAATTTCTTGTATATATTGATAAGTAGAAAGAATTTAAATATTCAAATATTTTATAAATACACCATATTAGTGAGATTTTCTATATAACTTTAATCTTAGTTTTTTTAGGTTTTATTGCAAATTATAATATAATAATCCTGTAAATAATTATAAATAAAAGTATAATACATGGTTATAATGATAAGATAATTGATTATTAATAATATAATTATTTTTGTTTATGATTTTAAAAAATTCTTTCAAAATACTTTTTATGTGAATTACTTTTTATAATATCCCAATTTCTTTAAGAGCATTTAATTTGAATAAACATTTTTATCATATATATGTCCTACTCTTTTATCTTTGAAATCTAATCTGAATTTCATTTTTTTCAGTATTTGGAAGTGTTCTTAAATTTTTTTATCGAGTCTTTTGAAGAAATATAATTATGAAACTTTTGTGTAACATTCATTACGTTTATTATTTAATAAAGCTTTAATAACAAGATGATATTAAATAAATTGTAATTTTTTTTATAAAATATGTTTTCGAATATACTTTATAATACAATTCAATATGAGCCAATATTTCAGGTATAAATTTTCCTATTAAATACAATATACTAATGTAATAATCGTCAATGAAAAGGTAGTAAATTTTTACTTTAAAAGAGTCATGAGACAACTTTAAGTATAAATGTATAGAATTATAAAAGCCTATGTAAAATATATTCGAGAGAATATCATTCATTACACAATAACATTGTTCCATTTTAATAATTGAAGACACAAACTATAATAAAATATTTTCGTAATACATTAACAGGACAGACAAAGAATCTTCGGAATAGGTATATTTACTCTAATTAAATAAAGACTCTTGCAACAAATTGCACTAAAGATTAAGAAATATATAAGTTAACATTACGACAGATAGTAGACTATGCAAAAATGATAGAACGACAGAAAACAAATGTTAATTAAATATAAACCAATTATTAAAATAATCAATTTACGGTTTGAGTTAGTATATAGTGTTGTTTTTTATAAGTTATTTTAAAATAGTGAGTATAATGATAATTTAATTAATTATTTAAAAACGATCAAAAGTGGAAAAAAGATAAATAATAAATTTTAAAAAAATATTAAATAAAATTGTTATATAAAATATAAGTCTATAAATAACTAAGATCTGTTTAAATAATGTCTATAAAGAAAAGATATATATTTTTAATTTCATAAAAAACTAAACATAATTTAAAAACTAATTTGTTGACAATTCTTCAAATTACATAGTGATAAATGAAATTCAATTTGAATTCAAACTAACAAGAAAATATGTAGAAATAAAATATTACAGTAATTGAAATCTACATGTTAATGTTAGTTTTAAAGTTAAATAAATTGCTTATGTGTGGTAATTTTGAACTTTTACTTAGATAAAATTCACAAACCAATGATAGCAAACCACAGGATTTAGTTATGTAGTCTTCAAATAAATTACAGCACTTTTATAAATAAAGTTATATGCATCTTGTTTTTATTAACATTGCAATTAATTTTTATCTTCCATTTAATCTCTTAATTTAATGTTGAATGTTTTTAATTAATGACTTTATAAATATTTTCATTATTATTTAAAAATTATAAATCATAACTTTAAAATTTCATAGTTTTTGGTATGTTAAATTGAAGAAGTTTATTTATGTAACGATAAATATTTATTAATTTATATTAACCATTTATTATAAACAATATAAACAATTTGATGAGTATAGACAATTTTATGAGCTTGATAAAATGTTAATTAAATTTAAAATTCATCATAAATTATATAAATTCACACGCTAATAAAATATTAAATGAATATTAAAATAAGCTGTGTAATGAAAAATGGCTGTCACATCTAAAAGAACATAAATTTCCAGTTTTGATATTGCAAATGACATTACTTGAGCATTAAACAATATAATCTGTGATGATTTCTAGTCTATAATTAAAAATAAAATTTATGAGAGCATTAAATGTTATTGTCTACAATATTTGTCTTATGTGATTCTGTCTTCAAACGTATATATAAAATTATTATTGATAATAAGTAGTGTAATAATCTATTTCGTAATTTGCAGATGTGTATTGCATAGTTATTAAAACATGATGCAGCATTGACATTATTTTGATTGCAACGTAAGTGTCAGTCATATTTATGTGCTCGAAAATATTTTGTTAATTGTTCAGATTTAAAATTACTTGATAATTTGTTCATAATTATAGATATAAAACGCAAAGTGAAGTCATGTGAAATAATGATATTTTTACAGTTAGTATTAGTCTTAATCGTTCCATCACCTTTGCATGGGGGTTGTAAAGACAATAAAAACCAAAGTAGAGTCGAAAATTTATCTCAATTTAAATGTGAAAAAAAAAAGGGGGGATATTTGAGTGATACAACTTTGTTAGAAACATATGAAGAAGCTGTGCAATCCTATTTGAATGAAGATTGGAATGGTTGCATTCAAGGATTTCTCAATTTCATGTCTAAGTAAGTTAATTTCATCAATAAATAATAAAGCAAGCTTAAAATTTGTTAAAATTTCATTATTTATTTTAGTTGTTTAATATATACAATAGTTTTTTAACTAAATCATGATAATTTTTAATTTTTATAAATTATTATTATTAAATGAATTGAGTAATAAGTTGAAATTTATAGTATAAATTTTAGCAATATAATTTTAATAAAAACTTTAATTCAAATCGATATTAATAATAAAGATTTATATATTAAAAAAATTGATCTAATAATTACACTACATTTTAAAGTCAACTACAGAATAAATATCCCGTAAAATTTATTTAAGATAAAGTAGAAAAAATTATATACATTAATAACTATAGAAAGAATTACAATAATTAGTAAAAGTTTACTATTGAATAAAGAAATTTAATAAAACTAAACTGTATAAAATGAAACAGATGATAAAAAAAATTTGTTTTGTTTTTAGTAATTTATTAGAAAAGAAGTATTCATAAATATATATGTGTAGTTTCAGAATTATTTATAGCAGAATTACAAAGCAATTTAAAATAAAAGGTAGTACAAAATTTGTACTTCTTATTATCAATATTATAAAATATTCTATAGCATTTTTAATATTTTGCAAATTTATGCAATCTAAAAAAAGTATTTTTATAATTAGATTAATGTAAAGCCTTATGTTTGTATACAATGTACACACACACACACATATATATATTACAAAAATGGGTATTTCATTGAAGGTATAAAAATTATAAAAATGCAGTAGTGATGTGTCGAAGAAAATGTCGCATTGAATCGAATACAAATATACCAATGTTTGGTGAAAATATTGAAGATTTACATTTCTATGAAAAAAGCATAAAGCAAACTTTATGTATTCTAAAATGTAACCAGGAATATCGAGTTCATGCAGGACAAAATGCTCTCAAAAGACTTTCACAAAAACAGGAATCCAAAATAATATTTGCAGAATATTATGAATATTTGCATATTTGCTATTTTCAGGTAATGTAATTAATTAATGTTATTTTCTAATAAATGCTTACATTAAAAATCCAATAATTATAAATCAGGATAATCAACAATTCATTTATAAAAATTAATTTTTCTTTAATAAAAATATGAATTATATTTATTATTCAATATTGAGTACAATATTGAATTTACAGTAAACAAGATAAAATTATATGAATAGACAATTAATAGGTTAAAAAAATTCAAGGACTGAATATTAATTTAGTTTTATTTGAAAGACCAAATAAAAAAACATATTGACATATTACATAATGAATATTATGTAATAATATTAAATTATATCAATTATATTATTATTATTATTATATATATTATTATTATATTAATCATAAAATTCTATATGTATTTTTATATAAAAAATATTTATACAATGTCATGTTTAAATGAAAAATTTTATATTTTAGAGAAATAATTATCAAGAAGCTGCCAATGCAATTTTTACTTATTTAATATATCATCCTGATCATAAACCTAGTAAATCCAACCTTGCATTTTATATGAAACATCCAGAAGTTAAAAATAATATGATACGTAATCTTCATACAGAGCCCTTTATTAATGATTATATAAAAGGAATAAAAGCATATAAAAAAGAACATTATGATAATGCAGTTGCAAGTTTTGAAAATTCGATAATATCTTATATTGAATCGGAGGAATCGTGCAGATTTTATTGTGAAGGTCCACTTGACTATGATTGGAACCCTGAGTTTATTACAGCTTTTTCAAGTATTATGTTTTATTTTATATTAATTTATATAATGGATAATATTCAAAACTTTAACATAAAAAAACTTAAATGGAATTTTTTCAATATAGATATAAAAAAATAAAATTTGAATACAATTTACAAAAACATAAAATATTTAAAAATCTAACTAAATAAATTTTTGTAATTTTTAAACCTAGAATATGCGCTAATGCTTTAATATTTTATATTTTAAAATATTCTATATTTATCAGCTTTATTAAATTAATAAACAAAAAAATATCTTGTATAAATTTCTGAAATTAATTTGACAATATTTTTTTTAGTATAATGTAAATATGTTATATAAATAAAAGAAAGATACTAAAAATGTGAAATATTTAAATATTACTTTGTAAAAACAAGCTTCAAAATAATTATGAATATATTAACATTACATATTTTTAATATGCGATCTTGAATTTGTATTTTTGTTTTATTTAATATGTCGTAAATATTTAATGGAATTTATTTTATTTAGATCATTTCGTATACAATTTGCATTGTAAACGTCGTTGTGCGCGATTTTTGCAAAGTCTGAATGGTGAATATCAACAAGATTTTCTAGCAAATCATTTCAATTACTTACAATTTTCTTATTATCAACGTGAGTATATAATTAGTATCCTAATATGTATGACATTTTCATAACTGCAAACATATTAAAAGTTTTAAACGAATATTAAATTACGTATTTATTCAATTTTCTAATATTTGTAGAATCCCTTATGACTTATTATGAATTAATAATTAAAAACATATAATAATCAATTTAAGGAGATTATCAGTGGACCACTAGTTAACTATTTAAGAAACTTTGTTTTAATTGATAATTTTCAAGAATTATAAGTTTCCTGTTAAATAAAGATTCATTATAAATTACAAATCTTAATTAATCATAGGATTTTGTTATCTGGTTTTATAAAGATTTTTAAATTAAGTAAACTATTTAAATATCAATTTTGATGAATTCTGTTTAATCAAAATTGATAAAAATCAATTGTTTTTATTAAAATATTTATACAATTATTTTTAATTATCGTATGAACAATGGATACAAGTATATACGTTTTAATCCATTAGAATGGTTGGAAAGGTAGATTAGATATAGGTAGATTTTCCTCATACATTGAAAAATATGTATCAGTTATCCTTATCTACTATTGTTCTAACAACTCATAGAAAATACATAATATATTATATAGAGGCCATCATCTATTATCTGTGCACTATTTCGTTGAGTATTATTTACTATTTTTTTCAATATAATACTGTATACATTTGTAATTACGATTTAAAATAATAAATATTTACATATTAATTTGTTAATGTAATGTATTGTAGAAACTGTAGAAAAAGAAATGTAGAAAAATATGTTTAATTTAAAATACTATTCTATATAATTAATTGTTCGGAATTCAAGTCACCTGGTGGTTGAAGGATCAAAATGATTGGATTAGACCATGTCCACCATTTTACTGGTGGAACAGGATGAATAAGTGAGAGGTTGGTTAATGCTTCAATTTAGTAACCAACGCGATTGCTTTTCGTTCTATTCATTGAGTTTTAATTTACAAATACACAATTATGATTCTCGAGAATCTTTGAGATTTTGCCGCTCTTTGGTAGTTTTTTCACGTGGAGATAGCATGCACTGCTAGTTTGTTGAAGGTTGTAAATCTCCAGGTCCTCTTGGTGTAGTGCGCTTGGTGGAAAATTACTACATTGAGAAGTGAAAAGTAAATCATTGACACTCCTTGTATGGTGCCACGTATGATTTTTTAAATGCGAGTCTCTTGATGTTTAAGTATAAAATGGTTCAATACCTCAGTGTATCTTGGTAGTGCGCGTTGTGGCACTTATCGAGATTTGGCGTCTTGGATCAAGTGTAGAAGTTTTGGCAGCTTGATGCTGATGTAGCATAGAATGTAGTGACGTCTTGACAGAAGTAATACAGAAGTTGTGGTGCCTTGATTCAGAATGCAGCAATAAATGTAGCGGAGTCTTGCAGTACAGCGTGTTTCCTCTTAGGTGACTCAAGCAAGTGTGTGAGCTTCGACCCGTGCTTGTTTTAAATATTCGAACGAGTTTGATTATCTGGTAACATTTGGAAGGTGTTGCTATGAGGAGAATTGTACAGGTCTTCGAGACTAACGCTTTCGAGTTTTTTAGTCCAGAATTCTAGGAAAGCAAGCTTTAGACGGTTAGAAAATTCTAACCGTCGTTACTATTCGGAGACTAGATAAACATGACAGGACATTTGCAAGCAAAGAATTTAAAATGATTAAGGAGTTTCGGAATCAATGTTTACGATTTCGCGAGCTAGACGATTATAAATTTCAGAGAATTAATTTTCTTGGAACGTTCTCCAAGCCTGAACATTAACATTATAATATATTTTGTAAAATAAGTTACATTTTATCTTATATCAATACGTTTTATATTTCTTAATATTATTTACTAACTAAAAAAATTAACATAAAGCCAAAATATTCATTATATTTTAGAAAGAAATAGCATTCAGAGAATATTAACTTTTATTATTGTACAAAATATATGAATGTACATAGTTTAAATACTTTATATCTATAAAGGATTTTTAAAGTAAATAATAAATTAAAACTTTTCAATTTTAATTCAATGTTAATGTTTTTAAAAATAATATATTTTCAGTTCTAAACTTTGTTATATTTAATTATATTGGATGCAAACTATATAATTATGAAATAATTTTATATTTCATATAAAATTTAAAAGATATTTTATTAAAAGATGTTTTATCTTGAATCTTTTATTTTCTAATATGTAAAATAAATAAAAGTTATATGTTTATATAGTTCATGACATAAAAATGGCGTGTGAAGCAGTAGCCAGTTATTTATTATTTTATCCAGCTGATGAAACAATGTTGAGTAACAAAGATTATTATGCATCATTACCAATGATAAAGCAAAATGACTTCAGACCAAGACAAGTATGTTTTATATTGCATGTATACATACGCATATATATATTATAAATAGAATAATGAAATAAGTATGTATTGTATATTAGGACATTCTTGCTTATGTGTCAAGGCAAGAGTATGAAAAACGTCTTCTTTTATACATTCACAAAGAATTCACTACTTTCGAAAATAATCTTTTTGCTTCAGAATCTGCATCTAATCAACAAAAACAAAAACAAAAGTAAAATAAGCAATAAATAATGTAAGTTAAATAATCTATAAATTATTGAATATAAATAATAATAAATTATGTATAAAATACGTTTAAAATAATATAATATAATTTTAATTTAATAATACAATTTGTTTATTTTATCTTTTCAATTCTTTGTATTTATTGTTTATTAACAAATATTTTTTTTCTTTTTAGCATATTAAGATCTTTTATTAAAAATATTTTTGTAAAGAAATTTATGAAATTTATATTACATAAATTATTAAGAAACTTGAATAAAAGATAGACAACTTTACTAAGGCTGAAATCAAACTTTTGATGTTTTTATAATGGATAATCTTTCAACTGATCTATTGATTAATACAATTTTTTATTTGAATTATTTTCTTAATTGTTATTATAAAAATATTTTCAAAGTGTGTATTTTTATTAAATATTCAAAGACACAATATAAAGATACTTGTTAAATATCAATGAACACATTCATATTAATAAATACCTTGAATTCTGTTTAAATTTATATTTCTTGAGAATCAATGAATAGGTTCTTTTAGTTTTATTCAAATTTTAACATGCATATTTTTCGAATATCATTTTTAAAAAGAATTTAATATATATTAATAAAATATTACTAATTTTATAATATTTTATATGAATATAATTGTATTTTTGTAAATGTATAAAAGAAAAATGCAAATATAGAAAATTTTTTGTAGGTAGTATAAGCAATTTAATAATACTTTTTATAAAATGAATTTTAAATTGAAAATAATAAGTTTAATTAAGGTAATATTAAAATAAGTTATTATGGTTTTTATAAAAAAATAAAAATAGTTTTTAGCTTGAAATTAAAGAGTTCTTGAAGTATTTAATATACAATTTTCGCTATTACTATATATGATATTTGAATATAAAATATGTATATTTCTAAAATAGTTTGATCTGTTCAAACATCATATCTATGTATTCGAGATTGCGAGACCTTTTTAATACAATAAAACATCTGGCAAAAAACATCATTAAATTGTCGTTAGTCTTCAGGAAATTTCCTGCTCATTTCATGTCAAGCTAGAATATCATAAAGCTTGAAGAAAACTTTTTCACGGACGTCGGAGACAAAAAAAGGTCAGTACATCTGGAAAACCCCGTACATTAGTCATGCTAGTTACTTCGCATTGCCAATGCGTTCATTGTTTGACGCGTTAATTACCTAACTGTTTACTGGCAGGGCCGCGTCGAATCTGCTTATACTAGAACAATTGAAAGTGACAGATGTACGTAAACTCTTGACCATAAAAACATTTCCTACATTTCACTGCAATCCAAAACCCCGGTACGTGCGCATTCAGCATTTTAAGACAATACTTACATTGTTCTCAACTACGCCGAAGCTTACCGATCGCGCTAGCCAATGGACAGCGCTCCCAGAGGACCTCCCATATCGCTAAGTCGCAGAGAAGGGAGCGACGACCAATAGTGGACACTTTCCCGATTTTAGCATGTTCAAAACTAAACCCGGAAAGACGTGGAAATGAAAGCGTGCATTATCAATCATGCTGCCCAAAGTCGTGTTCTAATTGAATACAAGAAAGAAGAAGGGGTCCCTAGTGGAATCGTGTCAGTGAATTATTTAAGGACAATTACAATGTAACGACACTTATTCTCAAGAAGGAGGAACGGAGAAAAGTCGATCATATGAGTCTTGTAAAATAGCTTTCTATTGCTGTGGTTCATTATCCAGTTACATTTAGTCTTATCAAGCATTTATAGCCTAAGGAGCGAGATTCTCTTCATCTCGGGAAGAGAGACAAAAGAAAGTTCAATCTACTGAAATGCAAGCAGTTCGTGCATGGAAGCTTCCCATTCATGCCTGTGAGGAGAAACAGAAAATATCAGACTACAACTTCCAAGTAAGTCGTATCATTAGTGTTTGATTCTTCGCTGGACGGCCTACTCATATACGGACCACAAGCAGTTAGTGTCCGGAAGTTTTCCGCGCATGCTCATTTCGAAAGACCAGTAATTCGCGCCTATCAGTGCGCACAATTTCCTCTAACCTCTATCTCAGACTCGTGCTCACTCACACGGCTCACTATTCAGAGGCAACTGTAACACCTGCCAGGATAACGACGCATACAGGAACTATAGTGTTCATTTCAGAGCACGAAACAGTCATAAATTCTCAAGTGGTAATATTCAAGAAGTGACAATAGTTTTATATCCTATCTCTTTTCACAGTAAATCACTATCTAATCCATTACGTCCAGAGAATCAGGAACTTCAAAACCTTCTAGTTCTCCAATAGAAGTACACCGCAACGCCACATACATAATTAATAATAATAAGGGTTCATTTATAACCTCTTCAAGAATATAATCTCTAAATTGGAATGTAAATGAAATAAACAGCAATAAGAAACATGTGTTAATTATTGAATCAGTGCATTAACCCTTCCACTTGCCCACGCACTCTCCCACACAACAAGTTAATTCTAAACACTATGTGTTCGGGATTGATGCAGTCCCATGAATTTCAAACAAAAGAAAGGTCATTTACGCAGTCCGGCGTACCCCATGTGCGCCTAGACTGACCGCGCGTGCAGCAAGGCTGGCCACCACGTGCGCCTAGGCTGATCCGCACGTGCGGACCGAGGCGGGCACTCGAGAAAATGTTTACAAACAAGACTCGGCAAGTCCGAGCAAGTTTACGATTTGAAATATTATTTACTGCCAGCACTCACAAAAAAGGGACGCTTTCGAAACTTCTAGAAGCTTCGTTTTCTCACGCCAAAGGAAAATTTCTGGAAGGGACGCGCATCGACACTGTTGCCGGCGTTGAAGACGCCGCATGCACATTTAAACGCAACGCGCCATGAGGCGAGGCTCACTCGTAAAATCACTTCGCTCTCACTCAAGCGTACCTGCCGGTCAGTGCATAGTATACTGTGAAGACGCCGCGTGGTCAGATTTTCGGCAGCATAGTTAAGAGCACTCGCGTGCATAGAAAAGATAATCGGCAATTTTTAATTAGTGATTACAGTGAAGCCAATGGAATAGTAATCAAGGGGGACATTAACTACACAGCATCTAATACACCCAGCCTGCAGTTCACCAGGTACACCTTTATATTAATAAATAAACAAGTCACATCTCTCGCTATTGTCGATCGGGCACACTTACGCTCTCTCGAACTGATCCCTCGACATCGTACAGGCCCGCTAGCAGAACCAGGGCACACTTACGCTCTCTCGAACTAACCCTCGACATCGTACAAGCCCTGAACAGCTGACTCAAGAGTTTTACTGTGGTTCACACACATTCGTCATACAAGAACAACACAGATCGACTAATAGACTATAAATACAGATTCTTAAATCCTTCACGATTAACTGTTACCATTAACTGTTTTTACCTGTGACTAGACTCTTCTACTGTCCCCTTACATAATTAAAGACACAATTGATTACATAATAAATTCCATTAAACATCTGACACCACACCAAGTATAACTATTCATCCATCAAGCATACTTGATTCTACACCATCATCCCATGCTGCCTCACAAGCATGAGTAACTGAAGACATCAGCTGACATTGACAACATCAGCATAACGTCAAAGCAAAACAGTTATATTTATAGAAGCCTTCAAAGCATAAGAATTACAAGAACACATCATTTGATAATCCAACAGAATTATTTATCTCTACACAACAGTGCAATATTATTATAATTGTTTTACAATCATTAACCTTGTTTTAATAAATATATTATATTTTTCAGCCTTGTCTGTTATTGATTTCCTTTAAAATTATCCTGCCGAGAGACTAATCCATTGAACTATTGAATTGGCAGTTCGAGCCATAAACTAACCCTTTAAAATCGAACACTATGAATATATACATTATTGAATACAATCAAGTCTAAGTAATTATATATTGTTTATATGAAAAGTAGCAGTTTTTAATTTTATTATATTATTAAAATTGTTATAGAAGTATATTTTATAAAAACTCAAAAGTAAAATATAATTTAAGAAAGAATTATAGTAGTAAGTTAAAATCGATATTGACATCCGGTGCGCGGTTAAGTTCAATGCATAATAAAAAATAGAAAATTCTCTATGAAAGAGATAGAAAAGATTAAAATGATTGAAATATGGAGTTTTTTATGATATTTATTTAGAAATATTCCATAGATTTTCTAGCTTCGTACATACATTTTTACTTTCATACAAATCACAAGATTTCTAATTGCTACGACGTATAATTCTCAATATTATCTTGTCAACAACAATCATAGTGAGGTAAGATTACTAAAAACATGCTTAAATGAGAAGTAATTGTTTATGTAAGCCATAATACAGATAAGAAACTGAAACGTGACTTAGATTTCTGTTATGTTATTTTTTCTTAAAGTGCATTAAATAGCGGTGGCTAAAAAGGAAGGTTAATAGAACAACGGGATATCGAAAAAAATAACCAAACAACTGATTCCAAACGAGATGAACTTGTTTGAAATATAGAATTACGTCTGCTAACAAATTAAGGTATGTGAATAAATTACACTCCGCAAATGTTTGGATTGTTAATTTAACAATGGTATGTACTGTTATCAGTTGCGCTTTTAGTTATTCTTGCTAGCTGCTTTTATAATATTACCCAGCTCTAAATTATGAATAATAACAAATATTGTAAGAACTTAATTTATGAAATGTAAATATTGTGCACTGCAATATTATGTACTATTGTATGTTGCCAAAGAGTTAATGTTATAATTAATTTTTTTTAATTTGTTATATGTTAATTTAAAATACACAAGACTAAAAATAATAAGATATTGTATTTTTATAAGTAAGAGATAATTCGAATAAATAAATAAAAATAACCCCTATAACTCATTTTGATTACTAAAATAAAAAATTAAAATATTCTATTTACATATAAATTTAGTTTTTAAAGTTTTTATTAATGTATATTTTATATTTTATAAAATGAACTTTGTATTATATAATATACAACCAA